AGATTGGGATGTACAGAGGGGTGACAGATTACGGGGGAGAGATAGAATGGAGACAGCAGAGATTGGGATGTACAGAGGGATGACAGATTACGAGGGAGAAATAGAATGGAGACAGTAGAGATTGGGATGTACAGAGGGATGACAGATTACGGGGGAGAGATAAAGTGGAGACAGTAAAGATTGGGATGTACAGAGGGATGACAGATTACGGGGGAGAAATAGAATGGAGACAGTAGAGATTGGGATGTACAGAGGAATGACAGATTACGAGGAGAGATAGAATGGAGACAGTAGAGATTGGGATGTACAGAGGGATGACAGATTACGGGGGAGAAATAGAATGGAGACAGTAGAGATTGGGATGTACAGAGGGGTGACAGATTACGAGGAGAGATAGAATGGAGACAGCAGAGATTGGGATGTACAGAGGGATGACAGATTACGGGGGAGAGATAGAATGGAGACAGCAGAGATTGGGATGTACAGAGGAAATATAGATTACGGGGGAGAAATAGAATGGAGACAGTAGAGATTGGGATGTACAGAGGGATGACAGATTACGGGGGAGAAATAGAATGAAGACAGTAGAGATTGGGATGTACAGATGGATGACAGATTACTGGAGAGAGATAGAATGGAGACAGCAGAGATTGGGATGTACAGAGGGATGACAGATTACGGGGGAGAGATAGAATGGAGACAGTAGAGATTGGGATGTACAGAGGAATGACAGATTACGGGGGAGAAATAGAATGAAGACAGTAGAGATTGGGATGTACAGAGGGATGACAAATTACGGGGGAGAAATAGAATGGAGACAGTAGAGATTGGGATGTACAGAGGGATGACAGATTACGGGGGAGAAATAGAATGGAGACAATAGAGATTGGGATGTACAGAGGGATGACAGATTACGGGGGAGAGATAGAATGGTGACAATAGAGATTGAAACATTGTGGAGAATGTAGGAGTATGGGATAAAGATAAGGTATTAAAGAAGAAGAGGGAGAGGTGGTGGTGGTGTTAGATAGACTCAATAGAAAGGGGAACGTTATGAAAGTATGAAATGGAAGGGCGGGGAAGAATCGAGAGAAGGAAGAAAAAAACATGTACAATTAGGGGAACTTAAGGAGATGTGTAAAATGGGTCGTGGGTTTAGCGTTTTATTGGAGAAGATGGAGCGCTGTGTCAAGAGGACGGAAAACCTTTAGCGAAAACCGGGAGTCGAGGAGGCTGTTGTGGAGGGGAAGTAGTGTGATGGTCGGATAAATGTTGAGGGAGATATTCGCACTAGGTAATTTTATTGTGCACACATGGTTGAGGAAATGTGGGAGAATGGAAAAGTGAAGGAGTTTGAAATGCTTTATAGAAAAATTTAATGTATTGATTCAGATGTATCAAGGAAGTATATAATCTTCTTTATAACTAATTGTTTTAAGTATACGTAAGTTTTGAAATTTTGTTATATCATATCTTATCAAAGTATAACCTTATTTCAATTTAAACTGACGGACATGAGCTTTTTGATTATCAATATTATTCACTTTTTCAGCTTTCTGTATATATAAGATTTATTCTGAACATACTAAACCGATCAAAGTTAAAATAAATAAAATGAAATAAAATACAACTATAAAATAAAAATAAAACAAGTTGAAGAAAAAGTTCCTATGATTTTAAGTCCATGCTACACGAGAGTTTATGAAGTAAAATTACCCCCACCCCTCTATACACTGTCGTCATTGTTCCCTGACAGAATAAGTGTTGTTCGTGTATATATTGGTCTGGTTAGTGGGTTTTCTCGAGATAAAAAATATGGAATGTCTGAAATATATATATGTGTAGGTGTTTTTAGTGAAGTGGAGCTCTACGGATTTTATACGATTTAATTATACACAGGAAGTGTTTACGGGTTCAATATGATACTAAGAACAAGACTTTATGGAACTAATGATAATCCAATTTTGGATAATTGGTGACATGTCGATGTATTTGTACAATGCTGCTCTAGTCACCGGGATCAGAAATTGTATTTAAGAGATTTTGAGGTTTTATTAATATTTGTCTTTGCTGTATAAGAATGTCAATTTCACCGAATATTGAAGTAACCCTTCAAACCTCTAAAAGACATGTTACACCCAGACCAGGGTAGACCCATATTCACTGTAACAAATTATCATGACCCTGTGACACACACCAGGGTAGGTTCGTTAACAACACAACTGTGACAAATTATCATGACCCTGTGGCACAGACCAGGGTAGGTTCATTAACAACACAACTGTGACAAATTATCATGACCCTGTGACACAGACCAGAGTAGGTTAATAAATACCTCGACTGAAACAAATGCTCAGGACCTGTGATACAGACAAGACCGAAACAAATGCTCAGGACCCTGTGATACAGACAAGACTGAAACAAATGCTCAGGACCCTGTGATACAGACAAGACCGAAACAAATGCTCAGGACCCTGTGATACAGACAAGACTGAAACAAATGCTCAGGACCCTGTGATACAGACAAGACCGAAACAAATGCTCAGGACCCTGTGATACAGACAAGACTGAAACAAATGCTCAGGACCCTGTGATACAGACAAGACCGAAACAAATGCTCAGGACCCTGTGATACAGACAAGACTGAAACAAATGCTCAGGACCCTGTGATACAGACAAGACTGAAACAAATGCTCATGACCCTGTGATACAGACAAGACTGAAACAAATGCTCAGGACCTGTGATACAGACAAGACTGAAACAAATGCTCAGGACCCTGTGATACAGACAAGACTGAAACAAATGCTCAGGACCTGTGATACAGACAAGACTGAAACAAATGCTCAGGACCCTGTGATACAGACAAGACTGAAACAAATGCTCAGGACCTGTGATACAGACAAGACTGAAACAAATGCTCAGGACCCTGTGATACAGACAAGACTGAAATAAATGCTCAGGACCCTGTGATACAGACAAGACTGAAACAAATGCTCAGGACCCTGTGATACAGACAAGACTGAAACAAATGCTCAGGACCTGTGATACAGACAAGACTGAAACAAATGCTCAGGACCCTGTGACTAATTCTCAGGTCCCTGTGACTCGCATGGTATTACGACTACATATACACGACAAGTATATGCCCTGTATCACCGCTCGTGTTTATATATACAGCATATATTGATCTTCTGCCGGCAGTTGAAGTGTCCCATGTCAACTTTGAGTGTAAATAGCTACTTATATCCCACTAACCCCGATGTACGAGAGAAACCTCCCACGTATATTTATTAGCTACCTGGCTATAATACACACCTGTACTAAATGATTCATTGTTTTAATCAAGTGGACTCCGCTGATGTATATGATACAGTAAATGAATAAAAATACCACATGAAATATACATTACCTGATGAGACACGAGCAACTTACATACAAAATCGATAAAGGTTCTGCACTGTAACTCAAAATATACACTGTAACCCAAAATATACACTGCAACTCAAAATACTCAAAATAGACACTGTAACTCTAAATATACACTGTAACTCTAAATATACACTGTAACTCAAAATATACACTGTAATTCAAAACATACATTGTGACTCAAAATATACACGGCAACTAAAAATATACACTGCAACTCAAAATACTCAAAATAGACACTGTAACTATAAATATACACTGTAACTCAAAATATACACTGTAACACAAAACATACACTGCAACTCAAATCATACACTGCAACTCAAAATAATTTGACGGACAAGTGTTTGGTCCGAGTTCTATAATTTGACGGACAAGTGTTTGGTCTGAGTTTTACTATTTGACGGACAAGTGTTTGGTCTGAGTTTTACTATTTGACGGACAAGTGTTTGGTCCGAGTTTTACTATTTGACGAACAAGTGTTTGGTCCGAGGTTTATAATTTGACGGACAAGTGTTTGGTCTGAGTTTTACTATTTGACGGACAAGTGTTTGGTCTGAGTTTTACTATTTGACGGACAAGTGTTTGGTCCGAGTTTTACTATTTGACGGACAAGTGTTTGGTCCGAGGTTTATAATTTGACGGACAGGTGTTTGGTCCGAGTTTTACAATTTGACGGACAAGTGTTTGGTCCGAGATTATAAGATAATTCCACTTTGTGCCTTTTTTGAGTGGTACATCTAGATTTCACGTCATAATTCTCAGGACCCAAGCCTTTATGACAGCAATAAACATCGTTATTCTGGTAGTTGTTACTACTAACGACGATATCGATTATGACGTCATTGTTGTCTCAACCGGAAGCCGTCAATTTCATTGTCAATTATTGAATCATTGATTAGCAACGCATGCTTTTATCGGGGACATTTTAAGTTCCGCCGAGCTCATTGTTTTGAAAAGCTTCACTCTGAAGAAGATGGAAACACGAATTTAGAATTCTGGACGAAATTGTGGAGCTTTCTTTTTAATCAACGGCCCGGAAGACCAGAATGCCTAAATGTTCAACATGTTGAGAGAAGGCGATGTAATAGCAATCGAAATATTTATCATGCGTGTTTTTGAAAACGGAACCTAACGTTTATGAACTACCTGGAGAGCAAAAGTTGTTTATGCATTTGAACAATCACATTTATCGGCCTCGCAAGTCAAGTCATCAAAGCTTCTGGCGGATATCACATAGACGAAAAGCGACCAGGAAACCGCATTTTATTGTCTGGAACTGGCTAAGAGACAAATTATACGATATTCAGTATTTCTTTATACTTTTAATTGTCATTATCTTATTAATTTATAAATTTATTAAGTGAATATTTGCCATCAAGGTTGCGCTGCTGGAAACTGCTACTCGAGCTTGAAGCCAGTATTTTTCGCCAAGTCTGTTACTCAGATCTCTTCGTCGAAACACCTTCCACCCAGTCGCATTTCTAAATGAAATGCGTAAAAGCAAAACCAATGTCAAGTCTGCTAGCTATCGTTTTTTGTTAATTTCTCGACGTTTAAATCATGTTTCCAGTGCGGAAGCTTCCGGTGGTGGCGGAGGTGGACCGAAAGGAAAACGTTCGGAAGCTGAATTCAGCAAATGTGATAATGTTACCCAGGACAGAATATGGAAACAAGCCGTTGGAAAGGAGGAAATGTGTCTCAAAAATTGGTAAGTCAAAATTATTTACAAACTTTAATCAAAAATCATTTTTTATCTATAAATTTGTCTGTTATCATGCGTTATGGTGATATTATCAAGGTCCCTTCTCTCAACAATGTATTCATATGGATTGAAAAATAGTACATTTACCACAATGAATACCCCTTCAGTTCTATTTTTTACATAGATACATAGAACACAAGTTTAAGATACATGATGAAAGGGTAACTTGATATGTCTGTAACTACATCTTTTGCTGTACTCATAATTTTGGATATTCCTAAAAACGTTCACACGAAATATCTATTTCTATCGACACATTGTCATCGTGTTAAATATAGAAATCTATGTTAATATTGTCAAGCTTATTTCTGGTGCAGTACTTGTTAAAGTCATATATACCATACTCCAAAAACATATAAACATGTAAAACATATGCTAAACACACTATTAGAATCTAAATTTCAGATCAGAAAAAAAATAATAATAAAATAAAAAAATGAATATTTCAAAGGTCAAGATAATGTTTTCACTTGGTCTCTGAAAAGAGCGTTCATTCCTTATTTTTTTCTTTTTCTTTTTCCCCACAGCATCTGCATTATGTCCCTCTAAAATTCTGGCATCCTGCGTTATAGAAATAGCAGTCGGAATTGACCTTTCTTATTTTATCATTCTACAAGGATTAGTTTATCCTAATGCGTTTTGTAGCACATCTCAGCGTAATAAAGTGATATTCCTTTTTTGGGGTCGCCATTGCCATCTTGGAAATCTGATTAGGATTCTCATCAATACCCTTGGATTTTGAAGTCGTGACTTCATAGAGTACGTTGTTTTATGTTTATTATGGTCTTTTCCAGGAATGAAAACTGGGGATTTCTGACAGAGTTTGATTCCAAGGTACGTTAATTCATACAAAGTGTGTAGATGTATATGTCAAATGAATACAAAAATATATAAATTAATTAAAAACTCAATAAATCAATAAATTAATAAATCAATAAATATAACTTATTTTCGATTCCCTCCAATAATAGGTGTCTGGTATACTAGCTATTCTGTCTAATGCAAGTATTTTTGATCTTCTTCTCTGTTACATGTTCGAATGCCCCGACTTTGTGATGTTACAGATATTCTAGGTAGACTTGTTGGATGCTTATTTAATTTACCACGATCTACTGATGCATATGACAACGAGTGATTTACGATATCTATCCATGTTTCGATTTGCAGAATAAGCGAAAACGACAATGTACTGTTTTTTTATCAATGTGTGTATATTTTCAATAGTTTAAAAGATATCATTTGAATATTACTTGTGAATATGGTTTGAAAAAAAAAGTTTCAGTTAATTTGTTCGAGAAATAGGACCTTTTGAACACGTTTTCTACTGACAATTCAAAATTATATTTTTTTTGCTATCCCTTAAACCAATCATTGCATAGAGAATGCATGGTCAGTGTCTTAAAATATAAGCTATATAATGGCAAGGATGAAGAAAGACAAAAGTGGGGAGGAGCCTTTAGCGAGTCACTATTGTCTTTCTGTCCCGGGCAAAAATGCAGCTTATAGTTTAGGACACTGACCATATCCTACCTGAGATTACCATTACGCTGAATTTTGCCTGACGACGGACGTCAAAATATTAACTCCGCGCGGAAGTATAAATCCAAACTTCATCGGATATAGCAGCGATTTTATGAACTTTCATAAATCAACTTGATCATTACACAATGTGAAATCGCTTTTTTCAGCAGCTATTTATATTTTTATAGTTCTAAACGTAATATTTCAGTTAATTCAGAGAGTAATTCTGTCGAATTACCGCGCGTGCTAAAATACAGCTGTTTTCCGTCACTGCCGAATTCAGCAAAAATATATTTGGCAGTGGCAGTTGCAGGATAAAGAATGATATCAGTACATACATTAAAGATGTGAAATTCCAATATCATTAGCATCTGGATGAAATGTAAAACACATTGCTAGAACAATTCAATATTTCCTACATTTACAGTCGTCCTAAATATCTTCCTATATATTCAGGTTAAAACTTGGAGCCTTTTGTATTTTGAACTTTGATCCATTCAATATCACCCCTGGATAAGATTAGTAGCCGTCTAAATAGGATTTTGAGAGTAATTAATTAAATGAAATTGCTACAATATATATACCATATCAAATATGACATTTGAGAAATGAAATACACATTGATAATTAATGGTTAGCCATCGTAACCAGCTCGAAACTGTATCCACGATGATAAAATGATATTTGAAATACTTTAATTTATTACGGTTTATGTAAATTACAGGGAGAAGGGATTACGATGGCGGTAATTAGACACAATATCATTTGTGACTTATTAAATCGCATTATTTTGTTGCTCGAGTAGAAATCACTGACATGTTTAACGGTCCGTTCTAGTTCCACATTTTATCATCAAGAGGAAGGCTAGACTTCCAGAACTTCAAAGATGGCGGCTTCCTCACAGATACCTAAATTTAATTCTATATTCCTGCGGAACAAGAAATACTAGTATTTGAAATATCTTACGGATTTCTTCATTATCCTGCCTCCCCATCACCACTGCTCAGTCATTTAGACTTATTTGAGAACGGTTGGTTTTGTTTTGCGGGCAAGCTTAAGCGTCTGTGTGATTGAACCTACCTTAAGTACTTGGACTTCACTACGGCTGCTTTTAATCATTTAAAAACGTTTGTGTTGTCGACACTATGATGCTCTAGAACTACTGAACGTTGTAAAACATGAACCGTGTCCTACTCGAGCAATAAAACCGATTTGTGTTGATGTTTGAAATATACATTTTGGTTTGGTTTGTGTGGCCATTTTGTCAGAGCGTTTCCTTTTCGTTGCTACATCATGAGTGTCACGTCCACAGGCTCCGGCACATTATCATTATAATCACAATAATCAGTTCATGAAGTCAGTGGTAAAGGCCTACTAAACAAACATGTCCATGCGAGGATCAAGCAATTTATTTTGTAAACTAATGTCACCAACGTCTTCTGTTATATTACAGAATACATGATGGAGAAAATCAATAACCACTAGAAACAATTTAAAAGTTACAGATACACTGAAAACTGGGGCATCGTTTAGGTCACTGGCTAATCCGACACCAAGTCAAACATAGACCAGTTTACACTGTCTTATCCGACACCAAGTCAAACATAGATCAGGTCACACTGTCTTATCCGACACCAAGTCAAACATAGATCAGGTCACACTGTCTTATCCGACACCAAGTCAATCATAGATCAGGTTACACTGTCTTATCCGACACCAAGTCAAACATAGATCAGGTTACACTGTCTTATCCGACACCAAGTCAAACATAGATCAGGTTACACTGTCTTATCCGACACCAAGTCAAACATAGATCAGGTTACACTGTCTTATCCGACACCAAGTCAAACATAGATCAGACTACAGTGTCTTATCCGACACCAAGTCAAACATAGATCAGGTTACACGGTCTTATCCGACACCAAGTCAAACATAGGTCAGGTTACACTGTCTTATCCGACACCAAGTCAAACATAGATCAGGTTACACTGTCTTATCCGACACCAAGTCAAACATAGATCAGGTCACACTGTCTTATCCGACACCAAGTCAAACATAGATCAGGTTACACTGTCTTATCCGACACCAAGTCAAACATAAGGTTACACGGTCAGGTTACACTGTCTTATCCGACACCAAGTCAAACATAGATCAGGTTACACTGTCTTATCCGACACCAAGTCAAACATAGATCAGGTTACACTGTCTTATCCGACACCAAGTCAAACATAGATCAGGTTACACTGTCTTATCCGACACCAAGTCAAACATAGATCAGGTTACACTGTCTTATCCGACACCAAGTCAAACATAGATCAGGTTACACTGTCAGGTTACACTGTCTTATCCGACACCAAGTCGAACATAGATCAGGTTACACTGTCTTATCCGACACCAAGTCAAACATAGGTCAGATTACACTGTCTTATCCAACATGAAGTCAAACATAGGTCAGGTTACACTGTCTTATCCGACACCAAGTCAAACATAGGTCAGGTTACACTGTCTTATCCGACACCAAGTCTAACATAGATTATGTTACACTGTCTTATCCGACACCAAGTCAAACTGTTTAATCCCAAGCTATGTCAGACAGTCAAATTATGTAGTTAAAAGAAGATGACAACAAATTGGGTAACTAGGGAATGTGTTGGTAACTAGGGAATGTGTTAATACACAGATGCTGAACTGGACAGGTGCTGATATACTCCATTGCTATCAATATTTACCATCATGCTGAAGAGTTCCACTAGTGTGTTTGGTTTTTGTCTATTTACATGATATCACGAGTTTAGTGTATCACTTGTCTAATTTTTACGTTTTGGCATGTTTTTTTACAGCATTTGCAAAATATATGCCAGGTTTTTTTTTGTCAGAACCATGTACAATGTATGCAGATATTTGTATACAATCAGACTTGTTTTTTTAAGTGACATGGTAAGAGAGCATGTGATTAATGTTTTAAGATAAGAACTGGGTATCACATCGCTTTTTTTATGATATTTCCGACAGCAATATACAGTGTAGATATTATAATTGTTTACTCATGTTTTTGTGCTACAACGCCGGCGTTTTTATAACAGATTTTTGTAAAATGTATAATAATTGATAAGCTGATGGTGAGCACATTACTCCGTACACCAATCAAGATCCGGTACACCTCTTCAAAAAAATATTGAGTAATGTCTCTGATTCACTTACCGTCTTTTTCAACTATCCGCTAGGCGTCGCGAGCGTAACCTAGCGGAAAGAAATGTTCTAATCTTAAAGTAGGTTATCCAGCCTATAAAGGTCAGTTACTGACCAGGACGCGAAAAGCATGAATTGTAATGAAGTTCAACTAAGTCATTAATGTCTTTGATTTTACAGGGAAATCGTAAAGAACCGGAACCTTTACCAGAAAAGATCAGCATATTTTCGGATGATGTACCAAATACCAATTCCGGAAATTATGGGTCAAAGGTCAATTCGGAAGTCGGCGTTACAATGCAACAACTAGAATTCCAATTTTACAGTGGAAAACGGAGGAAGAAGATGGGCAATGATCTAGTGTGTTATTAGTTAGGCAATAAGACAATGTAAACCCATATATAGACGGGGTTTGCTTAAGACCGCCGCCATTTTATTACAAGGTATTGAAGGCTTGCGGCTTCGAAAGTTTTGTGATAATTTTACCCGGCCTATTGAAAAATGTATTAAATTAAAGTAATGCCATTGTTTATATAAACATTTTTTAATACAAATTATACTAATGCAAACTGTGTATTCATAAGCAATAATTGACTTTTAGAACATACTTGTCTGTTTATGTATATTGTAAGTTTTGGGTAATAATAACCAATACTGCAGGGAATCCTATTGTTTTTATACAAAAGCCGGACGTAAACAAGTGTTAAATGTACATAAAACAACTATATACATTTATAGTATTCGTAAGTCGTCATGTCTCATTGCTTGTAATATATTAAATTATTTCTGTTTTCGTTTACTCGTAATTTAAATTGTAACACATATTTTAATATAACCCAAGTACTATAACTAAGCTTTTCTCCATGTGATCAAATATTATTTGTACAAATTACTAAAGTTATATCATTTTACTACATGATACTTAAAGCTAAGAGGAAAATCTATCAGGTTCTACATACAAGCTTCATGGTCTGTGATATCTGCTAAATCCGTTTTAAATAACTTTATTAGGTAGGGAAGTGAGATGCCTGTTTGTTAACCGGATTTTTTTTTAATTTTCTGTCATTTGATATATACGTTGTTATAATACTTGTTTGTGCCACTGTAAAATATTAACGTCTAGAGGTTACATCAAATATATTTTTATAGACGTGACATCGCTCGTTGTTGATATTTATACTCATCATGTAGATAAAACTTGTAACTGATTTTACACATGCGCTGTTCCATATTTCGTTTTTTTAAACAATGCCGTCCAAAGTCCGACAAAGAAATCCAAATACTGAGTTTCTTTTTTTTTTTTTTTTGTAATAGAATTCCATTCTCAATATAATTCATAAGTAATGCTAATTACTGTGCTATTTTCAGTAACGATATGCGAAATACGTCAGGAAAATTTGTGTACTTTTATCTCAATTTAGGTGACGCATTTGACCCTGCAATGCGCACACCCTTTCATGAAAATCAATTCAAACTAAATGTATGATGTTCATGTCATTGGAATGTGTCTCAAAGAAACAATAAATGTTAAATAATATATACAGTTTGTTTTTTATCATTAAAGTACGTGGATTATAGATATGTGAAAGTGAACTACATGTACTTTGAAGTAATGAGATATTACGTCTTGTTACTTTTACACAAATTATTGCTATGTGATATAACGAATATAGAAATGAGCGGATTACATTCAGTGCGAAAGACACATAACATACGCTAAAATACGTATGTTTACAGCATCACGTTCATAACTTGATTTGATTTCATTCACTAATTACATTTACAAAGTATGTTGTACCTTCATCTTTTTCGTTTTCGAGACTTAATATGCCAATCTTTTTCGAGCACGACATCTAAATTAATATGAGCAGTTACAACTACGTGAAACATGACAAAAGGAGACAATGGAAGTTAAGGAAATAAAGTACATTTGGTCGGTAATTATTTTAAATGACGTAAACTTGGTCGGTAATTATGTTAAATAACGTACACATGACCGGTAATTATGTTTAATGACGTACACTTGGTCGGTAATTATTTTAAATGACGTACACATGGTCGCTAATTATGTTTAATGACGTACACTTGGTCGGTAATTATGTTAAATGACGTACACATGGTCGGTAATTATGTTTAATGACGTACACTTGGTCGGTAATTATATTAAATGACGTACACTTGGTCGGTAATTATGTTAAATAACGTATATATGGTCGGTAAGTATGTTAAATGACGTAAACTAAGTCGGTAATTACGTTAAATAACGTACACTTGGTCGGTAATTATGTTAAATAACGTATATATGGTCGGTAAGTATGTTAAATGACATAAACTTGGTCGGTAATTATTAAAAATCACTGGCTTACACTGTGTTCCAGTGAGCGTTATTTGATTTTCGAGAAAAAGAGAGAAACATCCATCGATTTCTGAAATTGTTCCCTTTCGGATTAAATATCCCAGTCTCTTTTTTTTCTCCCACTTGTGCCACATCCTATTTGATAAATTGGTTGTTATGGAATGAGAAAGCCTACACAGTTATGTCACGGAAAAACGGCTTTCGGAGACCTACTATCCACAGATATTTACCTGTTTCGTAATGATTCTCCTAACTCAGAGCAGACCAAAATAAAACGTGCAATGTTGTCATTTATACGTCAGGTTGGCCAGAGTTCCGTCACATCACCTTAGATATATGTACCTATTGACAATACATAACTTTCCGGTAATATACTGGACAATCACGAATTTTCTAAAGGTCTCTCTGTAAATTAACATAATTTATGTGCACATCTACTTTATTTCAAATATAAATGGTTCAACCGATATCGCCACTTTTGCCTCGACTTCTCATAGCTGTTTAAGTTTAGGAGGCAGAACTAAATCACATATGCAGTCGGGTTTTTCTGCCAACTCAAACAGACGAGAGGTGGGCGGAGCTTCTTGCTGAATTTATTAACATGACACAAGATGATATGGGCGGGACTTGTTGCCAAACGCAGGAATTTGAGCATAACACTGCAGAAGAGTCTGCCCCACTTCCCTGAATGACAGTTGGGGCGAAGCTACCTTGTAGATTTTGCCAATACAAATCTAGATTCAAGAAAAAAAAGAGGAAAAAGAAGTCCTGGTTTTTATCGGTATAACAGAAATGGCTACAGAAAGACACGAAACACGGGACTTCCAACTGTTCATAATCCATTCAGTTGTTAATTGTGCAGTCAAACTCTGTATTGCTATTATTTATTTTGTCTATATCAAGATTTATTTCCGTTACTTAATTACCCCATCCAGTCCAGATGGTAAATCACATAATTACCTCGAGAGAAAAACAAAAACAAAAAACCATAAAATGCCGAAATTTGTCCGTCTTTTGTTTGTTTCGTCAAATAATAATTTAATCCTCTATGCAACAAGCATTTTAATTGGACAATTTTACGTTCATTTTGTAACGCCATGAATGATTGGCCAATGCAGTGACGTAGGAAATTATCAAAAGAAGAAAGTCCATTTATATGTTAAAAAGTAGATAAATAGACTGTGATGAATACTTCTTACTCATCACATCAATCACACCCCCTGATATCCGTTTCCCTGTAGTTTTGTAAAAGTCACACAATATTAAATAAACAGTTTCGCTGGTTACGTCATCTCTCAACAAAAACTCTAAACATTTCAGTAAAATTAGCAGCATTTATTGCATAACATCAAACAACAAAGCAGTCTAAGAGGTGTACACGTATATTGCACACAAGCACTCAATCGAAGCAGCGTTATGTAAGAGATATTGTTATCATTCATACAAGGGAGATCACAAATGTTTGATTACTAGTACAACCTAACAGATATCACCGATGTTTGATTACTAGTTGTACAACCTAAGATAGGTCACCGATTTTTGATTACTAATTTCCCATCAAAGGGAGATCACCGATGTTTGATTACTAGTTGTACAACCTAAGAGAGATCACCAATGTTTGATTACTAGTTGTACAACCTAAGAGATATCACCGATGTTTGATACTAATTTCTCATCAAAGGGAGATCACCGATGTTTGATTACTAGTTGTACAACCTAAGACAGATCACCGATGTTTGATTACTAATTTCCCATCAAAGGGAGATCACCGATGTTTGATTACTAGTTGTACAACCTAAGATAGGTCATCGATGTTTGAAAACTGATTTCCCATCAAAGGGAGATATTCGAAGTTTGATTACGAATAGTACAACCCAAGGGATACCACCAATTGATTACTGTTGTACAGTCCCAAGGATATTAACGATGGTCGATTAGAATTGAAATACTCAAGGGAGATCACCCTTGTTTGATTACTAATTGTATCACCCAAAGGAGATCCCCGAAGGTTGATTACTATTGTACAACTCAAGCATGATCACCATTCTCATTAACAGGACATAACATGTGTTGGGTATATCACAGTCTAACAATATCAAAAACATCTGATATTATTTCAGTAAAAATTTCTACTGTGAATTGTCCGATAGAAATATACGTTCGGTGGGCTGTAAATTACAGAACTGCAATTTCCTCCTTGATCCTTGATCAATTATTGTTAATAGCCTGAGTTTCCTCTCACCCCTACACCAGATGTTAAACATCTAGACAGACCTAAACAAAACAGACATTCTGACAGACGGATGTCTGGTGTGGACTTTTTACAAAACACATCTCTGTGGAAATATGTAACCTCTGGTGTAGGAGTCAGCGGAACCTCAGAAAACTGATTGTATGACTATCATATAGACATCAGAAGAAGTAAAACAAATGGAATGAAAGAAATTAAAACGTGGTCCAATACTTGTAAACAACACAATAACAAGAATTTTCTGTACAGCTAAGTCGTACTTAAATAAAACAATGTATGCCAATCAATTCGATGTTGTAATGAACAACAAGCAGACAGTCCAAAATTGTACTGTTTTCTCAGCAACAGTACTCTACATGTACAAATGTATTGAAAATGTGAAGAGATATACTATAAACAGACAAGTACCTTGAAATCTAGAATACGATAAGATGTCACCTCACTCAATGTCAACCTATTTCAGTGCCTCATATTTCCTTGTACAAACATGTCAATACTCTTTTAACAATAAATAGCATATAGCATAGTTTATGTGCACCAGAACTGACAATATTTATTATTCCTAAATTAAAACTTTTATGCAAATTGAAATTAATTCTGACTAGGAATACAACTATATATATACTTAATGCTTGGCTAAGAAAATCATATTTGGCATTGCAATGAAAGACAATGGTTAAAAAAAAGTGTTTTCTTATCACTTACAATTACATTTGGTAACATATTTCATGTTACAACTCATCACACCCTTGATCTCTTGATTAAGAAAAACACTCCAAAAACAATATTTAAAACATAACAGAATTACGAAAAAAAAAAAAAATGTACATCAGTTCTGTGGTGATAAAAATTGACTATTCGTTGCATATGAAAGCATTCAGCTATTTCATTTTCTGTCAATTACACCTAACTAAATTGACTGAGATGGCAAGTTCATCATAATCTCTAATGCCACTTTGAAAAAAACATAACATAATATTATCAGAGGCCCACATGCCTTAACGGTCATCTGACTACAACAACTTTCTGCAGGAAGAATGGTTATTTTTTCTACTTTCAATCAAATCTTACTGAGAAGCTGTTTTCCATGACGCAGATGGTAGGTTCGGTGAGGAGTAGGTAACTGTAACAAGTTTTTGAAAGTAAAGTTGGAGCTCAATACAACTGGTGAAACTTGAGAAGTTTGAAATTGGTGCTGCACAGGAAAACCATGATTGTACAATGATGTTACAAAATGACTTCCCTGACTGTACTGTCAATGTTTTGACAAGATTGAAAAATAAAACCACTTTGATGGCTATCTTTCCTTAATATTTCCACCAATTTTTAGCTCAATGGAACAAATGGAACTAGAGAAGTTTGAAATATTTTGTTCAAGATGGTGGTCATGTCAGCCATCTTGGATTTCATATATACCCAAAAAATAAGAACCTTAATCAGGACCATCTCAGGATCATTTCGTGTAAGTTTGGGCTCAATCCCACTAGTAGAACTTGAGAAGAAGTTTAAAATGTCAAAAGTTTATGCACGGCACATGGTGCACAGTGGACGACGATGGACAATCAATGGCTACAGGTCATCATGACCCTTCAGTTCAGATGACCTAAAAAAGATCCCATCATAATTATACATAAGATTTAAGATACATAGAAAGGAACTATGAAGACTATTATAACTGACTTAAATTTTTTTTCACCCAATATTTTTTAATCCTTTGGTTTTATAAAAACGAATGTTGATTAATTTTAATCTACCATTTCAAATGGATCAGAACAGATGTTACTGCACTAATTATACACTGCTTTGGCATAAATACACTTTGTGCATCTTACAACAATTTTCTACAATAATTGTAGACTAATAAATAAACATGGCTAATACTTCATCAATAAGGGGAGAAGCTGTTTACAGCCAATAATTAAATATTATATCTATGTATGATTCGGATATCATTGTGTTTATATTACTTATATATAAACCTGGTACTATAGGCTCTGAATACTTCTCGTTTTTATCGTCCAGATTTACATTCCTGAGTAGAAAAGTATAAGAATATAACAAAATCATAACAAAAAATAATAAACATGTTCTTAAAAAAGTCAAATAAACAAAGTATTTTGTATCCATAGCTACAGCAAAGTCACAGTTTTTATCGTGCAAATATTTACATAAAATATTGATACATGATACTGCATGAATATATGAAAAAAATTCAATTTTCTACAATGTCAGAAAATTAATTTTCAGTAAGAGTGACTTATGATATTAAATATTATAAATACATAAATTATGTTTGATATTGAAGAACATACAAAACAATGAAGCAATTTGTTCCTTTTTATTGACTGAACATGCCAAGGAAAGTAACATCTATGTGTAATATCTAGGGGATGATTCTAACACAAAGTAATAATAAATAATATCATACATTTATCAAAGAGTCATGACAATGAAAAACTTTTCTCCCTTCTTATCAATGGAATACTCCTGGTGAATGAATTTTGGGAATTTTTGATGGAAGTTACATCTATACTTAATCAGCCGATGTAAAATTGAAATCGTATGTAGTTATCCTGTAATCAATTCAGGCTATAAACATACAAATTCTGACAAAACTTCAGAGGGTAGGTTTATTACTAGGTAGGTACTGGACAATTAATTAATTTTCTCTATCATTTTTTACAACAGTGTTAAGCCTGGTGGGCTTATTACTGGACACAGATTTACTGTCAGATAAATACAATATTTCCATGTCAACATCTTTTACAATAATTACACAAAGGATATAAAACAGCCAAGGTAATTTTAAGTCTATTTTAGCAGATGGTGTCTACCTCACTGAACGGCATACTAGAGGCCCGTCACAAGCCATCCACGGCAAACAGAAGTGTCAGAGGAAAAAAGCACAGACTGGCCAGTTTCTTAGTCTATGGAGTTCCCGGTAACACAAACTGCCATGGTTAGGAAATCATCTTGTTAACATAGTAAGATAAGCTGATCTCCATCATACATGTATGTAATGTGTAACACAATAACTGCCATCTCATATCACTTACTCAAACCAAATTTGAATCATTTTCAAAGGAAATCTGACAAATTATGCTCCATAATGTAACGTTTCTATATAAACTATAGGAAACTTTACACTCTCCCCAGGGAGGAGTACAAGATGCTGTGTTCATTAGATTCATATTTTGGTAAACTGAATCTTGAGAAGATGATTTTAGCAATTTCATGCAGTTTGTTTAATGATTTTTGTTATTTTTGGAATGTTAATTCCAAGCAATTTAATGCCTTTTGGCCTCTCTCTTGAGAACTGAATATGTTTCACAATTTTGGCTTACATTTGGCTATGGAAGGTTTCTGTGAAATTTCATTTAATTTTGTTCAAGGCTAGAAGAAGTAAAATGAAATGGTTTTGAACAGACATGTGGATAGGTTCTAAAGAAATGAAACTGATTTGAAACTGAATATACGTACAGGTGTAAAATCCTTCCACAAAAGAAGAAAGATGAAAGAAGTGTAACAGTAAACTTGTGATGGGTGTGAATATGTATCTAAAGTGGAGAAAACATTATCAGAGTATATACATATTTCTATCCTAGAAGAATAGAAAATTTAAAAAGTAGAAGAAAATTGAAATTTTAAAGACTTTCTGAATGTATATGATTTTACATGAAGCAGAAACTTCAGTAATATACATCACAAGCATAAATGTATGTACATAGATCCACATACACAAAAAATCGCTATTCCGATATTTTGTAAATCGTGTGTAAGGCATGATGTATCATGTACCTCTCTTGATAGTGAGTGAAGTCTTATTTCATACTAACAATACTAGTATTGTACAGTGCACAAGTGTAAATGCTGACATAGTATAACAATTCAGTTTATTGTCCAAGCCTGGTGCTAATATCAAGTAATTTGTTCGGATAACATTTATACCTGATGTATTACGTAATTAATTAGTGTGCACACTATATGTACAGCACCTATCGTGTGACAAAAATTTCTGCGATCTGACAATTGTACTTAAACTTCTGTTAAAGAGTTACACACTGCTTGTATTGTTACTTAAATAGCAATGCAGTGCAGATTCAAATAACTATATCCCCTATCCCTTGATTAAAATGGGAGGCATCTGACCTTTAACCTTGATCAATGAAATCCAATATCTAATCAGATATACCCCGGGTAGATCTTGTTGGTATGATGGTGTGAATGTAAAGCAAATCAGTTCTGGAGTTAATGAGAACTTGTACATCAGGCTATCATGAACACACTCATGTATAAACAAGTGTAAGTGAGGGTATAACAATTTTGCTACAAAAATTCTGCCTTTTGTTATTAAACAGAGTTAAGTTCTCCTAGTGGTTTTTTTAGTGTTTAATTTTCCTAGCTTTACCTGAAGCAAAATGTCTGAATTTTGTAAGGAAGTCATGAATTAAACTATTGTTTTTCTATCAGGTGAGTATTTTTTCTGATTTGTGCTATCCTTGATCATTGCCAGAGGTAAAATACCTAAAAAAATTGCAACTTTTTACATTTGTGTACATTATGATATGCTACTATATTCCAGACACTGAGACAATTTGTCTGCACAATGTTTATGATGAGTAATTCAAATTAATCTTACCTAGTAGTGATTCTAAATATTTCTATTTTGTTTATCGATATTCTTCAGCTAGTAGTGTTTTGGGGCCATGTTCGAAGATTGCATGAGAAAACTGTGAGAACAGTCGATCCATGTATCCTCCATGACGAGGTAGAATTCCTTCAAGAAATCCAATATGGCCACCATGGGATGTCACGACTATTGCTATGTTGTCGTTTTGTTCTGCTTCTTTGATAGGGATGGCTGGAACATACAACATAAGTGATCATTAGATTTTCAGTTTATAGGTGCATGACCAAAAGAGAAAAAAGCATGGGTACAATGAAATAGGAAACAATTTTGGGGTAGAAGGATAGGGGGTTGTTACAATATTCATGTCCTGAACAGAAATCATGATTATTGTATAGATGTGAATACTCACTGTGTGACTAATTTCAAGAAGACATTGATTTCATTGGGAGATTTCAAGAGGTTCCAGGATCATGATCAAATGATCCATTCTAAATTCCAAACACTTCACATCAAAAAAGTGTTTTTTGTTTGGACTGATCACAAATCCTATTATAAAGTAATTTTTTATATCTGTTTGCAATTACGAAGTTGTATCTATAATTGTCACTGCAATAAATAATGAGAGAAATGGGCGGGCTTATAACATACAGGACAATGACACGGCTTTCATCACAGTTCTACAGTAATCATTCTTCAATACATGTAAGCGTCTTATTACGAGGCATGGTCTTGTTACCAGGTACATGCTGCATTAAGTATACTTACCATGAAACGGAGAGAAGGGATCGTCCGCAGCACTCAGCACTAGTACAGGTACTCTCAGTTTGTGGACACGATTATGTATACAGGCATCTTTATAGTAATCCTGCCAGTCTTCATATCCAAACATTTTTGATGTAAAGCGGTCATCAAATTCTCTTATTGTGGAAGACTTAAAGAAACAAAAGCAAGGTTAAATATGTCAACTGATCTTACAAATTCTTGTAATGTTGTGGATTTACAAACGAAATAGTGGTTAAGAAAAAGATTTTATAATTCAGATGTGAAACAAACATCATTCTCATATCATAGTGATTTCAACAAAAAGAAACAAAACCAGGAGATCCCAGAGGTATCTAGGAGCCCATCATTGTTTGATCATTATTTGTTCTTTTCCCTTCTTTTCTCTTCTCTACTTTGTATTTGATCTCAATAATAAGAAATTTGAGCATTTCTTTGCAGAAATAGCAATAATAATATTTAACTGCCATATCCAAGATGGTCGCCTTGAAGCCATTTTGTTTTTCCAGATCAATCCCAAAATCAAACAGGCACATGAACACATTACATCTGAGAAATATCTATGCTGAAGTTTCAAGAAATAAAACATCTTTGAAAAAATTAAATATGGCCATTTTATTTTTTTATCAGACCCAAAATCAAGCTGGACAAAGGGGAACCTATAACTGAAATCTGAAAAAGATCTATAGAGAAATACTCAAGAAAAAGTGATAACAAACTTTCAAAGTCAAAATCCAAGATGGCCGCCTTTCAGCAATTTCTTTTTTCTGATCAGTTCCAAAATAAAACGGGCACAATCAAAATCAAGGGAAACCTACACATGACATTTGAGAAAGATCTTTATTGTAGTTCTCGAAATATAAAAAAAAAAACCAGATAAAGGCATTTTATAAAAGTTAAGTTGCAATCTGTTCTTTTGAAATTCTGAAACGGAGAGAAGGGATCGTCCGCAGCACTCAGCACTAGTACAGGTACTCTCAGTTTGTGGACACGATTATGTATACAGGCATCTTTATAGTAATCCTGCCAGTCTTCATATCCAAACATTTTTGATGTAAAGCGGTCATCAAATTCTCTTATTGTGGAAGACTTAAAGAAACAAAAGCAAGGTTAAATATGTCAACTGATCTTACAAATTCTTGTAATGTTGTGGATTTACAAACGAAATTGTGGTTAAGAAAAAGATTTTATAATTCAGATGTGAAACAAACATCATTCTCATATCATAGTGATTTCAACAAAAAGAAACAAAACCAGGAGATCCCAGAGGTATCTAGGAGCCCATCATTGTTTGATCATTATTTGTTCTTTTCCCTTCTTTTCTCTTCTCTACTTTGTATTTGATTTCAATAATAAGAAATTTGAGCATTTCTTTGCAGAAATAGCAATAATAATATTTAACTGCCATATCCAAGATGGTCGTCTTGAAGCCATTTTGTTTTTCCAGATCAATCCCAAAATCAAACAGGCACATGAACACATTACATCTGAGAAATATCTATGCTGAAGTTTCAAGAAATAAAACATCTTTGAAAAAATTAAATATGGCCATTTTATTTTTTTATCAGACCCAAAATCAAGCTGGACAAAGGGGAACCTATAACTGAAATCTGAAAAAGATCTATAGAGAAATACTCAAGAAAAAGTGATAACAAACTTTCAAAGTCAAAATCCAAGATGGCCGCCTTTCAGCAATTTCTTTTTTCTGATCAGTTCCAAAATAAAACGGGCACAATCAAAATCAAGGGAAACCTACACATGACATTTGAGAAAGATCTTTATTGTAGTTCTCGAAATATAAAAAAAAAAACCAGATAAAGGCATTTTATAAAAGTTAAGTTGCAATCTGCTCTTTTGAAATTCTCTTATAAAGTGAAAATAATTGTGTGGTTTGAATTTGATTCAAAGTAAAACATCTGAATATGGATAACCATGAATGACTTTCAGAAAAAACAACCTAAAGTTACATACATATTGCTTTCTAGCTGCAATTTTGTATCTCTAAACAACACAATGGTTTGATTATATTAAGTTATCTAGCTGCCAAGGAGGCCTGGGATTCATACAAGACATTTTTTATTCACTGCCCTGCTGTGATTTTCAAACATCTGTTAAGTGACTTACCTTAAAGACATGGTCAATGTCATCAAAATGCTGTTCAAAGACTTCAACATTCCTGAAAATAAATCAAAATAATCCAAATGTTGCCTTTTATCATACAGTTTTTCACATGTTTGTTTTCAAACAAATCTTCAATACTCCAAGGGCTCTCTGCATCCTTGGAACATCTCATGGCAAAACTGATGGTTTCATGTGTGGCACCTTGTGGGTAAGTCAGGAAGACTAGTTTGGTCCTTTGATGTACATAAAACCTTCTATGTAAACTTAAAAGGAGCGTATCAGTCTGTGATAGGTGAGTTTTTTTCTCCTGAAACTTACTCTAGAACAATCGCATAACTTTGCTTGTACTTAAAATTTTGCCATGAAATGTTCTAGGGTGAAGATAATGACAGTGAGTGAAACTGTGAAGTACTGAGGATGACAAAATCTAACTCTGAATTTGTTGACCAAAGATAGGAAACTGACACCTGAATTTTATTCTTCTTCCCAATCTATGTAAATTAATATTTGCATTTTCAATTTTTGCTGTAAGGATAACTCAAGTTTTTTTCTTTCATAATCACAGTTTTTGCAAGATAATTGAGTCTCTATGGGAAGAGTTGGTAATACAATACATCTTGCAATTCTTATTTTTGTGCTCGTAGAAAATGCCAAAAATACCTGTCCACAAATATAACCATTTATATGGTAGAGTGTGTACAGATTACCTTGATGTTACAATGTGATTTTCATGACTCCCCTCTCTATACTAGGCTGATTAGTTACCATATTATAAGTTGACCTAATTTGTATAAATTTTAATTAAAATCTATTAAGAAATAAAAAGATACTAGAGAACTAATAATAGCACTAAAGTGGTGAATAATTTTCTAGTATGAATCTTTGTGTTGGCCTTGACCTTGGAAACATGAGACACAAACTCTTCTGGCCCTGACCTTGGAAACATGAGAGACAATCTCTCCTGGCCCTGACCTTGGAAACATGACACACAATTTCTTCTAAGATATTATAAACAGATCCTTACTTAAATTTTCAAATATCGTAATTAAAGAGGCCTTAAAAGACACCTGGCTGAAAACAGATTCAGGATGGTATGAGTCAGGACAGGATGACAACACTACATCCCTGCCTGACTCTGTTCAAAATAAAAATGGCAGATTGGCAAAATGTTTTCTGTGTATCTGGTATGTTGACAAACCTCTGTATAGAATAGACAAGATTTTTGGCGAGAGCTCGGTTGAGGACATGTCTATTGATTCCTGGCTTCTCAAGTTCTACATAGGACTCAAACACATTCCACGCCACAGATACACACATTCCCGCCTGCAGTTTGGATTCACTACCCATCTTAGACAGATACTGGAATAGGATCATTCTGTAAAACATCAAATCATTTTATAGTTATCATCACGAAATTATATACAATTTATTGAATATCAAATTCAAATTTATAACATCATGATGAGAAATATTATCACTGATCTGGCCAGTTATATATTTCAAACCTTTATGGGACTTACCTGCTAGAGTTTAAAGTTCCTATATGAACTTTCCTGTCCTGTGAGAGTTTGGCCCCTATAAGAATTTTCCTGTCCTATGAGAGTTTGACCTCTATAAGAACTTCCCTATCCTGTGATCTGGATTCCTTGTTGGACTTCCCTGTTTCAGTGAGAGTTTGACTCCCCTAAGTACTTACCTGCTCTGATAGTGGTTGGTTGACTTCTGTCTCCATGACTCTTTCTATTGCTAGGTGTCATCTTACCCATCAACATTTTTTATCCTTATAGAGACTACACTGCTTGGTGAAATTTTAACGTGCTCAGTAAGATTTTGATCCCTTTAAGGACTCACCCGCCCAGTGAAATTCCAGCCCCTATAAGTGGTGCATTAGGATAACGATCCTTTATGAAAGATACTACAAAAGCCAGATCTTCAGTATTTGTGGCACAATAGGTCCTCGCAGTCTAAAATTAAAATTAAAAAAATCAATTTTAGTCTTAATGAAGATATTTGTTCGGTGAAACAAACATATCAATGTCTTTAAATATTTTTGTAATTTCATATCAATTCTTATTGTCATATTCACTTAGGAAGAAATAAAAGACACCATTATGAGGAAAACAAGGTTCAGAGATTTTAAATTAAGCCATACTGTAATCAATTAGTTGTCTTCATCTTACAGATGACCCTGAAATGATTTACAACATTTTACACTCACCAGGAGTTTGACTCCTCCATTGCCACGATTGTTAAAAACAACGGACCTAAAACAGCAATTAACATGGACAAACAATGTTTATGTCAATAATATTTCAGACTTGATCAGGGAGGTTCAACAGAATATTAACCATATAAGCTCACAATGCAAATTAAAACAAGAGGCCCAAGGGCCTTAACGGTCATCTGAATCACAATGATTCTCATAACATGTCATAGAAATATGTTTGTTAAAAAAGTCAAATAACTTTATCTGCATTGTGCACGAAATGTAAATAGTACATAACATAAACTGCTGTTTCATGTTAAGGCCTCTAACCAAATTTGAATTGAAAGAAATTACACCCAATCATTGAATTTTCCTACATAAAATCTTTCACCAAGGTACAGAAGAACATCTTTGAAAATTTCAGTCAATTTGACCCATTTCTGGCCCCGTCTATCAGTCCCTAAGGGTCAGCCATGGTCAGTATGTGCATCTTATCAAATTGTCACCTTATACTTATAATTTCAACCAAAGCTGAACTACTTCTGAAAGAAAATAAACAAATTATGCTCAAAAATGTTATTTTCCTATATATCCTATATAAACTACACCCTCTCCACCAGCAGATTATGTCATACCTGTCAGGATCAGTTGGAAGTTATTAATTTATCTTAATTCTCAGTATTCAATGAAATTGCACAATGTAACAGATAGCAAGATTTTTTATTATCTGTTTGGATGTTTGTAAGGATATGCATTTCCAAATAAGACTGAAAGAATTTGTTTACCACAATAATTGAAATAAGGACATGAATTGAGAGTCAAAGTACCTCTGTATACCATTAAGCTGTCATCTCAATGATTTCTAAAATCTAAATTCATTTCAATTAAAATTGAACAAAATGCCTAAAACACTGCTATCTCCCTACATAAACTGAAGCAACCTTCACTCCCTACTGAGAAGGAAATGTGAAATCCTGGAAATTTGCAATTTTGGAAGAGATTCTTAGATCCATCTAGTAGTATCATTCTGCCATGAGTATTTAAATCCACCAAACCTGGGTTTCAAGAAGAGAATTTTAGACTTTCAGTAAAACCATGTTTACGCTGTCTCATGGGCATCTTAGAGTCAGGGTGAAAATGTGAAAACCATCAAACTGCAACTCCATGCTTGTAATCCCTACTGAACAGCCTGACTTTTGTTTTAAATAAAATGAAGTAAAATCTACACAAAAGTGTTATTTTCCTTACCAACGTTACTAGGATTGTTTTATGAACTTTGGGAATGATCCACAGAATACAAACCTGTAGCCATGTTGTGCTGCCTCATGAACGTACTGTAATACATATGAGTCACTGCTGGTACCTACACCAAAAAGGCAACAGTTACTGTTAGCACTTACATAAACATATACATTAATTGAGTTTTCTATGAGACCTAGAAAATTGAAATTGTACCTACACTATTTAGGAGTTACCTGTGAGACCAGGACAAGTAAGACAGTTCCTACACTATTTAGGAGTTGGTTTAAACAATATTTCATTTTCAGATTTTCATTTACAACATACACATACACAAATTATAAAATTGAAAATGGATCTGGCAACAAGATTATAAATCTTATATTAAGCCATCTCCAATATAAAACAGTTCCAATAGTACAATTTACATTAAACACATTAAAAGATTTTTTTTAACTTAACATTCACTGATGAACACTGACCGTTATTATGTTAACCATTACAAGATAACATTAGTTGGTAAGACAGGAGAAAGGAAGAGGTAAAGAGAGCACACCCTGCACCTAGAATCTACCCGACTCTACAATGTACCTTTGTACCTTTTCAAATATACCTAATGATATTATCATCTTGAGACAGGTTTGGGTCACCATAAATGAGTAATTCCAGTGATCAATTGAAATTTAATGTATCTAGGGTATTTTCTCTAGCTCGATTATAGCGTACACACTGCATCAGATAATGATAAGGAGTTTCAACCTGCCCACATACACACAGATCTGTATCTGAAACATGATTATTATAGAAATGGTAACTGAGAGAGCTACATCCAAGACGTAGATGAGTGTGCATTACCTGAGCCCAGCGCTCACCAACAAAGTAGTATAGAGGTTTAATAATTTGTTTATCTAGGTGTTTTTGAAAGTGTTCAAAGTTGGAGAGTTTCTTATGTTATTTGGTATGCCATTCCATTCCCTAATAGAAGTAGATAAAAAAGAGTTCATATAGATATTTGTCCTACTTGCTGGCGGACGCATATTTGAATTGGTCCTTAAAATATAATTTTGGGCATTTCCTATCATAGGAGGAAGCAAATTTTGTAAGTATAATGGTGCAGCGCCATGAATAATTTGAATGAAGTTAACATTCTATGCTTGTAACGCCTACATGCCAAAGTTTCCCAACCTGTTTCAAGAATTCAGAAGTTACCTGTGAGACCTGAACAAGTAAGACAGTTCCTACACTATTTAGGAGTTACCTGTGAGACCTGGACAAGTAAGACAGTTACTACACTATTTAGGAGTTACCTGTGAGACCTGGGACAAGTAAGACAGTTCCTACACTATTAAGGAGTTACCTGTGAGACCGGGACAAGTAAGACAGTTACTACACTATTTAGGAGTTACCTTTGAGACCTGGACAAGTAAGACAGGTCCTACACTATTTAGGAGTTACCTGTGAGACCTGGACAAGTAAGACAGTTACTACACTATTTAGGAGTTACCTGTGAGACCTGGTAGAAGTAAGACAGTTGGTCTGGTTTCTGTGTCAGGGTAAATATCATTGTCATTTTGGTACCAGTCCAGCAAGATTTGTCCACCATCTTCCATCTTAATGAGTTCCCTGTAAATAGAGTACACATTTATTGTTTACATCTGATGTACAATTTCCAATGCAAAGTTTTTAAGTAAAGGTTGTAGTAAGACTACAGTAAATATTTTATGCTTACAAATTATTATTACTGTGTAGATGTTTTTAACAATATGAAACAAGCTCAAGGATTTCACAGGTCAGCTGAGACCTCCATACATTTCCAGAGACATCACATTATGTTCTAGAACTGGGTCAGTAGGACAAAAATAACAGTAGTAAATATTGTAGGTAAAAATCAAATACATTTTCATACGTTCTGAAATAGTAGAAAAAAAACTCTTCCTTACCCTTCATAGGTCAGCATTGGAGCAGATTTTAAAAAGGAGCGAAGTATTGTTTGAGCCCTGGATTCAAAACACCAAATAGTGGGAGAATACTTTTCTGAGATAACAGGACAGTGATCCAGCAAAAAGGTACGGAACTTTGTATCTTTACAGGCCAGCTTGGGCTTCTGAAACAGACAAAATATAAGGCTATATCTATCCCTTTTAACTGATAGCTTCCACTACATTAAAATGATAGCTATTATAGTTTGTAAATGCATTTTATTTTGATGATTCAATAAAAAATATGTTTACATACTGAAGTGAGTATACATGTAATTATAATTACTAATTAGTCCCAGCTGCTTGTTAATGGGACGTAAAGCAACGATAAACTAATCTAGATAGTCCATGGCATTTAACTGATTGTAAGGAAGTCAGTTAAATCAATAAATGTATTAGTAACAAGATAATGCAAAATCCCCTGATCCCAGCTGTTTAATGGTCAGACACACAATAATATCTATTTAGATATGATAACTAGTATATAACTGTATTCCACCAGTGTTACTTGTGTTTTTATGTAGATCATTTTTTACTGTCAGTCATTTTTTGAGTATTGTTTGGCATCATTCACAAATACCATGGTTACATATTTGATAGTTCCATACAACAATGGATGGACAGCTGGAGCCCAATTCAATATCCCTTACAAACGTGTATCGCCAAGGATAATTTTGATGTCTATTAATATTTAAAAGGATAAATCTAATTACCATTAAATAAGTACTTCAATTAAACACGAAGACGTCTATCTAAACATTAAGGTTTGTTTATTTAAACAAACAAAATGATTTCTATTTCCATAAATATGAAAATGTCTTGATTATTTCATTATTTAAATAAATATGAGGACCATGTCTAATTTAAATAACATCATAAGGATGTTAACTATCATGCTATTACACTGTACAGTCAATTGTTGTCTGCCTTTTATATATAATTTTTATTATCATTCAGTGAACTTTGCTGCTCTTTGACACTCTATAGTATATTGATATTGACAGTATCATCACAGTTGATGTAATGGAATGTTAGAAACTTTGATTGCTATATTATTAAATATTATGCTTCAGAAATCATTTGATCTTCGGACGATGTTTCCAAACTATAGTTATCTAATATCTAGATAAAGCCCCTCAAAATCAAGGGAGTGTCATGTTTTAAAGGGTCATTGGGGGAACAAGACTTCATAATGAATTCTATTGTATAGTTATCACTTCAGGGCTAGAAAAAAATATTTTCAGCAACTCGTCTGTTGGGCAAGTGAAACTTGAAATTCACTTGCCCGAATCCAACATTCACTCACCCGAAGAAAATAGGCAACAAAACATAATTTAAGGAACACAAATTTTATTATCAATTTCTATATCAAATGTTTGAACTCAACACTTGCTTTTATTGTTTTACTCATATTTAATTCACTGTTAACGCGAGCTAGAACATTGACTTTTTGACAGTAACTACGTACACTAAACAACCTTGCTAACAACATTTGTGGTAAAGTAATAGGTTTTCGCGTTGTCTGGATCAGCCCAAGTCTTCACACGTGGTGAAAAGAAGGATACAACATCGATCGACTATCAGTGGATTTAAATTAGTCTTAAGAGTGTTTAAGTTGATAAACGTCATTTATTATGGAAAATTCAGTAGTCAGAACTACAAATTTCACTCGCCCGCCGGACAAGTAACTGAAACAAATCACTCGCCTGCAAGTACGTTTGGCTCGTCTAGACGAGTGGATTTTTCTAACCCTCCACTTTTGCAAGATCAGGTTTTATGTTTACTCACAGAGTTAGAATATTATCCAAGTCCATATTTTTTTTAAACATTAATTTTGACTACATTAAAATTCTAGTTTTAAATGAAAGAAAAACAACTGATATTAATAGATGGGGATGTAAGTTAGGCTGCAGAGAAAATTCGGATTAATTTTAATTCTTCCTTTGTGTTCCTTCCAATAAAATAGTGTTTGAATCCTTTTCTTTTTATTTCAAAGGTAAAGAGAAATATGTACATGTGTCTGAATCGGAATTATTAAATGTTTTTTTCAAGTGACAAGTGAACAGAAATATAAACCGTAACAATGCATTTGAGTCAATTAACAACAATTCTATAAAGACCATTCTACAACTGAGGATTTGCAGGGTTCATGCTTTTCATGTGAGCCACCAAAATTTTGAGAAACAATCTTGAGCTATTGATCAGACTTGTCATAATTCTGGACAAAATGTCCCTAAATCGCTTAAAAATACGACAAAAATTACATATTGTTCAAGTCGCCTTAAAACCCTACAAAAATTACATCATGTTTAACTGCAGGGCAAAGACACAGTAACATATAGTTATACACTAGTCTTAGCTAGTATGTGTTATTATGGACAGCTTTTGTTCTCTGTTGGTACAGTAAGAATCAATATATTATACAATACCTATAGTCAATAGATGCTATATATAATGCCAATGTGTCCAGGGCTGGGAAATTAGTCCATGTATATGGTACCATATGGACATTTAGAATATTACATTGTAAATAATTTATCAATCACACATACTAAGTGTTAATTAAGTTAAATTAAACCGAACGTCTATAACTTACATGAATAGGTAGACTTCGGCAGGGACGTATAATACTTTATTATACGTCCCTGACTTCAGTAAATAAAAAAAATAATTGAAAAAAAGTCAAATATTTTTATACTATCGACATCAGCATCCCTATTGTAGTCATTCAGCTGCAGTGAAGGCTGCGCTTTGTCAGTTGTGCATTAAAAATATTTCTTTTGATCTTGTATTATTAATCAATCTGCATACTGCCGGCTCCGAAATCGATCCAATGGCAAGGATATCTGATGATTTCACTTACCTTAGCGACAAATAAAGCATAGTACGCTAGGTAACCAGAGAAGAACACAGCCACAACCGCCATGGAAGCATTTTGCTGAAGCAGCTCGATCATTTTCCTAAAATTAAGAGAATTTCCTTAATTTTACGATGTGACAGATGCAACGGTTCAGCTGCTTTCACACATGTGACCCAGACGATTTAACCTTTCCGATTCCGACCTTCCGCATTGGAATATTTCATTTGGAGGGGTAAGGTAAGATTAACGTTATTTTTCCTTATAGCAAAATCTAAACAAGGCTAGCGTTTTTGCACAGAAAAAGAATCATATCTTAAAAAGATAGAAAAATGAGTTGAAACGCACGATAAGACTTATCAACACTATTTGATTTTACGTTGAATATACAACTTGATTAACCTGTCATTTAATAGTATTACATTAGTATGATCGTCCATGTCACTTCCGGACTGTTAAAATCAACATGGCGAGCGGTGCACTTTTCGGAAATTCGGCCACCCGGTCTTCCAGCAAAAACCTTGTGGAATTTCGGGCTGGAAAGATGTTCATGAAGGGCAAGATGGTCCATCCAGACAAGAGGAAGGGACAGGTGTACGTTTATCAATCAGAGGACTCACTGATGCATTTTTGTTGGAAGGATCGGACCACCGGCACTGTCGAAGATGTAAGAAAACGTCAAAATAGCTGAATCACATGTCAAAAAATGTCGGCTTAAATTCTTTCTAGCTTCTTTCCGCTGCTCTTAACGTTAAGAAATTCACTTATAAAATAAGTTAATGTTAGTTGATGGCGTTGCTATATTTTGTTTTAACAGTTAACTTATAATTAGTCACCGGCTTTCAACTTATTCTGATTGATGGACGAATCGTCCCAGTTTGTCTGGCCAGTCTGGGCGAGTTTACCGTCCAATCATGGGTAGTTCCTACTTGTCTCGGCTGTCATTACTCCTATTAATGTAATACCATGTGGTCCACCACAGGAGTCTGACGTTCTGAAAAGGCACTAGTTTTAATTTTACAGCGGTTATTGAAAAATTCAGACTCCTCTGGTCCAAAACGGACTTAGATTCCATGGGTGTTCATTTATGCAATAAACTGATCTCAATTTGCTATCTGACATTCAAGACTTGTAATTTTGGAATATTTGTATGACTTCCCCATTGTTTGGTCTTGAAGTGTTCTAAAATACATGTCTGCATTTTTAAACAGGCCACTGTCGTCATTATCTGTTTGATCACTGAAAGGTATTGTAGGGAACAGCACATTAAGATAGATATCTCTCATAGTGTTGGTCTTTACTTTTGTCAACGAGATAGCAGAGGAACCTCACTGGGGCCAGTTCAAAAGCGTTTCATTTTGGGTTGATCTTTTAACGACACTTAATTTACTATCTGTTTTCAAAATAGGTCCGCAACAATTTGATTAACACATTCTGACATAGTGCTTTTGTATTTTAAACAAATGTTCATTTGTCAAAAACTGCCTATTATGTACCAAACAGCTTATAGTCTGACCGCAACCAAGACAAGAATAAAATTGTGGATAGATGGTCAGGACCTTATGACTACAAACAGCTGGTCTGTTTCAGCAGTTTCCTGGCCACCATTGAGGCACTGTAATAATTATCCAAAATATTTTATGTCCGGCGTTAGAGCTAAAAAAAGACAGTTTGGTAGAACACTAATATTTAAGAGATATTGAAAATGAAATACAGGTATGGCTTGGAGGTACCTGATCTTGACCTTTCAGACTCCTAATGAATACTCAAAAGTCTGTATTTTGAGTAAAACATATCTAGAACAGGAAAGGCTATAGTAATTTATATAACATAGTTATTTTTAGCCAAGACCTAAACATTACCTGCAATTAAAGACCCTATGCACATTGATAATGTTAGAAGGTATACATTTGTAAATGTTCTCGGGTAAATTTACACAGGTATAAATAACAACTATTTCAATATTTTATTATCAAACTGATTTTTTGTTGACAGGATCTGATCATTTTCCCTGATGATGTTGAATTTAAGCATGTGACTCAATGTACAACAGGACGTGTGTATGTCCTCAAGTTTAAGTCCTCCACTCGGAAATTCTTCTTTTGGATGCAGGTAAGAAAGTTGATGATTAAGTATTGTTTCCTTTGTAATGAAATTATATTACCAATTTTAGAGTAATGAGCAGAACTTTCAAGATATCGCTGAAATCTGACTTGCAACAAATCTGGGTGTTACTGTACTATCCATAAGTATAAATATCACCATAGACATCATGTTATGTTAAATATACCCCTGATTGAAAATTTGAAAATTTGATGTTGTCCATCTGTCATTCTGTCTGTGAGCATCACCAGTTTTGAGCAATGATGCATAACACAAGTTATAGTGGAGTTATGGAGTGCATGCTCATGATTGTGGATTAGGTCTAAATATGAAAGAAACATCAAGGTTACTGTTAATATAAAAAGAAAATTGGTTTCTGCCCAATAGCTGACGTGTATCCTTTGACTGAATGAACTTAAAACTTCACAAAGTGTTTCCCTTATAACACAGTTTCCTTGGGATTAAATTCTGATGTAAAAGGTTAAAAATAAATTTCAATGTTTATATGCATAGAAAACTCATCTTGGTCAATAACTTGAGTTCCCTTGGATCAATCAATCTCTATCTTCACACACTGCATTCTCAAGCAACTATGCTTGTTATTTTTTCATTGCTTTTCAAGTTAAAATGTCAATTTTGGTCAAGGTTACTGATACTACGAATAGAAAATTCTTTTCATCACAATATTTTGGTATTTCTGAACTGATCACTCTCTATGGACAATCTAATGTTTGTGAGAATCTGTTTGTATTGATTACAGCAATGCCTTGTTATTAATACAAAATTATGATACATAAACCACTCTAATGTTGACCGTCCTTATTTATGAATTGAGGTGTAATTAATGAAGAAATCATGTCAATTTTTATCTTTTTTTATAAACATAACAATAGGAACCTAAGTCAGACAAAGATGATGAACATTGTAAGAAAGTGAACGAGTACCTGAACAATCCGCCCACACCAGGATCAAGTCGTGCTGGAGGTGGCATGCCCTCTGAATTGTCTGGTATAGGTAAGGACATAGGAATATACTCAATAATCCCTATTAATATACTTACTCTTTTGTACCTTCAGCAAATTCCCCAGTTTTGATAAGATATACAGTATCAAGGTCAATATATGCATCTCATCAAGCTATCATCTCTAATCAAGTTTGAATCAGTTCTAAAAGAAAATAAACAAATTATGCTCAAAAATGTAATTTTCCTATATACACTATAGTAACTTTTACTCTGTAAATTGGCATTGGTCCCTTTTGCAGTAATTTTAAGGAAATGTTCATGATCTTCTAAGCGTTAGATACGTAGAGATTAGAAAATTTATTATTGGATTTGTTTGGTTCCTTTGATGGTAATCTTGAGAAAATATTGATTTTCTAAGGAATTGGCTAACAATATAAGATATAACTTGACATCATCTGTTATTAATGAACTGATGATTTAATATTAAAAAAGGGAAATAAAACCAGTTAAAATTAAAAAGACCAATTTCTGACACAGGATAAGAGATAAGGTATACATGTACATGCCCATCATACTTGGTATGAGGTGGTTTATTTAGACAGAAATATTGGAAGCTGTAATGTAAGGCTTTTATCATTGTTTTGTCACTCAAATTTTAAACAGTTGAAAGTAGTGCAGTTACCAATAAAAAGGGGAAAAAAAACAAGACCAAGTGTCAAAATGTTTTATATCTTAAAACATTGATCTTTGTTTTTTATGGTTTTATTTTCCTAAAATACAGATCAGATGCTGACAGACTGCTGAATGATAGCTTTATTGGCACATTATCTCCACAACATGTGAATTTCCCTCATCATCACATTACTGACAATACTGACATAATCGTCCAGCGTTAACTCCTCCATCTTTCAGAACGCTGTTCCATTGAGTTAGGTTGGACAACGGGAAGTCATTCTCGTTGTCTGATGTGTCCCAAATGACTACAGGCTGATATACGAAGGGGGGAAATCCTGCTTTCGCAAAGCATATACAAATGCATTCTTCTATCAGTTTTTAAATCATGCATTGTAATGCATTTTTGGGTCCCAACTTTCACTTTCAAAGAGAGACAATAGACAGCAATTCCAGAAATTCACATTAGGTACAAGCATTTTCAATGAATTTTGCTTTCTGTCAACGAAAATTCATTATATGCAAATTTGTTATATATTTAATATGTAAGTAGTGAAATTGATGAGTAAAATTCAGGGATTCAATTTATTTCATAATAGACAACAACTCATACCAACTCACTTTGTCTTAGGAAAGTTTTATTGTATATACATATATACTATATATATATATGAGAAATAAACGTAGTGTAGAAAACTAAAATCAATGAAGATTTTAGATATCAGGTTTTGAAATATAAAAGTCTGTTTACTTTTATAGATAATAATTGGAATAATTTAAATCTGTACAACAAATTTATTTCTCAAGGTGACTCTGACCTCCAGAACATCATCGGGGGTATGAGCCAACAACAGCTGATGCAGCTTCTAGGTAAGTAGATGACAGCTTTTGATGACTAGCAATGATTTTCCTTGTTCATGAAAAAAACAGAAATTTCACATGTGTTGGATTTTTTCTGTCTTTCCCTGTCAGAGTTCATCACTGCATGTTGTTTGATTAAGTTAACAGTGATTGTAGCATTGTTTAATCATTAAATATCAAGCACAGTGTTTAGCTAAGATTTTTTTAGTAATTTGGAGAGTTATTCATTCTATATTCTTTAAAGGAAATTCATGTCTGGAATGGAAAGTCGTTTGAGATTTTAGAGAGTTATTTCCATTGAAGACTCTTTGACCTTAATTTTCCCATGATGCTCAATTTTGTAACAGATATTTCAGTTGAACTGAGAGTACTTGCACCTTACTATAATTTTCTCTATTGTTTTTGGTCAGAACTGTTTCAGTTCACCGTTGGATGTTTATTTTGATGTGTTTACAGGTGGTATGGGAGGAGGAATGGGGATGGGGGGAGGAGGTGGAGGCCTATCAGCACTTATGGGAGGTCGACCTACAAGTGCTACATCCACAGCATCAGAACCGTAAGTTTAAATGTAATGTTTGTCAATTTTGCAGCAATTTACAAGTCAGTGATCAGATAGAAATATATTCAGGAGTAGACTACAAATATTGAGAATTATGCATAGAACAGGTTTCATTTGGGATCTGCCATTGACCTCGTAAGGTCCCTAGATTCTAAGAAGAAGGGCTGGTTACTAAAATATTGTGTTTTGTGTTCCGCAGTATCTGGAAGAAACAATTTATTATACTTTAAGAAACACTTTTTGATCATCAAGCGAATATTCCTTAAATAAGCAAGAATATAATCTCTACAAAAATACACACATATATCTGTTTAATGTCATATTCTCTTTAACAACTAACTCAATGCTGTGTTTGTTTTTAGTAGTACATGTAAATTCTTTCTTCTGACATGTAACTTCGTTTCCAGCCCGATGAGAGTACAGTCTTCTCCAGGAACCAGAGGCACAGATTCTCCTTCACAGGCTCCACGGCCAGTCACTGCAGCAGCTCTTCCTTCCCAGGCCACACCCACAACCACAGCACCAGCCACTCAGAGCACAGGGGGAGGGGCACCCATGACAACCACAGCTGCCACACCCACTGCTGGGGCATCGGCTGCTCGCCAGGCTATCCAGCTTAGTGATTTACAGAATATACTTTCCAGTATGAAAGGTGGGGACATTTCTAATCTGACAGTTTTAATTATACATTAGTTTAGTGTACATTTTTGAAATCTGTTGCACATTAAGCCAAGTCATTTCTAGGAAGAAGAAGGGTTCTGGGAAACCAATGGAATGCAACATATGATAACAGCATCATTATCCATGTATAAGAAATAAATGTGTTTCATAGAAAATGTGAACAAGAGGTAAAAGGCACAAGGCACTCGGCTGTATTCACATTTTCATTTAACCAAACATTAATATTCTTATTTGACTTCTCACACTCCATAGGTCTGAATTGATCAGTTTGTAGGTCAGTCTCAAGTGACCTTTTGTGACTGTCTTTTGTCCAGTACCATGAAACAAACTATAGCAGGGGAATCCCCTAACCAATGATATTGATATAGGCCATACTCTGCTAGCTGCTGAATCTATAGCAGATTTCACTCACTCATACTGAATCTTACATATTGTATACATTCACCAAAAGTTGATGCATTCCTGTAGTTTGCCAAATGTACAAAAAATTTAAACACAATGCTTTTGCTGCAGAAGTTGCCACAAATTATATTTTGATCAACAGTATAGCTACAGGGATCTCAGTCAAGAAGTAAAATATTTCAGGTAATTGATATTGAAATTTTCCACCAGCCTGAACACAAACTGTACTAGGTCAGGTAGAGCATCAGGTGTGTTGAAAATATACAGTGCTAATTCAGTTTGATATACATTTGTAACCATAACCATTTTGGGATTTTGAGATTTGCGACATACAATTGCAGAAATTTACAAATGTATTGTTCTACTTTTTTTCCAGTTCCTGGGTCAGACTCGAAACAAGGTGAGACAATTTGTTACATCTAACCCCAGCGAGGTATATACTGTTCAGCCGAGCTATCTCCTTTATATATATCAGTAGTAAACTAATGATAAAGATTTCTCTGCAAAATATGTAAACTGGCCTGCATTAAAATCTTAAAGTCAGGATATGATACTCATGGTCTTATATCTATGTCTTTTATTATGTTGCAAGAACTCTTGTTTTCTTGCCATTATCATAAGGCCAGCACATTACCTCTAGCGTTAAATATGGGTGTGGCCCAAATGGGAGTTGTTTCTAAAGCCCATAGGGTGTGGCACAAATGGGAGTTGTTCCCAAAGCCCATGGATTTGGCCCAAATGGGAGGTGTTTCCAAAGCCCATGGATTTGGCCCAAATGGGAGGTGTTTCCAAAGCCCATGGGGTGTGGCCCAAATGGGAGTTGTTCCTAAAGCCCATGGGTTTGGCCCAAATGGGAGTTGTTCCTAAAGCCCATGGATTTGGCCCAAATGGTAGGTGTTTCCAAAGCCCATGGGGTGTGGCCCAAATGGGAGTTGTTCCTAAAGCCCATGGATTTGGCCCAAATGGTAGGTGTTTCCAAAGCCCATGGGGTGTGGCCCAAATGGGAGTTGTACCCAAAGCCCATAGGGTCAGCACATTACCTCTGATTCTCTTATAAATCTACTTGAAATAAGTAGGTAAGGGTGAGCTTATTACTGGATAGATATTGAAGTAGAAACTGGTTTATGTTGCAGATATTGATCTAGTACAGGCATTAAACCCAGAAATGATGATACCTATCTTAGCCAACAAAGATGTACAGGAGAGACTTATAAAGTTCCTACCTGAGGGCGAGTCTCTGCCAAAGACGGAGGCAGAACTACGCAACACTATCTCATCACCACAGTTTCAACAGGTAAATATTATACATACCTTATAACAGGTTTCACCACACACAAATTTAGCCATTGTGGATAAACTGTCTAATTTTAGTGGAGTAATATTTTCATAACAAGTAATCATTAAATAAGACTAAAAAATGAAAATAAATTGTACAGCAATAAAGAAGGGAATCAATGGGTACATGTGTAATGTGACGTAATGCTGAGTTATTTACCTTTATAAAAATGTCAACACATATTGCGCCGTGGCAATAAAGGGTAATATAAAACATTTACTGACCTTTAGATCACTTTTATCTATGATTAATTTTCTACCTATTACTATTAAGTAAAGTATCATTTAGATTCTGTTATTAGTGGTACCCTTTAATAAAACCTTGAAATTCCTGGTGTGCGATGGATGTTTCACAGGAGTAGCCCTCAAAATTCACAATATTTAGCTCTATTTCATACATGTAGATGTATTTACTTCTCCTTAAATTTTGTGTTTAAGTTCAAAGCCTTTGATAAATTCATGCTTCTCTCAGGGGTCATTATTGGTATCTCAATTAGAAACTTCGACATATCATAGAAGTGACATATTTGTACAGATGAAACAATATACAGTCAAAACTTGTTATCTCGAAATTCAAGGGACTGTGAGGAATATATCAACTTAGCCGAATTTTGACTAAAACAAAGTTTATAAATAAGGTTGGCGATATCAATTTCAACCCATGATTTTGTTCAGACAAAAGTTGTTCCAAGATAATTGTAAAAGTAATTGTCTAAATCATGTTTACATTAATCGGTAACAAACAAACTTGTGTCCATGACTACATCATACCTCTATTACTATGACTACATGGTGCCTCTGTCGCTATGACTACATAATCAATTGTTATGACTCCATCATACCGCTATTGCTATGACAACACGATACCTCTGTTGTTATGACTACACCACACATATATACCTTTTTTGCTGTGAAAATAGGCACTGTCCTCCTTTAGTGCTGCTCTCCAGTCTGGACAACTTGGCCCTCTGATGTCACAGTTTGAGTTGGGGGTGGATGTGGCTACTGCTGCTGCACAAGGAGGTAAGTGTGTAGGTCAGGTTTCCTTAGCTTGGTGATTTAAAAAAAAACCTGTCTATAGCTTCTGGTATTGTGATCTGGTGAAGGTGAATATTTCAAAGAATGACAGCAAAGAATTTTAAGTCTTAATCATAAATAATTAATATGTTGTTGTAAAGACCTGGCAATATGTCTTTGTAGAAACATATATTTCATACTGAAACATAAATTATGTTTCGGGACATTGTAAAAATTAGAGGCATCTTTCACTTAACTCAGTGGAATTCATAAATATCAATATTTAATAAGTGAAATATTGTCTGCTAACCTAGTGGTCAAATTAGTGTCTCTGCCTTTCTGATTGGTTAATGTGGTGATAAAGTGGTTTAATTTGTGTTACTCTATTTCTGCTTGAGTTTGAGTTTGAATTAGTCATCCAACTGGTCAGGTTTAATAGTGATACAATTTACTTTATTGGAAATTGAGCTAATATGTTAAGCTATGTTTCTGATTGGTTGAATTTGTGGTTATACTTTTCTGATTGGTCAGGTCAGTGATTGAAAACAAATTACACATTTGGGAACTGTATATAATATTATTTTATGAATGGTAGTTTATATAGGACAACACTTGTTAACAGAAATAATTATCACCAAATTGATGTATGGTAGCCTCTATAGTAGAATCACTGCCCAGGCATTCTCTCTCAAGCATTATCCTTTTCTCCATGTCTCCTACAAAATAGTCAGACTTCATGTTAACCATTTTTGGTAATGTTAAAGACATAAATGTTTTCCCCAAGTTTTTAATTGTCTCCCCATCATGATTCACGACCATATGTATCTTGGATTTCAGATCTAGAAGCATTTGTCAAAGCCATGCAGGAACGTGATGGAAAGAAGGATGAGAAGATGGACACTGACTGATTGTTTGTACAGATTTAGATTGTGCTTGAACTAGATTTAAGTTACAAAAACTTGGATGTTCCGTTATATATCATAGAATGTGATGGGTTATTGTGACTAAGGATGTGATTATTTCAAAAAGCTGTTTGTAGATGCTCATTAAAGACGAGTTATTTCAGCTGTCTTTGGTTTTTTAAACTTCAATGATATATACTGACAATTGTAATAAAAAATATTTTGCTATTATATAGCAATGTTACAGAAAGACACATTTGTCAGAAGCATTCTGACTTTAAAATCCTTAATAAAACTATCAAAATATAAGGAGAGTTGTTGACTTGTTTTGTTGTTTATAAGATTGTACCAAAGACACAAGTGAACAGGACTTTTTGATGCAAATTTAGAGTAGAGCCAAGCAATGAAGTAAACTGCATCATACAGCCGTTTCATCCTTCTAGGACCCTTCTAGGCTCTTGTAAGTGATGGTAAAGGCCTAAATATTGAAGTCTAGGACGTGGCTGTGGAAAATCCAAAGAGATCCAAAGAAAAATGAAAATGTAGATGGGAAGGGCACTAGCCTGTAATTCACATCCTCGATACTCTAGGGGTTACAATCACTACATCCTTGATACTCCTGGGGTTACCATCACTACATCCTCGATACTCCAGTGGTTACCATCACTACATCCTTGATACTCCAGGGGTTACCATCACAATATCCTCGATACTCCAGGGGTTACAAGTACTACATCCTTGATACTCTAGGGGTTACAATCACTACATCCTCAATACTCCAGGGGTTACGATCACTACATCCTCAATACTCCAGGGGTTACGATCACTACATCTTCGATACTCCAGGGGTTACGATCACTACATCCTCGATACTCCAGAGGTTACAATCACTACATCCTCAATACTCCAGGGGTTACGATCACCACATCCTCGATACTCCAGGGGTTACAAGCACGAAATCCTCGATACTCTAGGGGTTACGATCACTACATCCTCGATACTCCAGGGGTTACGATCACTACATCCTCGATACTCCAGAGGTTACAAGTACTACATCCTCGATACTCCAGAGGTTACAATCACTACATCCTCGATACTCCAGGGGTTACGATCACTACATCCTCGATACTCCAGGGGTTACAGGTACGAAATCCTCGATACTCCATAGGTTACAATCACTACATCCTCAACACACCAGGGGTTACAATCACTACATCCTGGATACTCCAGGGGTTACAATCACTACATCCTCTATACACCAGGGGTTATAGTCACTACATCCTCTATACACCAGAGGTTACGAACACTATACAATACATCCTCGATACTCCAGGGGTTACGATCACTACATCCTCGATACTCCAGGGGTTACGATCACTACATCCTCGATACTCCAGGGGTTACGATCACTTCATCCTCGATACTCCAGGGGTTACAAGTACTACATCCTCGATACTCCAGGGGTTACAATCACTACATCCTCAATACTCCAGGGGTTACGATCACTACATCCTCGATACTCCAGGGGTTACGATCACTACATCCTCGATACTCCAGGGGTTACGATCACTTTTTCTCACTGTATCCTCGATATTCCAGTGTTTGAAATCACTCTCTTTCTGTATCCTCGATACTCCAGGGGTTCGATACTCCAGGGGTTACGATCACTACATCCTCGATACTCCAGGGGTTACAAGTACTACATCCTCGATACTCCAGGGGTTACAATCACTGTTGCTCTTTGCACCCCTGGAACACTTCATGGCAAAATTGAAGGTTCCTTGTCCGACACTTTGTAGACAAGACAAACAGACTAGTTTGATCCTTTGATGTACATCAAATGAATCTCGAGGTGGTCACATAACCGGATATTGTAATGGTTTCAAAGTTGGTTGTTGCTCCTTTGTAATCTTCAACAGGAGTGTATCGGCCTGTAATTAGCCATTTTCTTTTCCCCACAAACCAATCAAATTACTTGGCTTGTGCCTTCAGTTTGCCACTACATAATCCAAGGATGCAGAGACTGAAAGTGATCCCTGGTGTATCAAGGATGCACAATTCTAGATTTCATATATTTTGTATGAAACTTTAATAAGACAATGTCATGTGTACGTTCTGAATTGTGCCACTATTCAAATGAATCACATACACTATTTTCATGATAGCTTTTAAAAACATCACAAAAGACTAACCTAGAACAGAGGGTGATGTAATGTATTCTATTTCCATGTGTTATCAGGTTATAGGTGTTGTGTTCTAAAATTGTCTTAAATCACCAATAGTTTCTTCTCTTCAAGTGATTAGTCCCCCATCGAGAACTTGGAGCAGGAAGTTATAGTCTTGCATGTCAGTACAGCTCTGTTTCCTACACTACTTGTGACTGGCACTTCATACTTGGGATAGGGGTTCACCAAAGTGAGGCTTGTGTCGTGTATCAAGAGTAGTTAACTCGATTTTGACTTTTGACCTACTGCATATTATTTCACATTTGTTGAGGGACTGCAATTCACCAAATTGTCTTGTTGATTTATTTTCACAGTTTCAATCATGTTGTAGTGGTGACTCTTGACAGTGATCTACTCACTTTTAATGAGATTTCGCTCCCCTGTGTTGGAATCCCCAATGATCTGCCCAATGATTTAGCCTAAATCTACTAATTTGTTATGTGATAGCAATCACATATCTCCAGAATATGTCAGCTTTTGTTGTGCAATTCTTGGTATCAGATGAAAATAACTATCTTTCTTCTCTAGGGTGCTTTGGCCAGACTTAATGACCACGCCTTTAGATGGGACGAGTTACAGAGATAACGAATCTGTTATCAACCACTTTGATTGGTGACGCCCGATGTAGAACAGAATTCTAACCTAATCAGATTTCTCACACTTCAAAAATCTTATTTTTCTAGTATAACAGGAAAACACAACTACGATATGGTTTCAACCAATTTATTTTTATCATGGAATACATCCAAGCTTTTAATATAGTGTGGTACAGTTTTGGTGCCAGTATTGTATACAGCACAATAATGACACAAAATCTAGAAAAAAATACCACAACAACAACACCACCATCTACAGTCAAACTAAGATGACCACATTTCTATAATAATGCAAGTTGATAACAATTCTTATAATGTATATCAGATATGCCTGAAAATTGGCTGTGCTATAAATATTAAACAAGTGGTGATCAGAACATGGCTTTATACATGCTTTATCAACCAGACAAAAAGTACAGAGCTATGAGGGCTATTCTCTCAAAACACCCTACCCCAGGACTCCAGGTTTTGTTGTGAGGTACCAAATATAACTTGATTTGTTAAGAAACTCTGCCATGGATAGAAGCCATCTATTCTTGAGTCCTAGGGTCAGGTAGACTTTTTACTGGATAGCCTTAGGTATTATATACAGGGCAGTTTTCAATTATAGACTTGTCTAAATCACAACATGATCATGTCTTTTACCAAACTATGTGTCTGCCATAACATTATAAGAAATGATGTCAAAACACATAGGGTGGGGATAATTCTGTTGAAAATTATCATGAAAATTTGTTCAGAATCAATGTACAGTATTATGATAAACATCAACAAATTTACTGTGCCTCTTTCATTCAGACATAACATATAAGTTTAACTATTATGGTATAATGAATCATGATATTAAAACAAAAAATAAAAATAAACTTTTTCACAACATGACCAGATTTGGCAATAGTTATTACCATTCAGTCTATTTCAGGAATTAAACAATTTGATCCCAGAGCTCTGAAATAAATCACTTCCATCCGTTGTTCATTATATCATTTCTATCAGCAAATGATCAATAAAATTCTGTAGGTGGTACCTTTCAACAAAACCTGGAGTTCTGGGATAGAGGTTCTACTGAAACAGACCTTGTAATTTTTATCTGCTACTTTGTCTATAAAACACAGTGCTATATCTACCACAAATCTGTAACCATCTTAGTTTGACTTGCTTTTGTAACAATAACAGCAGGGGAAAGTGAAGATCATTTGGAGAATATTCTTATATCGCCAACATATAACGGTCTGTAGATCATTTGGTATGATTGCAAAATTTGAGTTGAAAGCAAACCCTCTGTAAAATACCAGTTTCCAAGATAGTTATTCCTATTTCTAAACAACCCTGACTTCAAAAATTTCAAGCTTGAATGCAAGTCATGTTTTGATAAAATTTTGTGATATGACTGCAAGTTCAAAGTTGATTTTTTTATAGTCACATAAACTTGTAAATAATGGAACCAGCTCAACAGAGGCATTCACTTCCTTTGAATATTTTACAAATCATTGTATGCACAGTTGCAAATTTTCGCAGATATTAAAATCATTTCATTTACTTATAATATATACATGTTTTAATATTGCAAATGATATGCTTTCCACTTTATTTTGTATTCAGATAGTGTAAAAGTAAAAACATAGCTTGATATTTTGTATCGTATCCGTATCAACAAAATGGCTTGTGAAAACAGGCAACTTTACAGAGAGCAGTGAAAGAAACATAGGCCTATAAAATACAGAAAGTTCTCCAATATCATCTTCATTGTCTAAACATTAAACCCAATCAATGATTATATATGAAGACAACACCAAGAGAAAAGCATCATTAAACGACTAAGTTCTAGGTTGAGCTAAGATATTAATAAAATAGACATATCATTGTCAAGGTTTGCGTTTTAATCTAGGTAGGCTTATACACTGAACTTAAACAATGGTGTCGTTCCCAGACATACAGAGCCAATGAGATTTCGTTTATGTAGAAAAATCATTTTGGTTACATGTAAATACTGGCCACAATCCCCCAATTTTTTTTCATTTAGGAATAAGTTAATGCCTGTCATAGAGTAAGATCACAAGATATGTCCTTATTTCCTAACTCACAACTTTGGTCAGATTGTTTGAATTGTAGTAAACAAAAGCAGCCATCAGCTTTATCCAGCAGCTTTGAAGTCTGGCAAATGATTTTGTCCATCAGTATATACCCCCTCACAGCGAATTGAATGTTGGTGATAAAGTGCACCTTTTCTTTTAAGTAAGAATGTGTGTAATACATGAAATAAAACACATGTCCCACCTGGGAAATTACCCAGTTTCTTCACTGCTACAGTTTTATAATAATCATAAGAAATGATTGTTCGCATCGATTTGTTCTCATAAAATTACTCTTTGGCTACTGTATGTCAATTTGAAACAAAACTATTGTCTTTCAAGCTTTCTTTGGAACAGTCTAAAAATCAACAAACTCCGAGTACCAAGGACCAGCAAATGATATCAGGATATATAAACTTATAAACAAATCCTTCTGAGTAAAATGTTAGTGGTGTACCTAACGAGCAGCAGATCCAACTCTTACACATAGGATTCTGTCTGGGAAATCTGTTGTTTTAAAATCTGAATTTCCATTCTTTGAATTGCCACATTGTCAATGAAAAAGACAACAGAGTGTTCCGTCACCTGGATATTTCAGAAGTACACCCTTACCTATATGGAGAAAACGATCTTGATTCTTCACAATTTCAAACAAATTCTGCCAAATTTCTCCAGACAGAAAAAAACCTTTCGTAGTGTTAGTTTAAAAGAAACAGCCCAAGAAATTCAGAATATATATTTACAAATGATTATAGGTAGGACAAGTGAAAAGCCCTCACAAAGTCTTAACTGTTGTAACACATGCACAGTAACTCAGTGCCTTATGTAACATTGCAATGGTCGACCCATCAGACATGACTTCTAATTCCTTATGAAACATATCTACATAATAACCTTCCTTCAACCAATCATAACAAAGTATCACAGTCTTGTCCAGAAAATAAGTCCAAACTGTTACTTCTTGAGGTGAAGATTGTGAAGATCTGGGATTGTAATGATCAATTAGGATAAAAAAGATGAAGGATTTTTTTTTATTAAAGATTAAATGTAAAGACAAATTGTCGTTCATTCTCAGACTGTTAGGGGCGGTTTAAAAAAATCTCCAAATTCAAGCTCCATTACTATGGTGAAAAATTTACGAGCATTATGACAAAAATACCAAATTTTCTATAATATACTTTAATTTACATGAATAAACAGTTTTTCTGCTTAGTTAATGTTCTATTTTTGGTGGACAAATTCTTCTTTTCAAAATTAAATTCTGTCTACAATTTCCAATACATTAATGCCTTGTGATCTATGTATGATGTATGTTCAAATATGGAGACTTACATTCTTGTTATAAAATACAAAATACCTAGTATTACATCTTGACTATGATATCAACAATCAATAGTTATGTTGTCTTCACATGTATTCATACAAAAATATCCAATAAAATACCTCGTCCAGCGTCCTCCTTCATGTTGTCAACAAACCAATTTATATGTAACTACAAAATTGTACACCAAACCTCACCTCCCTAAATGGCATGTTAAACTCTCCTGAATGGATGGTTTACATTCATCTTCATAATGCCAAAAAGGGGTGTCAGGAATAAAAAGCAAAAACAGACATTGTGTCGAGATATTTAAAAGTTATTTTAACAATAAAATGATAATTTTCTTGATCTAGAAAATCTTTCAGAAAGTCAAAAAAGAAATTCTTAACAAAACACTGAGTTAACAAACATTTAACCAAAATATTAATTATTAATAGGAAACAAATATCCAATTATCATTTAAATATTAAAATGTTGAAAGGTTATCCCAAACCTGGTAAACATTTCAAACTTCACACATCATTCTAAAATCATGCAAAGCACCCCAGCCTTGAGATGTAGATTAGAAGAAATAGCAGGCATAGCAAGTGGAAAATTCAAAATGTTACAATGTCTCTTGGATACCAGTAACATGTAAAACGTCTGTTTTTGCTCATCTTATGATGACAAGCATTCAGGTTGAATGGCTGACGAGGAATTGTCATAATGTGTCGTCTACATAGGGGGAACTCTCCCTGTATGAGCACCCCCTAGGTTTGTTGAGTTAGCTAGTTCTCCTGGCTCTTTCTTGATTTTCACACTAAAATGAAGAAAAAGAAAAATACATTTGTTAAATCACAAGTAAGAATGAATCTAAACTCCATACGCAAATTTTAACATGCTTTGAATTCAGTTTTGGATTTTTTTTTCAAATGAGAGACTTGATAATGTAACTCATGTGAATGCAACAAGCCTAATATTATTTCTAAGGTTCATATTGAACTTGTCTGACTTTTGACCTTTGACTTTAGACCTTTAATAAAGGTCACAGTGATTTTATTTGTATGAACTTCTCCTCAAATGAATGATTTACATTCTAAATACGTCAAGTTGTTCTTTTTAAAGAACAAATGAATGATCACTTAAAGCTTGAAATCAGAACATTTCAACAGATATCAATGACATACTAAATTTGAAATTTATTCTGCCTCCACATGTTAAAATTCCTCAAGAAATGACCACTAGGTAAATACCACTGACTTCTGGTGAGTCAGTACTGGCAAGAATAACATTATATAACGCATCAGCCATAAACTAGGGATGGCAAACCATAAAATTTTTCTTCAATAACAACCTTTTTCAAAGATAACTCACAAACCTAACTCTGCTAAAGCCTGCAATAACTTTTGTTTACAAATCTTTTATTATCAGAATTGCCAGATATTGTAGAACTGAACACTCACGCATCACCGCTGGAGGATATATCTTCCTTGGCAATGTTGGCGAGGAAGGCGAGGGCCTCGAGGGAGGCTGTGTCTCGAGCAGCATCTGGGGAGGGGCCACTTCCATGGAAGATACGAGGTGGGATGGTCATTAGTGTCACCCTGCTCAGCACCTCAGTATTATTTGTCTGAGCAGAAGGAAGACCATTTTGTAAAAACATAAATACAATCTGTATAGCACAACCATACATAAATATATCAATTTCCATCTCCAATATCATGAGAAAATTTCCTAGAAACTTTGGAGTTTCTGTTTTTAAAGACCACCATTAAATAAAATGACATTTTTCAGTTGCAGAAAACATCAGAAAGTTGTAACTTAACAACTCTTCTGAAAAACTCAAGCAGAGCGCTGATATAAAATCCTCACAGCCAAAGTATCAATATTAAGGTCATGGGTGGGCTCATCAAAAATAACAAAATGGCACTGACATGAAGTTTTACTGACCCCTGACAGAAATATGTATAAGGGTGGTCTTATTGCCAAGCACAGGCTTAGTGCCAGCTAAATTTAATATTTATAATTCAATGATTATAAAACCTGGATATCACTTACTGTTCCAGCAAATTCATCAAATTTTATGTCAACGTCGTATCTGGAAGCAATCTCTCCAAGACGAAGCCGAGGACTAGGTCCAAACCCAAGATTGTCTCCCATTCCTGACAGACCTGCAATACAACCATTCAAATTTCATAGTTATTATCAGATATCTGTATCTTAAAGAAAAGCAAGAAAAAATACTGAATACACTTTTCTTCACAAATAAAAAAGCATCTAAGTAATTGAACTCAGTCTGAAATATCCTTGTCCTCGGAACACGAATACGAGATTTTTTTTTCCCCACTAAAAGGAAATATTGATCTTGATAGGAATCAAACATACTTGGATTATATAGCGAAGCTCCTGTATATTTAGAGTCTGGCAGGAGCAGGAGGCCAGGAACAAGTTGTCGGCCGACTGGTGCCTTTCCATTCATATCACTCACTGAAATATAATTTAACATTTTTAACATTTTTATAACATAACTTTCTATTATTTCAGATATGCTGTAGTCTGACTGTAACAAAGGACTGCATTGAAGATTTAGCTTAACTATAACAAAACCTGAAAGTTGACAAAATGAAGTTCATGTTTGTAGAGTATTGGGAAAACAAATTAAGACACTGGATATTGATGAACATACCTGAATCTTCATTGTTTTCAACAAATGTTACTTTCTTTTCTCCCGATATTCCCTAAAAGGAGAAAAAAATGTGTCATGAAAATATACATTATTTGCTTCTGAATAAACAATTTCTTCATACTGATAAAAAAACTTGCTTTGGACCACATTTGTTCTCTTAAGTAAAGGAATACAAGGGATATGTGGTGCAATTAATAATTCAGGTGTTTTTGTCGATTGGAAGAACAAATTTTAATGTTTATACTGATATGTAAGGTACAACTGCAGTGTATATGTAAAGATACTAATTTTTGTGGGGTTTTTCCCATAATTTTGAGGATAGAATAAAACAGAGAAAACTGAAACTGTCAAAATTAAAATAATTAAAGCAGCAAAAAACAATTACTATGGGAAAAAACACATAATTTGAAAATGAATAAAAAGCCAAAAAATCTATATCTTGAAAGTAGAAATCAATAAAACAGCCAAAAAGATATTTTGTGGGGGAAAAAAGAAAAAAAAGAAAAGAAAACATTGTTAAAACAAAAATCAATAAAGACACTATTAGTCCATTTCATGTCACCTGTGAAAAAAACATTCCTTACGTATCAAGATTATGGTAGCACCATGAACACAGCTTATATTGCTTGCTTTGTATGACTTTACCTCAGGTGTGGTGGCACTTTTGATTGCTGGTTTCGTGGGTTGAGGGGAAGGCTTGTTGTAGCCAAGCAGAGTCAGCATTGCCTCTGCTGCATGTCTTTTAGCAAGCTTTTTGTTTGGCCCCACACCTGTACATGTCTGGTCGTCCACTTGTACCTGTACATAAACACATAATTTTAATGAAATACTGCTTAACATAAAATCTTCGTTGTATTTAAATATTGAGGCTTTCCATTTTACTATAAATCTAAGAAAGTAAAATGAATGATCACATTATCTGTTATTCCGTTATTGATAAAACATCAGAATGTAATTTTGGTAGTTATATTCAGGGATCCAGTTTAGCATGATGTCAATATTAAACAGGAATGGAACATAAAAGTTCTATGCTATCAATAATTACTTATCACATTGGTGACCATCAAAGTAGACTGAGGTCAAACTTATTTTAACCTAAATGGAGAACTAACAAGCTGATGCTCCCAGCTTAACAGCATTTCTTTCAATTAAAACCGACATATCATTTTCTTTGTGTCGGCAGATCAAGGCCATTTTTGATCCATCTACAAAATGTTTTATGTCACCAAACATGCAGCAATACATCTGACCAATGAGATAATGAAAAAATGTTGATGTCACTTTTGTATGTAAAATTTCACCAAGGCATTAAAGACATCAGCTACTTTCTGTACATACTTTGTATCTTAATTGTTTTTTGGGAGATAACTTCATCTCTTCACACTTTTATCTTTCATCTCAAAAGAATTGCTGTAAACATGATTTTATGCCTTGCACTAAATAAGCAGGAATTATTCAGCTGCCACAATTTCACCCAGACATGAATTAGTGACACATTACAAAAATACATGTATCAAAATATACATTATATATACAAAAGTTATAACCATGCTTAAAGTATTCACAAAATTCAGTAAATTAGGGCAATGATATATTTGCACATCAACAATTATTAGCATAAATACAATATGTACTGAAACTTGAATTAGTGCAATCCTATTTTAGTGTGATGTTTTCAGTGCAAAAAAAGCCCCACTATAATAAGTTTACCACTAAAAAGTTTGTTTATAATACTTGTTAAACATTACCTGAATAACAAACTCACGACGCCTGGGCAATCCCCTTTCTGTCACAAGAGTGTAAACTGGTTCCTTCTTCTGTTGGGCTTGCTGGAAGTGAATAAGTCGACTGATGGGGTTGATTCCTACCCCATAGTCAGGGTTAGCCTTCTGGACTTGCTGTCAACAACAAATGTGAAGAAAGATCAAAGGAATGCAAAAATAATCATAACTTGTCTGGGGAACACATATCTTGACCGCTTATATCTTCTCATACAAGAAAATAATACAACCTAGGCGAAACCTTGTTTAAATTTCTAACGTTGATATATACACTTAGGTTTGCTATACAAATGTATGGTCCTTGTCTAAACGGAAAACACAAATATCTTCAATGAATGTATACTACCTTGAGAATGAAGTAAAAAACAGATTTGGCTAATAAAAACAATGGGACTGTAAATTTTGTACAAAGCTCCTTCAGCATTTATGATAACATCACCAGCATTTAAGAAAATCAATTTACTTACACTTACTTTGATGATATTCTTTGATTTTTTCTTGTTGTTTGGTTTGTTTCTTGGCTTCATAGCAGACACAGGCAGTGCAGGAAGTTCTCTTAGTTTCTCCAGCATCATTTCAGCAACTTTCTTTTTAGACATCTTTTTACTGTTGCCCTCAGCCTCAGCTTCAAATTCTCCAACTGTACAACGTGTCACAAACGTCTTCATGTGGGGCGGACCAGATTCTCGGATAACCTGTAACGAAATATTTTTTGTTATTAAATTTCTTTATACTAAACAAGGCAGGTCATAATTGTCAGGACAAATACAGCAAGATTACAGATGATGAGAGATAACTGTGGTAATCAGAGGCCAAATTCTGTTCCAATTTCTGGTGTATTGTCTGGTAAAATATTCAAATAAAATATTATGAATGTTAAAACAAGAACTACACTTATTTATATCTCACCTACCCAGCTTTGTTAGTATGGTCATTTTTTAACTGGAAAAAATTTGTTTCAACTCAATCTGAAGTCTATAGAACAGCCAGATTTAAAGCTTTGTATTCAAATTTTATAATTCTGCAGTCTTTGTAACTCTGGTAATCTATTTACTGGGTTCAGATGTCCATACTACAATGACTTTATTCCACGTTTTACTATATGAGCACTTAATCTGAGCTAAATGCTTATTGTTAAAGCCAAGCTTCTCAGTAAGAAATTTGTTACCAAAAAAAGCCATCTGTACATTATGGATGTGTTTAGGTTTCCACTATATGATCTAGCTATATTTACTTTTCCAGTAAGGTTTCAATGACTTTGTTGCAGACAAGACAAAAAATATATAGGCTTAAGACAAGCAAGTTGTTGGACTGTACCATCAAACAATTCAATCTTTTGACTATTGCTATTTTGGTGGAGAGTTGATTTAATTCTCTCAAGAAATGTTGAAGAAGTAATGTTCAAAATAATGTGATCTACTTCCTGATTTGGTTAAACTAAACTTACATCAAAGCTGACTTTCAGGTTACGCTTGAGTGCAATCTCATGGACCAGGCTGATTTCTGACTTCAGTTTGTCGATGTCTTGAAAAAAAGAGAATTCAGATTTAAACCAACAGGACACTTTCACAAATTGACACCTCTCATAAACACATCAGTATAATAAACATAACACACCAGACTGACAACCCCATATGTTTGACAATTGTGAACTACTTACCATCACCATCCTCTGATGGTGTGGAGACAGCTTCAGACTTCTGGTCTTGTTCACTTGGCACAGGCAGCTTGCTTAGCATGGCTAGGGCCTTGGTTGCTGCATCATGGCGAGCATCCTGTCGTGTTGGACCCTCTCCGATGAACTCTCGTGGCCCAACCTTTAAACACACTTGGAACACTCGAGGCGCTCTGGGATAATGATACCTGCAATTTCCATTAAAACAAGCTAGATACTACTTTCTCGGAGAGTAACCCTCCAAACAATAATAGTACATTTCAATCTCAACACCAATAGACAACATGGAAGGAGAGTAGAGTTTGATATGATCTCTGTAGCAACATAACTCGTTTAGTATAGGAGAGTGCAGAGTGATAATGAGTATCTTATGGTAAATATGATCTCAGTAGCTGTAGTTTGGTGAAGGATGATATCTTAACTCGTTTGGTATATGCCTTGGAAGTTGTAGCTTTGGTGCAGGGTGATAATGCAGTATCTTACCTCTGTTAGTAAATATCTAGTTATCCTCTGTTAGTAAATAAGTTATTGTTATTGAGGGGAGCTTTGGTGCAGGGTGATATCTTATAGTAAATATCTAGTTATCTGTTATTGAGGGGAGGGAAATATCTTACCTCTGTTAGTAAATATCTAGTTATCTGTTAAGGGAGGTGATATCTTACCTCTGTTAGTAAATATCTAGTTATCTGTTATTGAGGGGATGGTGATATCTTACCTCTGTTAGTAAATATCTAGTTATCTGTTATTGAGGGGAGGGTGATATCTTACTTGTTAGTAAATATCTAGTATCTGTTATTGAGGGGATGGTGATATCTTACCTCTGTTAGTAAATATCTAGTTATCTGTTATTGAGGGGAGGGTGATATCTTACTTCTGTTAGTAAATATCTAGTTATCTGTTATTGAGGGGAGGGAAATATCTTACCTCTGTTAGTAAATATCTAGTTATCTGTTATTGAGGGGAGGGTGATATCTTACCTCTGTTAGTAAATATCTAGTTATCTGTTATTGAGGGGAGGGTGATATCTTACCTCTGTTAGTAAATATCTAGTTATCTGTTATTGAGGGGAGGGTGATATCTTACCTCTGTTAGTAAATATCTAGTTATCTGTTATTGAGGGGAGGGTGATATCTTACCTCTGTTGGTACATGCCCCTGTAGTTGTAGTTGGGAGGAGGGTAGTAGTTTTGGTGTCTATTGTCTAGAGGACGGTACATGGTCTGCTCTCCACGCTTCATTGCTAAGGCATTTAGTTCAACGGTAGGTGTTGTCACATCCACTAGAAATTAGTAGAAAACAGAGAAATTGGACAGCGGAACTGTACAAAAGAACCAGTTTATGGTAGTATAACACTGACCAAGTATACAAAAGAACAAATGTATCGTCATGGTTTATCAAAAGCCAGGTTTATTAATGTACATAAATGACAAGAGAACTAGGTAGAAACTGGTTAAAATTTCAAGAACTCAATATGTTTTCTGACAAAAAAACCCTTCCAAATCATGTAAAATGCATTGCAAGAAAAGAATTGAAATCCAATAATAAGTCATTTTTTCAACATGAAATTAAAACCAGAGAATATAATTTATTTGTGTAGCAATTCTACAATTTCCCCTATGGGTCGCCATATCATACCGTAAGAAAATCCGAAAAGGATTTTCACAAAGATCTTTTAAAACCAAATTTAAACCATTGAAAAACATACTGCTCTCTCTTGGGTCACATTTTGGCCTCAGTATTGGATAGTACTACACATTCCTTCTACGGTTGAAATATGTGACATAAGGATACTACTTACATTCCCTCTGAGGGAGTACTTTTGGGGGTTTGGGTGGTGGATGGGTGTAGGTTGTATTCTCCAGTGCCTCAGCAGCTGCAGCGTGTTGAGCCTTCTTGATGCTGGCGCCTGATTGTTTATACTCCTCCTTATCACCGAGCTTGAGCTGGACATAAAAGGTCTTCTTATGGGCAGGGCCCTGTTCATCTATCAGTGTGTACTGATGTGCTATCTGTAAACAATCACACAAAAATCTTACAACTTTTACTATTTAATAAAGACAAAAAGCCAGGTGAGAGATCTTCTTAAGAATGTGGGCAGGGCCCTGTTCATCTATCAGTGTGTTCTGATGTGCGATCTGTAAACAATCACACAAAAAGACAGAAAGTCATGTGAAAGATGTACTTAAGACGGGAAATATTTAGGAGAAAAAAAGTCTCTCTCACTACAACACTTTGCATTTAAAGCATAGAATATTTCATGAAATTAATTTCCTCTACTTTTTTTCACAAATTATCTGATATGTTAAAATAATTTGTCACTGAAATAAACCATGAATATAGCTATGTGATCTGTAGTTTAAAATCCTTTGTTTAAAGCAGTTTCAATTCACTCAGCAACTATATATAACTATATGATTAACTCTATTAAACGAACATCTGTCAAATAACATGATCAGTGACCACCAATTCCTATCCCCAAATAGATTGTGAAGTAACAACATCTGGCAAAATTTGATCACCATCATCATGTTGGATATTGCAATGCTAACTATTATCGTTAAACAGCTTTGAAAAATAATGACAATTTACATTAGAAAATTGAAGCATATTTTCCAGAACAAATGTTTTATAAAAATAGAGGAAAAATTTCATCAAAACTTTTTCTAAAAGTTGTGTAAAGATTTTTGATTGGTTGATTCCTTCATACCTTGTTGTAACGAGCTAACTCATTGATCAGACACATTGGGGTTTTCTCTTTTGTGTTTGCCAACATGGTTTCCTGGTTTTTTTTCTCACTCTCCTCAGACGGGGTCTGGGCATTAACTGTAGCTGTTGGCTGCTGGTCACCAGGTGGCGTTGCAATCTGGGAACCAACAGCGACACTTCCTGCAATATTAACAGGAGGGCTCTGATTGGTCAGTGAGGAAGCAGCTGGCTGATTCTGATTGGTAGTTATTCCACCAGGGATTAAGACCTTCTGTTGTAGACCGCCAACAAGAGACTGAGTGGGTGGATGATAGCTGTTGTTGACGGACATCAGAGGATTTGACATTGAATTGCTATTGTTGTTTGTGTTATTTGTTAAGATTCCACTACCCATCATTCCAGCTTTGTTACCTAAAAATAAATAATTTTCATTGTTATTGGTAAACAAAATGTATAATGTTATTTTGAAACTCCCATATACATTAGAGCAGTCAAAAATGATGGAAAAGGTCTCGTACAATAACAAAATCTTATAGAGAGAAATTATACATTGCAGTAACAGAGACCAAATGAAAAATTAGAGTTCATAATATTAATTGGATATCATGTCCTAAAATCTGACAATGTTATGATTAGCATGACTGTCATATTTTCCGCTCACAAACAAAAAATTGACTTTAATATTGCCTTATTGAAAGATATAAATATAGGACAGGAATATACTGACTTTTTAGTAATGAATTCTACATTAACCCCGTATCTCAGTTATGTTTATATCATACTTCACAAAAAAAGAAAAACAAATGTGATGGACTGTAACCTTCAGGGTTTCTTAAGACAAATACAAGTACTTTGAATATTTTAGTAACTTATTTTTTCTCTCTGAAATGAACTGTTATAAGGTGGTTGAATGACGATAAAGGCCTTCTAAATGTGTATGACATTTACAAACCAATGTGTTCCACCTGTAACAATACGGCAAAAGCACTATGGTACATATACATGAAAAGAAGCTAAAAGTAATTCTGAAATATCTTATTCATAGTGCATATATTTATACATTTACTAGGCAGTACAAATGAACTTTTGAACAAGTCCAACATAGACACCTCCTCCACTGAATTAGTGAAAATATTACAGACATTCCACATCAACATGCTTGTGTGTCACCTGCTTCAGTAATTAACAATCTCTGTAAGATTTTTATACTCACGATGGTTTTGTTGTACCATAGGCTGCTGGTTTTGAACTGGATATGACGACATTGCTTTTTCTTTGTTCTTCTTTCTTTAAAGAAAAAACCAAACAAGAATCATTACTGAAATGTGTCAGCCTGTTACATCAAAATAAACACTGTCTTATCTTATATTAATATTTTTTTGGTAATCCTTTTACTTTTTTCAGATTTCTACATCAGTTTAAAACATGACAAAGATAATATATATGTATCCACACACACACCCATAGAAAGTTAACTTTTCATCCATCTCCTTTGCCATAATCATCAGCATCATCACCACAATTCCTCATCTTGATTATCTATCAATTATTGTTGTTAGCATTTATTCTGTTCCTCAACACCCTATGAGAATACCACCAAAATACAAATCATAACAGAATTATAGAAACTTATGCCTGCCATGTATACTAAGTATACCTGAACTTCCTGAGAGATTAGGACAGGCTGAAAATATCCTAGAATTTGAAAAGCCCTTTGACTTCAATTATTTCTCATCTCGGTGAATAAAATCTTCTGGACTCTGACACATATGAGGACAAGTAATCAGTCATCAAGTTGTTTTTCAAAAACGACCACTCAAAATTTGTTAATGGCATATTGCTACTTCACAGTAGATGAGAAATATTGATAACGAAGCTATGATTTGAAGAAAAAAAATGCATGTATATTTCATTTTTTTTTTTAGCAGTTCAATGTAAAACATGGGAAAACAAAATCCTACATATATAAGTGAACCTTTACAGAATGTACCCACTTGTTTTTTCTCTGAATGGTGCTCTAATCTAAGGAGGATTAAGAGGTAGGCCCCACGGTTATCCACTTCTAAAGAAATTTTGATAGCAAATGATATTTCCGAAATATTTGTTTACTTGAAATGTAGCTTTTATCTCAATCTCAGAGTGTGGAGTGAGAAAAATACCATTTTGAATTGTTATTCAAAACTTTTGTCCATTATGAGTTATCTGCACGATTGTGAGTTGTCAGGATTTTTAGCATTTGAGTGAGGTAGCAAGTCTGGAATGTAAACAACTCAAGCAGAAATCCATTCCATTATGCATTGCACAAAAAAAGTAAACAGCTGGACCATTTAAGATCCTTGCTCCTCAAAACATGTTTGACTAACTTTTATATAACATTACATCTTGCATCAAGTTTCACTGTAAAATGTTACTCTTTCTTTGTTAAACTTTCTGTATTTGTCAATCAGTTCAAACATAGATACCAAAATCTGAAATCCAAAGAAACTGTATATGTATGACGCATAATGCCATTAATGGACCAGGTTTTTGCTGGAGTTGTTAGCGTTCGAGATACCGATACCTGTATCTCAACACGAAGTTAAGGACAGTTTTCGACTTTAAAATACATGGACATGGACATTGAGTATGAGCATGGTGGCCAATTCAACTTTTGAATAGGAAATTAATTGAATGATAGACTCTTTCGATGAGCTGCCCCCCTTAGTCCTATAATATATTATACTAAAGGACTACTGCCACCGTGTCCGATACGTCTCCCGTGGTCACCAAGCATGCAGGTCTCCAATCTATAGATTGCACTGTATCGTTATGCCTATACACACATGCTACAGTTAGGAAGAGAATATCGCCAAAACATCAATTAACTTTTCATTCAGTTGCGTAGAGTTTTGAGATTTTACAGTGTTCGATCTTCCCTAACAAATTTAAATCAATTGTTGCGTACCGGCTTTTAGTTGATGTTGAATTACTCCATCACTCACCTTTTTTCTGATGATATTGCTTCTTTGATGTTTGAATGAGGTTCTATTTTTTTCTTGAACCAATAATTTCAAAAGGAAGTTAGCTTAATTTAGAGAGGTTTTCATTGGCAAACAGTAAAGAAAATTTCAGACATGCATGCGGCCATGTTGTCTGCACCCAAAGTGCCTATCCTTCGCACGCTTCAAATAATATGACAATTTCGTGCATTTAAAGCGTCAGAACGACCTTAAAATAATAATGATAAAATTTTTTTTTTTCGAATACATTCACAATTAATATTATATGTATGTAAATTTGAGATTTTTATCTTCAAAAAAATAGATGAATATATATGTATGAAAAATTAGCACTTGAAAATGTTCGGTTATTTCCGTCCACGGCAACAAACCTGCATCAAGATGGCCGACTCGCGGGGGCAATGGATGTAAACATTCCTAATTATCATTATTTTACACCGTATTTTTGAAATATTTCGTTCAAAAGTAGGACATAAGCCTCGCCAACACACTCAACAAAATGGCGATGATTGCAAAAAATCGAACAAAGAGTACATGGACGCCGCTAAGTAATGAAGATACAAATAACAAGGTTTGTAAGCGGTGCACAGACACGCACCTGTGTCGATGGGACACATTACTGCAATTACATTTTTATAATACACATACTTATCATATATGTTTTAGTGTTTGTTACTGCGTTTTTGCAATGAACACGTGAACTATTATACAGTAGTAAAGAAAAGCTACATAACCGAACCATTTGTAGAAGTGTAATAAATAGCTATGTCGTCCAAATGGAAATGTCCTATTTTTTAATTTCGATCAACCCCGGTTAAAAAATCAGATTGAAAATTGAATTCATGTTCAATGAGATAAATCCATACTTTTCATAGACATCTTCATTCTGTATGGCACTTGGTATATAAGATATTAAAATCCTACATTATAAATCAACCACTTACAACAGTCAACGATATGCAAAAAAAAAAAAAAAAAGTTTAATCAAAAGTTTGAAAATTGTCTGAAGTCCTCCCCTTTTAATCCAATCAAGACCACACTTCCTACTGTATTGGACCTCTCTTCATATTTCTGTGGGGAAAATCACTTGAAGTAACATATGCCATCTGTGTAAATAATTTTCAGTATATGTATTATAATTGTTGATGTCAGCTGAATGTTTCATTGTCTGTAGTCTTTTGTAAGTTTGTCTTTGACTGATGCCTACCCAATAGTTTTTGTATGCACCACAAGAGGTCATTGTTTCCCTTTCAAATATTAACACAAAGTAGCTTACTACCCTTCGGCCTCTAACCAGACACTCTTTCCCATTACTGCGAGTAAAGGGAAATTTCCACTAACTGAGGCTAGTATGGCAACCATTACTGAGAACTTCTATACTACACCTTCTTTCACAAGTTTTTGTCCCTGAAGACAACTACAACCCAGGTTCGATATCTCCAAGGAAGCATCTCATTGTTCTATACCTCTAACTCCTGGAGTGGCCAATGACACTTAATCTGTGATAGGAATCTGCAACGTTTTAAAAGCTGAATCTTGAATCTAGTGTTGAACATGTTTTTGATCCATGATTTAGTGTTGCCATGGTGTTTTGGATATTATATCTATGTCATTTATTATTGATATTATAAGCTGCTACTATGGTATTTAAATCTACTCTATATCAATCAATCTCATACCAAGATGTTGTTAACTTTTAATCTGTCTGATACAGTTAGGGTTTGAAAGATCTTGAAGGTAGAACTTTGTTTTGCTTAATTCTCTTAGCATTTTCTTGGTCAGTTTAGTTTTTCGAGATAGAGATGTCCATTTACCAGTGACTTACAGGAAGATTGAAATCAGTGTATATATAATGTAATCTGTATAAATCATGAAGTCATGCAAAATATTTTCATCTGGTAGATGGCATCCACAGTGACAATTAATACAACCAGACATTCATACAATTTAGTCACAATATTTATCCAGTGAGGTCATGGTAAGGCAACAAATTTTGTGTTTTGGAAGTAGTATTACAGCATAGTCATAATGAAAATAGTTTTTGAAATGTGATGAGATACATGTACTTCCTAATTCAGTGATTTAGAAATAAAAAATGTGCTGTCTTTTCCTCATGGTTTTGCAGTGATTTTTGGGACTCAGGTACCTGAGTGCTGGATTTATGTTCATAACCCACTATTATCAGATGGTGGGCTATTCAAATCACACAACATCTGTCCATCCGTCCATCAACAATTCTTGTTATGGCTATTTCTTGAGAAGTACTGGATAGATCTCTCTCAGATTTCCTCTGTAGGTTCCTCTTGGTCCCCCTTGTTGTGTCCATTTGATTTTGGGTCTGATCAGAAAAATAAAATGGCTGACAGGCAGCCAGCTATAAAAGATTGTTATCCTGTTTTTGAACTTCTACTGAATGGATCTTTCTCCAATTTAATATATATGTTTCCTTTGGCCTCCACTGGTGCCCGTTTGATTTTGGGACTGATCAAAAAAATCAAAATGGCTTGCAGGCGACTATCTTTGATTTGGCAGGTAAAGATTATCATTGCTATTTCTGCAGAGAAATGTTCATATTTCTTATCATTAAGAGCAAAAACAGAGAATAGGTCAGAAAAGAAGAGAAAAGATCCAACTTTCAAAAAGCAAATAAAGATCAAACAAAGGTGGGCACCAAGATCCCTCTGGGATCTGTTGTTCCTGTTGAACTTGCTCAAAATTTAAGAATGAACTGTATTGATATCTCGTAATAGTGGGATGCATCAAAACGACAAAAGTTTTGGAAAAGATGTTCAGGACTTATCTGAAAAAATTCTACAAAATTGGCCGTTTTGTAGGCACTGTTTGGAGTTGTTGCAGTTCTAGTATGTTTTATATTACTGCAGTAGATAAACTATAGACTGTTAACTAGTAGCTGGCTAATAGTTAAACTCATTTTCTTTCTTCCCCAGATTTTCGAGGAAAGAAAGGCTCTTATGGGAAAATGGGTATGTATTATGATGTCTTACTTTTTGAAAATCTCTTCATTCATACTGATCATAATTCATTTTTTAGAGATTTGTTTCTGAAAATTTAAGTATGGCAGATAGAATTTATAGTATATTCAATCTTTGCTGTAAGGCATGCATATATTGATCATTTGTTTTCTCATAAAAATTACTAGTAATATATATTTTTCTTTCTGTAAATATTTGTTCATATAGATATCATGATTTCTATAATTGATAAGTCACAAGATTTAGAATAATGAAGATAGATATAGACTGATTATCACTATTTGATTGGGAATCCCATTTCAGATTGCATATAAAGTTTATATGTTAATAAGTCAGATAGAAAGTTAGTTTAATTTTACAAATTAAATTGAAAACAAAATATGTTCTAATTATGATATTACTTTACAGTTTGACAAGTGGACTGATGAACAGAGAAAGAAGATTTTTGAAGATTTGGTATTACGATCTAAACATAAACAATTACACTACGCTCGAGATCTCCTGAATGAGAAGGTTCCTGCTTTTCATGAGGATTTTACACGTGTTCTACCACGTGTCCTTTCTATCTACATTTTGTCATTCCTTGATCCGAGGACGTTGTGTCGCAGTGCTCGGGTAAGTTACATCTTGTTCCTGCCTCAGTTCTAGGATGCTGTGTTCTTGTTCTCAGTAAAATTCCGTCCCGTTCCTACCTTAGTCCTAGGACACCGTGTTATCAATCTCAGGTAAGTTACCTCCTGTTCATGCTTCTGTCCTAGGACGCTGTGTTGTCATTCTTAGTTCAATTTTGTCTCGTTCATGCCTCTGTCCTAGGCACTGTGGCATTCTCAGGTAAGTTCTGTCTTGTCCCTGCCTCAGCATAAGGACACTGTGGCATTCTCAGGTAAGTTCTGTCTTGTCCCTGCCTCAGCATAAGGACACTGTGGCATTCTCAGGTAAGTTCTGTCTTGTCCCTGCCTCAGCATAAGGACACTGTGGCATTCTCAGGTAAGTTCTGTCTTGTCCCTGCCTCAGCATAAGGACACTGTGGCATTCTCAGGTAAGTTCTGTCTTGTCCCTGCCTCAGCATAAGGACACTGTGACATTCTCAGGGAAGTTCTGTCCTCTGCCATTTATACATATATTAGTCAAGAATAGTAACACTTTTCTTTTTTTATCTATCTGCAACCCTAAAAAAGTTACTGTGGTAATACTAGGGTAAGGTAAGTAGCAAGCAACTGACCTCTTACTTCATAGATCTGTTTCTATTATAACTATTTATTGCATTCACAATGGATTTACATCAGCTCCTACTTGGTGTCAGACAAATTTGTGTAAATGTATAAGAATATTCTAATTTGTGTTACATATTATAGATTGCTCTGTAAGTATGTATTTAAGATTCTGTGATTTGTATAAGAGATGTCCTGATTTTTGAGTTTTCCTGATTTGTATCATGGATTTCCTAATTTGTATCAGAGATTTTTTTATCCATTAATGATTTCTTGGTTTATATTTAAGGTATGCTGGTACTGGAAGCACCTGTCAGAAAGTGACAAACTCTGGATGCCCAAATGTCTTCGCTTAGGCTGGATCTTGTCCTTTACACCCAGTCCTTACGAGACTGGTGTCTGGAAACGAAATTACGTGGAAAATCTTAGACTACTAAAAGTTCATCGGCCCTCGGTATGTACTCATTGTTATTACAGATATATGGATAATCATAGATTATTTGGTTTCCATCTGCTAGATAAATTCTTATTGATAATGAAAATTCCTTAATTTATTTGAATTAAGAGTAATTAATTGTTTTTAATGTCTCAATAATGCCTTGCATTAGTATTCTTACAATGATCATTCTCACAAACTTGATTGAAATTTTTTCAACAGGCTGATTTTACATCATATTTCTGTTGATTCTAATGATGAGTCTATAAAAATATGATAAACTTTTTAATGGGACTTTTTCAAGTCCCCAAAATTGCTTTTAGAAGTGTGTGAAACCCAAATTGTTCACATTTTGTTTTATCATCAGGACAATTAACACAAAGGACCATTGAAGCATGACGTTAAATGTTAATTTTTCAAATTGAAGAATTATTTAGATACTCAGTCTAAAAAGTAAAAAAAAAAAGGAAAATCATGTTTTATTGGCTAATCAAAGATAATAGAGTTTTTCTTACTTGAAAATATTCTGCACCTAAGTTTTTCTCCTGTGTTTAGTTTTTTCTTTGTCACAATAGTAGTAATTTGTTATTAGGTGCACCTCCTACAAGATAGTTTTCTTATTTATAAAAGTGTTCATCATTCTATTTTTTTAATACATTTAGAATCTTCTGAAGATGGTAGTTCTATAGTAATCTTTCTGTATGACTTAGTTCGACTGGCCTGAAATAGAAATAAATACAGTTTACCACAAATAATGAATAGTTGACATGTTTCTTAGTTTTTAGAACTTGATAGCAAAATGTTCAATCAGGTTCAATATTATTATTTCTTTCTTCATCTGGTTTCAAATTCAAATAAAATATGTACAAGTATATGTTCATTTTTTATATCACAAATTTAAAAAAAAACATTCTTTATCAGTTCTGTGAAACTAAGATGTTTTGATGTGTTCTTTTGGTGCAATTTTATACAAAGAGAAAAATTATACTAGATTTGTTCTGAAATTTTAAGCAATATTATTACATAGTTTGTAAAGAAATAAGGGTCATTTCAGGTAAGAAAATGATAAGAAAGAGACACCATATTAATTCATTTATCAGTAAATATCATTGTAAGCCCATGTCTGGTAATAAGCCCACTTGAATCTGTAACTGTTCAGTAGAATTACCAACAAATGTGTTTTTATTGTCCAGCAGTATGTGTTTGCTCCTTTGAGGAATTCGTTTTGGTTTCAGTGGTTATGATAACAGAAAATTGCCCCTTTTCCTAAGGATTTAATTAAAGTACTATGTGTTTGGCATTGACCTTTTGACCCCAGATTATACTCTGTGTAATCTTATAATGGACACCATGTTTTTTTGTTTTCATTCCTGTAAACACCATTTCAAGTACTGTCTCATCCAATAAACAATTAATGTTCTATTTTATGAACATCAGTGTCCTTGTAACTATGATTTGTGACCTGGGTCAAACAATTTCACACTATTAGTTTTCTTTTTTTCCCTTTCATTGCAACAATACTTTCTCTACCTACTGACCCATGTTTTCAAAAGATAATTAACATTGGTCTGTGCCAAACGTGGAAAATATTTTAAGGATGTCCTAATCTGTTGTTGAATGTCCACCAGAAATATTTGATATATATGAATTCATTTTGAATGATATTTGCCCTGTATTTTTTCCTTATCAACAGAATCCCCAGGTAAAACCTTATTTAGTCTGCCAGTTTGGAATGTGTTGTTCAAACCCTGGTCTATTCTTCCTACTTTTCACTGATATTTCATAACAAGGCCTATTCACTTGATACTCTCATTTAATCTGATCAGAAATGTCAGCGAGGATCTAGTCCTTACAAAACTTCTTTGTTTTAATATTTTCATTGCAAAAATGAAATAAAAATTATGATTTGAGAGATCAAGAGGCATTAACACAGAACCCCAACACATGTGTAACAGGTTTTCGTTTGCCAGTATCAAATTTTTGCTACTTCCACCATTAAATTTTAGGGAGACTATTGGATTAGCAAATTTAAACTTACTTAAGAAAGAGTTATTTTTAATATACATCTTGAATCTCGCTTTTTGATGGTTGAAAAATGACATGGCTCAAATCAGATTTGCATGACTGGCAAAGTAAACCTGCCAGTATGTGATAACACAAAGTTTACTAGACCACTCGTACTGCTGTCTGATGGCTTTGTTTTATTTCAACATGAATACCATAACTTAATGTCCAGTACACACCTCATTCCTCTGCCTTGAAAATGTATGCAGTGCATGTAGTTTTTTCCAAAAAGCGAGATTTTATCGTAGAATCAAATATTAAAATCAGGTGTCATTGCCCTGACTTCGGGTTTGAACAACATATTCTTTTTACTTGTAATAAATATATTCACTTGTTCTTCATTGCATGTTATGTTTATAAGTTGGGTCATCTTTGTAATTATTGTATTTTTTTAATTTAATTTTTTTTTTTTTTGGCTGAAAAATGAGAACCAGTATTTAAAACTTCATGGAATAAAATTTCTAAAAGGGGACCTCATCGGAAAATTCAATATTGAATACTTTAATTACAAGGTTAACCCAACATAATTAATTAAGTATCTAATCTTAAACGATATAAGATTTAAGTCAATGTTAGATTATACTTTAGCAAATATGTATCTATTAATTATTTGGATATTTGGGAGTTATCTCCCTTATTTCTGAAGGAATGGGAAGGTTCAGTGATGTTGATAATTGATTGTATATATGAAAGTGTTGGGGTGAAGGTTAATTTGTTTTCAGGGTTTGGCTATAACTACCCTAGTTCTTAACAGAAAAGTAGTTTAGTTGAAGTTGATACCCATGTATTGATGGCGGGCCAGAACAGTCAGAGCTAATTATTTTGTTTTGTCAATTTTTAAAGTTTGGGACTTATATTCATTTTCAAATTAATCTGTTAATCAAGATCATAAATGTGCTGGGAAGATTCCTCTGACAAGAATTTGCCAGTTTAGGGCAGCTAGAACAACAATGAATGAGGTCCTGCTATAGATAAAAAAAAATTCAACCATCGTGACGTTTGATACAACATGCTTTTGATACAGCTTGTATTACGTAAATAAGACACTTCAACATGAAACAGGGTTGTAAGCATTATATCTGAAATCGGTGTGTTATGTCTTTGATTAAAGTGCAAAAATAAATTAAAAGAAGAGAAAAAAAAATTGTTATCCACAATTACAATAATTGAGTACATATTTTACATATTAAGCACACATTTCTGAAGTGTAAATTTGGCTAGTATTATATCTAGTTACATGTATATCAAAGTATATCAGAATCTTACGAAGTTATCTCATTGAAAGACTTGTTGATCAATATTTGAAAATCAAATTCACAAGGAACATGTTGATTTTTTTTTTGTTTTTGTTTGGAATGTCTTTTTTTTCATATTTTAACGAAAGAAATTACATGTTCAGAAGTATGAATACTACTGCTATATATAGTCACAGTAATAGCTTGTGTTACTTTCCCTTATAACATATTTACTCTTCATATTTCCTTAAATAATGATTAAAATTAATTAGAAGCTAACAAAGTTATTCTGACTTTACTTAAGTAACTCCTAAGCTGGATAGGTATTTTAGTACTAAGAATTATTCTAGGTGTTTTCAGTTCAGTTTTAATCCATGAATACAGAATACGCAAGTTTCCGAATTTCAAAATTTGCAACAATTTTCCGAACATATTTGCTATCATGTTATTGACATTGTAAATCAAACATGTGGTATACACATAATATTTGATCTGAAGGACACCTGACCCAAATTTCCTCTGGTTCCTTCACCACAGATTAGTCATATTGACATACTAAATCATATCGGTCCATCAAAATGTCTTATGCACTCTGGTGTTAAATATGATTAAGGAAACTGTGACTAATATCATTTAGCTGGTAATTTTTCGCAGAGATGATATTTTCACTAATTCACAGTACATTAACCTGATTGCTTAAGTTTAATCCATGAAATAATGAGACATGTGTACATGTATTAGTCGACCTTTTTCATTCAAATTTAAATATTTTAATTCATTGAAGTATAACTTTATAGTATAAACAAAATTGATAAAATTTTGACCTGTGGAAAGTACCACCCATACAGCAACTCCCTGTTTTCATAGCTAAATGCAATGTGATAACAAATTATAGAAAATATTGAAGTGGATTTCAGAACTTTTTCAAAATTCTTAAAAATCTGACATGATGATATATGAACAACATGGAGTAAATGATATGGAAATATGAATATTCTAATAGAGAAATGGACATTTTTAAGTAAAACTTGGTGTATACATTTGCATAATGATTCAGATTCGCATTTAATGTTCACATTTAGCTAGTTAATATCACTTTCATTTCACATGTTTCACTTGTCAATAAATATTTCAGCAAGTGTTTCTTTAATTCAGGTGATATCAAGTTATATACATGTTTTGTCTTTAATGTGATGGCTAGTTCCAAATAATTGAAGATAAATGTATCAGTGTTGGAAATGAATAAGTTTGTACTTTAAACATGTTTTTCAATGTTACATCTCTAATTACTATATATTACAACTATTGCCTAGTTTTCTGATAGATAAAACATCCAGATTATGGTTTCATTACATGTATTATATTGAATGACTCACATGAAATAGAACAGTAACAGAATCACACAGGTGTATTTTTACTGACTGAATTCTGTAAGAACCCTTATGTATCTTACTATCCTCTATCTGACTGGAAACTGTTGTCAGATTGTTGTGACTTTTGGTCATTTTTCATATCAGATATAATACATAATTCAAATTAATTTTTCTTATAAATTTTTGAAGATTGCTTTTAAGTAATCTTTTTGTTCTATTTGAAGGTGTCTTAGAAATTTATATTTATTTTAAAACATCGTCAGCCGTCACCTTGTCACAATCATTAATGTTGACTGCTTATAGCAGGACATTTTCACAGTGACTACTGGGAATGTTGATTTCTTGTTCAGTTGAAATATCAAATGCCTTATGAATATCCACACTATGTAATGAAACAATAGTAAAGTAATATTATTTTTGAAAACAATCTGTTTTTCTGTTTTGATAGTACTAAGTGTATGCCAACTTTTTGTATCAATTTTAACAGCATTCGACCTTGGAACAGTTAGAAAAGTTAAAACTTGACCTTGAGAAGGATTATCGTGTGTCCAAGCACAAGAGCAAGAAGAAGGAAAAGATTCCCTGGCGAGGATCAGATCCAGTTCCAAAAGATACATGGCGTTATAATGTATTGGAGAATGATGATGTTGTACAGAGTATTAACAAAGTGTAAGTATGTATACTGTGTGTCATTACATAAAGTGTTGGTCCTGGAATGTTTACAAAGTGTATGTCTGATAACTTTTTCCCTCCTTGGGGCCAGATCTAGAATGTTTTCCCTCCTTGGGGCCAGATCTAGAATGTTTACAAAGTGTAAGCCTGACAACTTTTCCCTCCTTGGGGCCAGGTCTAGAATGTTTTCCCTCCTTGGGGCCAGATCTAGAATGTTTACAAAGTGTAAGCCTGACAACTTTTTCCCTCCTTGGGGCCAGGTCTAGAATGTTTTCCCTCCTTGGGGCCAGATCTAGAATGTTTACAAAGTGAAAGCCTGATAACTTTTTCCCTCCTTGGGGCCAGGTCTAGAATGTTTTCCCTCCTTGGGGCCAGATCTAGAATGTTTACAAAGTGAAAGCCTGATAACTTTTTCCCTCTATGGGGCCAGGTCTAGAATGTTTTCCCTCCTTGGGGGCAGATCTAGAATGTTTACAAAGTGTAAGCCTGATAACTTTTTCCCTCCTTCGGGCCAGATCTAGAATGTTTTCCCTCCTTGGGGGCAGATCTAGAATGTTTACAAAGTGAAAGCCTGATAACTTTTTCCCTCCTTGGGGCCAGGTCTAGAATGTTTTCCCTCCTTGGGGCCAGATCTAGAATGTTTTCCCTCCTTGGGGCCAGATCTAGAATGTTTACAAAGTGAAAGCCTGATAACTTTTTCCCTCTATGGGGCCAGATCTAGGATGTTTTCCCTCCTTGGGGCCAGATCTAGAATGTTTACAAAGTGAAAGCCTGATAACTTTTTCCCTCCTTGAGGCCAGGTCTAGAATGTTTTCCCCCCTTGGGGCCAGATCTAGAATGTTTACAAAGTGTAAGCCTGATAACTTTTTCCCTCCTTGTGGTCAGATTTATAATGTTTACAAAGTGTAAGACTTATAATTTTTCCCTCCTCGGGGCCAGATCTAGAATATTTAGAAAGTGTGACCCTGATAATTTTTCCCTCCTTTGGATCAGATCTAGAATGTTTGCGAAGAGTAAGTCATTACTTGGAGTGGCCCTACAGTATTGTGTTAGCTGTACAGAGAGTTTAGAAGTCTGTTTGAGACAGATCAGTTATACTTAAGTTCATGTCTCGGCTATAAGCTCTGTACTTAATATATTGGTTGTCTGGGATTACTGCACGATAAATATGGTGATTTGACCAGTTTAAATGAAAGGAATCAATTTTCTTGTGATTTACATGTCATTTATTGCTAGTCTTGGATAAATTTGAGAATTTTCATCTAAATCAGGAAATAATAAAATTAAAGTTGCTAAGAATATATTTCTTTAACACTCATCATGACAGGATATACATACAATATACCTATGTATATTTTTCCACCTACAGAAGGAGGAAGATGACATGTGGAACAGAGGCAGACATAATATCAAAGAATGCAAGAAGTAAAGTAAAGACAGGTCACAATGTCCTTAATATGTCCACCAGGAGGTCGTTGTCAGCTTCTGTACCAGTAAGTCTCATTACTCTGTTTAGTTACATTATTTGAAGTCTAACAGGATCTATGTTTACACTTGGCCAATTAGTGCCCAGACTTTGTGAATTAATTATATTATTTTTCATGCCCCCGCCGTGTCCGTCGCATCCCGTGAGCCCTTAGTTTTATGTCATCAGGTTCTGCAACAAATCATATCAAGGAAATTATCAGTGAATGTCAAAATGTCAAAGGTCATATTTGACAACCTCAGCAATTTCATCAAACTACAATGCTTTATGGATTGTTGAAGGGGCATTCAAATATTACATTTTTTTTTTTACAAACTTTATTTTTAGTGAATGTAACAGTTAATTTCAGTTTAATTAGATAGCCATAAATACACTTAAGCATTAATACAATTAACACATTTATTCTGATTTTTTCAGAAGTTCTTAAGGATTACAGAAATTTCATTTCTTTTATAGTATTAGCTTTAATTAATAACTTGTGAACATTTTCCTCTTGCAGAGATTGAACACAGGTTTCACAGAAAATGATGGAATAGGGAGGCCACAGTGGGCAAAGAATGCCACTGGAGCTCCCTATGTTTCATTTGATCCAGGCATGGAGACTGTTCAACGTCCAGCACCTGTTAGTCCTCCAACCAAGACCAAACATGCACATCCAATCTCGGCACGGTCAGGCAGAGATCCACCTTGTAAGCCTAATTTTTATGTTTTGTCACTGACAGACATAGAAAGCTTTTGATTCTATTTTTCTGAGTTTTGCACAATCAGTTATTTTCCCTGAAAAAATTCTTTTAACAGTAGACATTTTGTTTCTTTCAGATACATCAATCCATTACTTAAAATCATGTATTTTCATGGGGCTGAAATTTTTTTGTTTTACAAATCATCCATTTTGGTTCGCGCTTCATTTTGCCAATAAATTTAGTCCTTGAAATCCACTTGCACTATAATTCATGTCATCATTTATCTGTCTATCGATTCATGAACATGTTAATTCATACTCACAATTTATACAAATATAAAAACCTCATGAAAAATACTGAATTTCATTCCAGCAGAATAACTATGGATTGGTATTGTATTTGTAAATGCCAGTAAGCATTATTTTGTCGTCCTGTCATGAACTTTTAGTTTGAAATTGTTTTTATCCTATAAATAACTCCAAAACATTGATTTTTTGTAGACAAATCTTATTTTTCTTTCATTTTCAGCAGCAAGATTGTTTCCAGAAAAACCCTGGAATGTTCCGACAGATTCTGATGATGATGATCACTGACCTTTAACCTCGGGTATTTGATGACCTCTGACCAGAGATATTAATAGCTGAGTTTTGTCATCTGTTTAAAGTTACCTCTGACTCATGTAACATCTGATAAGAAGAGGTTTTCTCTCATATTTTATTTGTTTTTATGTTGGTCCATGCAGATTTGAATGACAGAATATGTTTCAGTAATAGAAAAAGTCCATTGATCATGGCTGTGTAACACTTTTTATTGGGCGATGACATATCCTAGTCTCAGTGTTAGGATTAAACAGCTAAACTTTAATTATTTTACAACAGATGTGAAACAAGCTATCAGTTTACATAAGTCACTCCTGTTGGTCCCTGTGCAGAGTTTTACTGTGGGAGGAAACTGCAGTGAGCAGGAAAACCCATGTGGTTAGGAAGGTGACCCCTTACCTTTTCACGTCCATTCTGGGGATCAAACCATGTATGGTGAGGTGAAAGGCGAGTGTGTTACAACTGAGCCAATCACTAGGATTTGTTTGTATATAGCTATGATTGTTAACCAGTATGATATTTCCCTTGATGATAAAACATCATAAAATTCAAAAATATCCTTCTGCTTGTTTTAAGTCCTTAATAAATTTTTCATTTCATAGAAAAGAAATTATTTTTACACCAGGGTCAGACACTGGACAGGCCCTAAATTTTATATCAAATCAAATGCCAAATTAAAAATAATTAGTCAGTTTTGCCTGCAGCCATTGGTGGATTCTGGACATTGTTTTTAGTTTCTAAGTATATTTAAGGGATGTATCCTCAATTTTATGAAAAATGTTTTGATTGCAATTTTATGACAATTTTTACTTTTTTTGAGGACATGTAAAGGAAAGTAGTTTGTGGAACCGAAATCTACCAGAGTAATTCTAGATAATGTCTTTTAGATTTTGAATTTTAGTTCTGTTTCCTGTCAGATGTGATATTGGACTATATTACTTGTGTATTTCTGTATTCAGTCCGTGCTTGTGGAACACCATATACATTCCAAAATTATAACATTTAATGGTTTAGCTTTACTCAATATGAGGAAATCTTTATACATCTAAACTTTTTTTTAGAGTCTTTAATCACATTTTAAAGGTTTAGATTTACAAAACTTTTTTTGTCATATTTACATATCTAATATATTCTTGCCTTGGCATGTTATCATTCAGAACCTGTTGACAGGTTTCATATTTACATATCAACAATAAAATTATGTTGCTGATGTGGAAGGTGAGAAAGATGTATGTAGCCATTTTTAGAACATCATTGTCTGTTGAAAGTTTATTTTACGTCAGATGTGTTGTCTTACTTAATGAGATATTAAGTTCTGTTTAACTTCTAAAAGGATATGTTGATAGGTACAACATAAACTCCTATATACTTAGTTTTTGAGATATGTATTGAGTTTTTATGTTTTGTAAAATTGTGATCTGTTCTGAGTTATTTAGATCCATGATCTAATTTAGTAATTGAATATGGAATTACTAATTGTGACATGTATTAGTAATTGGTATGTGTAATTACTAATTGTGACATATACTAGTAATTGGGACATGTAATTAGAAAATGTGATCTGGATAAGTAATTGGTATATGTAATTACTAATTGTGACATGATTAGTAATTGGTGTATGTAATTACTAATAATGACATGTATTAGTAGTTGGTATATGTAATTACTAATTGTGACATTGATAAGTAATTGGTAAATATATTTACTAATTGTGATATTTGTCATTAGTGCTTTAAATCTATCATCATTGATCAGTAATAGAATTCTGTAACGAGTATTTCAAAATCTGTATATATGCTAGTTAATCAATAAAGATCTGTTACAAAATGATACAGACACATTTTTAGTAATTGATCAATGCATTTGCTACCTAAGGTCTGTGTTAGGTATATAATTAGATTAGTGAGATAATCGAGATCTTCCTCAGTCTGGAAATATATTGCTGTAGAATTTCATAATCTCATTCATATTATTAATCAATGGGTTTTTTATTTAATGTTTTGACAAGATATTCCAGAAGTTATAATAAAACATTTACAAAAATGTTTTAATGTAAACAGTGATGAGTTGTCAGTAGTGTACAGAGTTGTTTATAAAGTAGAGAGAATATGGACACTTCTGATTTTTAAAACAAGAGAAAAGTCAAATGGAGGAAATCATTGTCAATGAACCATTGGCCTCTAGAGTGATGATAAAATGCTAGGGAATCAAAGAAGTAAATGAAGGAAAATCAATGAATTATTAGATTTTTTTTTCACATTTATTTCACAGATTCTTGTGTAAATTTTTTGTTCCTTTGTTGAATTTACCACCTCCCCCACCCCCCACCCCCCCAACAGCAAGGGTCATTTAAATCAGGGTCTCCTTGTAGTAGCTGGTGTCTATCACACTGGACCACATATAGGTGGCCTGCTGATGCCTTCCATACAGAAATGTGTCTTGGCCTTTATCATAACTTTGACAGCTAAGATCAGTCCATTTCCTGGCTCCCTGTGATGATGTGTAAGGTGTGTTGAGACTGTTATTCACCTCAGATCTTCACCTGAGATTTCTTACATCAACACTCTACTGACTGAGCTGTAGTGACTTCTTTGTAGATAAGTGTAGTTGTATTGATACTATACACCAGGTGTAATCCCACAACCACTTGTATGAACAAAAATAGTGGTAGCTGTATTCTGTCACGTTTACTAGTAATGTTGACTACGCAGTAAGTGAGTGCATTTAAGATACCAGTTCATAAACATTTATAATTTGTAGAATTTATCAAAGTTAGTTTCTGGCTGGAAAAATGAAGAGAGAGAGAGATAAAGTTTTTGAAATATTGATTTTAGGCTTCTGGTAGCTAGGTATCCAGATCTTTTTAGAACGAGTTAAATTTTATTTCTAATTTAAAGCTTGTGATATTTTTTTCCTTATATGGAAGTTGAATGGTCTTATGTTGGTAAATATATTTCTGTCTACACATTAAAAATTGATCAGCACCAGGTACAAGAAAATATTACGTAAATGTTAGTTATTTACTTTAAGGCTTGAAAAATGTTAAAGTTTGATAAGTAAGACATCCTTTTTTGGGTTTGAAAGGATGCAAATTGTATAAATGTGTTTTTTTTTTTTTTTTAATTTTTAAATTTAATTTTTCATTTCTACCAAAAATGATTGTTTACATGTTGCTCCGAACATAATTTATATAAAGGAGGAAATAATTTAAAAATGACAAGAAATCTATGTTGATGAGAATTTTTTTCAAAGTTTCTACCTTGGTTTTCAATATTTATGATTAACTATCTTTCAATTTATGCAGGAATTCATAAGTATGTATTGTTGTTTTAATCAATGTTGTTGTTTTTGTCAAGATTTTTGTCAAAAAGTTTGTAGAATCTTTTTTTTTTTTTGAAGTGTTGCCATAATTAATAAATGATATGATTGTATTTCAAATGTTAAGAAAAACATTCCATTTGAGAATTTTCATTAAAGAGAGGAAATAAGATGAACATAATATGTATATTTTCATCTGTCTTTGGTATTTACCTGCTTTTTTTAAACTGTGACTGACTAGCAAAACAAAGATCCATTTTTGTTAACATCAAAGAAATTCCATTTATTGACGATATATTTAATATTTGTACAATGTTATTTCTTATCATTTGTGAAATATTATTTTTTGTGGTACCTATCATGTAAAGTGGAAGAGAGGAAAAAATTATGGACTGTTTTCAATGGGCGAGGTATCAAAAAAGATTTGATAACATTGACAAGTTAATATGATTCAAGTTTTAGATATTATACTCGAATTGATTATCTTAAGAAAAATCACAAGTGAAAAAAGGAATTATATTTTTTGCAGTAGAATAGGTTGGAAAACATAGGTTCATAATATTGGAATAAAATTCAGATACACATACAAAAAAAAAATAAAAAAAGAAAGATGAAAAAAAATCTAATATTTTGTTCTGTTGAAGCTGGACCATCTTTTTAAGACTTATATCAACTAAAAAATATGTATTTATTTTCAAAAATAAACAAAACAATTTGATTAGTTAATCAATTTTATGGTACTAATTCTTGATGAAGAACCTATGCTTTTATATAGATGATAGAGATTATTTAGTTCTGTTTGATACAATTTGTAGAAAATTTTAGCAAACTGTAGGAGCTTTTAAAACAATCTATTTTATTTCCGACAGAGATTAGCTCAGGATATAACATATCTTTGTATACATTGTGATATTTATGTACTCTACCTGTAATGTTCCTGTAAATAATTGTAATGGTGATATCACATTAGAAGGACAAATAAACACAAACATGTAACAAGTTCAATGTTTTGTCCAGATTTCTTTACATTTATGTTTGTTACAATTCTTTTCTATCTTAGTCTCTAATGTTTCTTGAACTTTTCTTCTTTTCAAGATCGATTGAAAGTGAATTATTTTGAGATTTGAATTTTAAAAAGATGAAAGATCTTCGTTTTAGAATATCCAACAACATTTCTTACTGCATACAAGCCCATGAATTCATTTTCTGCTTCAACTGAATATGTTCGTTTATCTACATTCTTGATGAAGATGAATTCATATGGCAACATAGACAAATTGGCTGATGACTGATGAGGTTGTCAAAATATGCTGTCCCAATTGGTCAGTCTGTCCTTCTGTTTTGTCCTCCATTGGTCAGTCTGTCCTTCTGTGCTGTCCCATATCTGTCAGTCTGTCCTTCTGTGCTGTCCTCCATTGGTCAGTCTGTCCTTCTGTGCTGTCTCCCATTGGTCAGTCTGTCCTTCTGTGCTGTCCCCCATTGGTCAGTCTGTCCTTCCATGTTGTCCCATATCAGGCAGTCTGTCCATCCATGCTGTCCCCGCCGTCATTCTGTCTTTCCATGCTGACCCCCATTGCTCATTCTGGCATTCCATGCTGTCTCCTATCGGTTAATCTGGCCTTCCATGTGTTCCCCTATGGGTCAATCTGGCCTTCCATGTTGTACCCATGGGTCATTCAGGCCTTCCATGTTGTACCCATGGGTCATTCAGGCCTTCCATGTTGTCCCCTATCGGTCAGTCTGGCCTTCTGGTCAGTTCGTCCTACCGAATTGAAATGAAGTGGACCCAACTTGGTTCAAACAGGGTGTTGAGCTAATCTGACAGCAAGGCAGTGTGTTGTATAACAAAAATATGAAAATATTCCGATGAGGGTGAATAATATTATGTAATTAATGATTTTGCCTCTAACCACCATCTTAGGCGAGAGTGACCCCAATGTGTTATGAGTAAATATGTTGCTCTCAATCTACCGTCTACGGCACTGGTGACTCAATATTACACTATCAGAAATTTTGCTCGTAACTCGACTCCTCGGTTGAGTGAGACTCGATATTATGTACGTAGGTATTCTTATCTCAAACCCCAGCCTTAGGCGAAGGTGACTCAATATGATATACGAAGAGATTTTGCCTCCAATTCATCGCCTTGGATGAGGATGACTTTTATTTTGTATTTAGAGATTTTGTTCACAATCCACTGCATAAGGCGATGGTGACTCAAGACTATATAAGAAGAAATTTTGCCCCCCCCCCCACCTCCAACTCCTCGGGTGAGGGTGAGACAACATATATTCTCGCATTTCAACGCCGTTGTGTGTGTGGCAGGGAGGGGGAGGCTCATTATTTCATTATGATGAAAGCAGTGAGTTCGCTTCCAATCTATCACTGTCATTGTTATGTAAACAGACTGTATCTCTGACAACCCCCGCCCCACAACTCCAGTCTCAGTGGAGAAAGTGTCGTCGTCGACATAGAAACAATAAAATGGCCTTGAAGAAGGAAGTATGGTTTTTCTGTACAGAAAGAACAAGGTTTTTTAACAAGGTTTTCTCTGTTGCAGCATGTTTGGCAGGAAATACATTCAAGGCATGCCCCTAAATGTTCTCATTTGTGTTTAATGACAACCACATGTATCTGCAACCGTACAAAGTTTACAGGAATACAGACCCAGGTTCACAGAGAGAAGCAAAATGACGTCATGATGACGTAATAAAGATAAAATAAAACACTGGAAATACACGATAAAACTTCAATATTATGACTTTTATTTGATTTTTATTTAAAAGTCCACGTTCTTAGCAAACGACATAAAACAAGACAACACCATAAAGTCAATTTCTAGCTGTTGAACTGACGTCCTTATGACAAATATACAGAACTGATTGCCTGGCATATATACACATGTATTAATTTTTGCAAGAGTTTTTACAAACTATACATCCTCAATACTCCTGGGGTTACACTCATTATCACTCTCTACATCCCCGGAATCATCCTCGATACTCCAGGTGTTACACTCACTATCGCTCTCTACATCCCTGGAACCATCCTCGATACTCCAGGGGTTCCACTCACTATCGCTCTCTACATCCCTGGAACCATCCTCGATACTACAGGGTCGATACTCCAGGGGTTCCACTCACTATCGCTCTCTACATCCCTGGAACCATCCTCGATACTCCAGGGGTTACACTCACTATCGCTCTCTACATCCCTGGAACCATCCTCGATACTCCAGGGGTTACACTCACTATCGCTCTCTACATCCCTGGAACCATCCTCGATACTCCAGGGGTTACACTCACTATCGCTCTCTACATCCCTGGAACCATCCTCGATACTCCAGGGGTTACGATCACTATCGCTCTCTACATCCCTGGAACCATCCTCGATACACCATGTGTTACGATCACTATCACTCTCTATCCCCCCGGAACCATCCTCGATACTCCAGGGGTTACGATCACTATCCCTCTCTATAACCCTGGAACCATCCTTGATACTAGTACTCCAGGGATTGCGATCACTGTCCTTCTCTACATCCCTGGAACCATCCTCGATACTCCAGGGGTTGCACTCACTATCGCTCTCTACATCCCTGGAACCATCCTCGATACTCCAGGGGTTCCACTCACTATCGCTCTCTACATCCCTGGAACCATCCTCGATACTCCAGGGGTTCCACTCACTATCGCTCTCTACATCCCTGGAACCATCCTCGATACTCCAGGGGTTGCACTCACTATCGCTCTCTACATCCCTGGAACCATCCTCGATACTCCAGGGGTTGCACTCACTATCGCTCTCTACATCCCTGGAACCATCCTCGATATTCCAAGGGTTATGATCACTTTCTCTCTCTTCATCCCTGGAACCATCCTTGATACTCCAGGGGTTGCACTCTCCAGGGGTTCCATCGCTCTCTACTATCGCTCTCTACATCCCGATACTCCAGGGGTTGCACTCACTATCCTCGATACTTCAGGGGAACCATCCTCGGAATACGATACTTCAGGGGTTGCACTCACTATCGCTCTCTACATCCCTGGAACCATCCTCAATACTCCAGGGGTTACACTCACTATCGCTCTCTACATCCCTGGAACCATCCTCAATACTCCAGGGGTTACACTCACTATCGCTCTCTACATCCCTGGAACCATCCTCGATACTCATGGGATTACAATCTCTCTACACCCCTGGAACATTTCATGGCAAAATGAAGGTTCCATTTGTAACACATTGTTGATAAGACGAGACTAGTTGGATCTGCTGATGTACACCAAACGAATCTAAAGGTCACCTTTCGGTATTTCTATGTTGCACTGGCTTTGAATTTTTCTGTCTCTGTTATAATCTTTAAAGAAGCGTATTATTGTTCGAATGATCAGTCTGTTCTCTCCTGAAATCCGCTCTAGACCAATCAAATTAGTTTGTTTATACCTTCAATTTTGCAATGAAATGTTCCAGAGGAGGACAGAGCGTAAGTGATCGTAACCTCTGGATATCAAAGATGAAATCTTTCACGAAGATTGTTTGTCGTTTATTCTTATAATATAGCGACATATACGAAAAGAACGTACTGCCCACTAACTATATATATATATAAGATAATGAGAATGGTTGTTGTGTTAATTCATGAAAACATTTAGATTTGAAAAGTATCTTCTTAGATACAAACTTATAGCATCTGAATTGAGAAACAAACACTGATAACATGTACGTGATATTTTTCACTTGATAGGTGAATATTCAAGACATTTACCCTGATCGGAGATCTATAAACACGTGATCTATAAACACGAGATCTATAAACACGTTATCCTTAAACACGTGATCTATAAACACGAAATCTATAAACACGTGATCTATAAACACGAGATCTATAAACACGTGATCTATGAACAGGAGATCTATAAACACGTGATCCTTAAACACGTGATCTATAAACACGAGATCTATAAACACGTGATCTATGAACAGGAGATCTATAAACACGTGATCCTTAAACACGTGATCTATAAACACGAGATCTATAAACACGTGATCTATAAACACGAGAAATACGATATCTATAAACACAGTATCTTTAAACACGAGATCTATAAACACGAGAAATACGAGATCTATAAACACGGAATTTATAAATACGTAATATGTATATAATATGAAGTAGGCACTGCCTAATAACGAGCGCAAGTTGGTCAAGAAAGTGCACATTTTGAACAGCCTGATCCATGTTTGCACTGAAGCGTGTTTTTTTTTTTTTTAAATTTGTTGTATATTTCGCAAGATTTGAACAAAACATAGACACATACAAATGTACCAATATATCATCATCAGCAGCAGCAGCAACACATCTTCTTCTAGAAAGCATTGTATCATCATGATCAGGCGGTGGTTTGGTGGCACAGTTGTAACACACTTGTCTATCACCTAGCCATTTGGGGTTCGATTCCCCGAAGGGATAGAAATGATACAGGTTTCCTCCCAAAGTTAGACCCCTCTCTTGCTTACAACAAGTGTGATTTTTATAAGTTGAAATAACAAAGTTTCCATATGTAAGTTAGTCATTCACATACAAACATACACCAAGAAAGGAAGACAGAGAAGAACAAAACAAGGACGACAAGATAACGCAAAATGTGACACTTTCCCTTCGCGAAGCTATTTAAATGAAAAACATACAATCATATATATAAATATTACAACAAGTTAATTTCTATTTGCTATTTCTCACATTTTCTCCCTCATTTATCACACATAACGCAAAACACTTGCAAAAAAGACCTTTCATTTCAGTTTTTCCGTCTCGAGCAGACATTTTTTTTGTGAATGTACATATTCGTTCATTCCTTGATCCCTGTTCGTTGTTATGATTCATTTCTCATTACTTGCATATCGTGGCAACGAATTCTGCAAAGAAGAAAACATACATGTCTAAATGAGGCTTACATCTCCTGTCCCATTCCTATCTAGATAATGTAAACTTTCAGTTGTTATGGAATCTCCTTTTCATGTCTGGAGTTTTGTATAAAGAAAAATAAGTCTTAGCTAGCAAAGAAAGAATCATTTGTTTTCTCAAATGAAATAGGGCTAAATACATGAATGGAAAATAATTTTACTGTGCCAATCTCAAAATTGTTTAACACTATTGTACAGTACAGAGACAACAAAAGGAATCAAAGACCCGTCAAAGACCTCAGCCTCGATATTCATAGGGTCTCTTCGCTCTCTACACTCCTGGAACACTTCATCATGACAAAATCTAAGGCACAAGTGAAGTAATTTAATTGGTCCAGAGCTGGTTTCGAGAGAAAAAAAGTCTGAAGAATCACAGACTGCTACGCTCCTTTGAAGATCACAAATGTGTGACAGCCAAATTCAAAGCCATACCAACATACTGTAATGCAACCACGATATTCGAAAGATGCACAAAACCAAAATTATCATCTCATCATATCCACAAAGTGTCGCAAACGGAACCTTCGATTTTGCTGTAAAATGTTCCAGTACAGAAATCGAAAGAGATCGTAGCCCCTGGAGTATCGAGGATGGTTCCAAGGGTGCAGCGAGCGACAGTGTAACCCCTGGAGTATCAAGGATGGTTTCAGCGGTGTAGAGAGCGAAAGAGATCGTAGCCCTTGAGTATCGAGGATGGTTCCAGGGGAACAGAGAGTGAAAGTGATGTAACCCCTGGAGTATCGAAGATGCAGATACCTAAGGGACACACGACAGACCCGTATAATCAAAAAGGTATCATTTCACTTCTGACATCAATAATGAAAAAGAAAAAAATGTTTGTCGCTGAAGGACTGGATAAAATGATACTAAAAGGATGAGGGAGTGCGAGCAGATTGTTCAATATATGTATGATATAGGTTTAGACTGTTTAAACTTCGTCTCGAGCCAATATCTAGTAGCAAGTGTAGTAGTGTCACTGGAGCTAATTTTAGTTTAAAAACTGACAAAAAACAAACAAACAAACAAAAACAAATTTTAAAAAATAACAAATATGGTAACATATTCTTAAATATCACAATTAATATTTTTTCGGTTACTTCGAGCTTACCGTCATAACTGATCTTTCCGTCGTTGTTTGTATCGGCTTCCAGAAGGAGTTCCTCGGCTTTCTGTTCCGCCATCTTGTCCCCGGCTGCTGTGAGGATTTGCTTGAGCTCATCTTTAGAGATGTAACCATCTCCATCTAAATCGAACATCTTGAATGAGTCCCTCAGCACTTTTCCCTCGTATTCTTGTAGTGAAATTGACCTCATCATGACTTTCTCAAATTCACTGAAGCTGACATACCCATCCTCTGGAATTATAAACAATATAAAAATAGATAATCATTGAAATGCTTTTTATTGGCATTCATAGGCAATATGAATGCCAACTTGAAAGGGAAAATTATGTTGCCTTTATTTAGTTGACATTCATAACGCCCAGGAATAACAACTAATCAGTACGTGTTTATCGTTTTATATTTTTATTTTTTTTACAAGAGAAAACATCATCAACTTGTATACCTTAGTTGCAATATTTCTACGCCAGTGCTAGTTCATGATCTGATAATACACAACTGCCTACACTTAAAGCAATGCCGTACAATGGCAAATATCGACACACAAATGAAGAAGAAAAAAAATCAGTGCTGTTGAACTTAAAATACAGCTAATTATTAGACTGTACGCTCGCTTATGTGAAAAAAAATATATCGACATTTGTCTTTCGGTGGTAACAGAATTCGATTTATTGGTTACTGTCACAGCGCGCGATAATCTGGCCAAATAGACTGACTGATATAAGCCAACATATACAGTGTCAACTCATCAAAAATTCCCTTTAAATCGTTCTGTATATTAATTATTCAAGATCTGAATCAGTAACAAACATTGTCAGTTTTATTGCTTTCTTCACCATAGATGTTCAAGATTCAGATTCACATTGATAGCAATATTTTAGCACATTTCTGGTTATTAAATGGTAACCACGATGTTACAGTCACATATCACTTGTGTCGACGATTGTACAAGTAAACAACACCTTTCAATACCTTAGATACTATATAATTGTTTAGTCTCGCGGGATTCATATTACGCGGTTGTTCCGGTCAGGAATAATTCACCGGTATTTAATATCGCGCAGTCCTTTTGTACCTATGAAATCGGTCCGTGTATACAGATGTAACACATCATTTCAAAAATTTCCTCAGTCACTGTAGAAATGTTTGCGAGACATTTATTTTCGCGCTATATTCAATGGCCATGAATATAGCGAAATCAAATTCCCCACGAATATTACTAACTGTGCCTTACTATTGAGCCAAAAACGAGTTGTCTGTATTACACAGCTGTTTCGTCCTTTTACGACCCGTTAGCGATGCTATATCATACTGTTGTTTTGTCCCTCTGGGACTCGTCAGTGATGCTACATCATACTGCTGTTTCGTCTTTCTACGACTCGTCAGTGATGCTACATCATACTGCTGTTTCGTCTTTCTACGACTCGTCATTGATACTACATTATACAGCTGTTTCGTCCTTCTAGGAATCGTCATTGATGCTACATCATATAGCTACTGCATCATACTGCTGTTTCGTCCTTCTACGACTCGTCATTGATACTACATTATACATATGTTTCGTCCTTCTAGGACTCGCCATTGATACTACATCATATAGCTGTTTCGTCCTTCTAGGACTCGTCTTTGATACTACATCATACTGCTGTTTCGTCCTTCTACGACTCGTCATTGATGCTGCATCATACAGCTGTTTCGTCCTTCTAGGACTCGTCATTGATACTACATCATACTGCTGTTTCGTCCTTCTAGGACTAGTCATTGATACTACATCATACTGCTGTTTCGTCCTTCTAGGGCTCGTCAGTGATCCTACGTCATACAGCTGTTTCGTCCTTCTAGGTCTCGTCAGTGATAATACATTATACATATGTTTCGTCCTTCTAGGACTCGCCATTGATACTACATCATATAGCTGTTTCGTCCTTTTAGGACTCGTCTTTGATGCTACATCATACTGCTGTTTCGTCCTTCTACGACTCGTCATTGATGCTGCATCATACAGCTGTTTCGTCCTTCTAGGACTCGTCATTGATACTACATCATACTGCTGTTTCGTCCTTCTAGGACTCGTCATTGATACTACATCATACTGCTGTTTGGTCCTTCTAGGACTCGTCATTGATACTACATCATACAGCTGTTTCGTCCTTCTAGGGCTCGTCATTGATACTACATCATATAGCTGTTTCGTCCTTCTAGGACTCGTCTTTGATACTACATCATACTGCTGTTTCGTCCTTCTACGACTCGTCATTGATGCTGCATCATACAGCTGTTTCGTCCTTATAGGACTTGTCAGTGATGCTACATCATACAGCTGTTTCGTCCGTCTAGGACTCGTCAGTGATGCTACATCATACAGCTGTTTCGTCCTTCTAGGACTCGTCATTGATGCTACATCATACATCTGTTTCGTCCTTCTAGGACTCGTCACTGATGCTACATCATACAGCTGTTTCGTCCTTCTAGGACTCGTCAGTAACTCTACATCATACAGCTGTTTCGTCCTTCTAGGACTCGTCAGTAACTCTTCATCATACAACTGTTTCGTCCGTCTAGGACTCGTCATTGATGCTGCATCATACTGCTGTTTCGTCCTTCTACGACTCGTCATTGATACTACATTATACAGCTGTTTCGTCCTTCTACGACTCGTCATAGATACTACATTATACAGCTGTTTCGTCCTTCTAGGACTCGCCATTGATACTACATCATACTGCTGTTTCGTTCTTCTAGGACTCGTCATTGATACTACATCATACTGCTGTTTCGTCCTTCTAGGACTCGTCATTGATACTACATTATACAACTGTTTCGTCCTTCTAGGACTCGCCATTGATGCTGCATCATACAGCTGTTTCGTCCTTTTACGACCCGTCATTCATGATAAGAACCTAAATTGTTGAAACCAAGGAAGCGATGGAAGATGATACAAAATTAGTCGAAATAAATGTCGTCACCAGACCAGCCATGTAAAATATAGATTAGAATACATACAGACAACTTTGTACTTTCATTAAGACCAATAAAAGTTTACTTACTGTCCTCGTCAACGGGTTGCATCATTTTGTCAAACTCGTCATTTGTAGGATGAATTCCCATACAACGCATTGCACGCAAAATCTCATATCGGGAAATCCTCTGATCTCCATTTACATCGAAGTGGGAAAATATCTTCTTGATTTCTGTATTAAACAAATTCAAAGAAAAGAACATTTTAAGATATAGATTACTGAAGAGTGCAGGGATTGAAACACGTATAGTAAATACAATTTGACATTGTGTTCCGTTTTATTTTATTTTGTTTGTTTTCGTTTGTTTTTATTTTAATATTTGTTTTCTGTTTTGGGTTCGTTTAAACTTAATACATCAATATTTCATTAAGTAAATGATGACAAACGATGCGATGAATATCGTAGAAATAAATTATATGCCGAATCCAGAGTAAAAGTATATCGTATAGTTGTTCTGTCAATAAGCCGCGACGGATTAGTCGGTTTTACCACCTCTGGTGAACATCCAGAGAGGTTCGATACTCCTACCGTGGTGGTTTGTGTTTCTGAACTGAAAATTGGATCAAGATTTTGTTGTTGTTGGTGGTGGTGGTGTTGCTGCTGCAGCTGTTGTTGTTGGCGGCGGTGGTGTTGTTGATGCTGCAACTGTTGTTTGTGTTGTTGCTGCAGCTGTTGTTGGTGGTGGCGGTGGTGTTGTTGATGCTGTAACTGTTGTTTGTGTTGTTGCTGCAGCTGTTGTTGTTGTTGGGGGTGGTGTTGTTGATGCTGTAACTGTTGTTTGTGTTGTTGCTGCAGCTGTTGTTGTTGGTGGTGGCGGTGTTGTTGTTGATGCTGTAACTGTTGTTTGTGTTGCTGCTGCAGCTGTTGTTGTTGTTGGTGGCGGTGTTGTTGATGCTGCATATGTTGTTTGTTGTTGTTTGTGTTGCTGCTACAGCTGTTGTTGTTGTAATTTTGTTTTCCACGTGTAAGTTAAGACACTGATGAAACAACACTATAAGTGTAACTATAAGCATGCGATGATGATATTTTTGAGAACATCACCACTCATACGAAATGAAACAGAGGGAATTAACAGCTTCATGACTGAAAAAAACTGTTGTATCATTACTTAATATTAGCTTCGACATCCATTCAAGGTTTAAAGTCAATTTTTATTTGAAATCTTAAATGTACGAAGAATCAGGCATGAATAAAGTCCAAATCGATCAACAAATTTGGCAGCACGTTATCGTCACATTGTTGGTCGGGTAGCTGTAGATCTGCAATACATTAACTTTAGTACATAACGTCATGATATGGTGTAATTTGGTTAACCTTACTGTCGGTCTACAGAAATATACAGGGTCAGTTATAAACCTTGAGAGAGAGCCCAGGGCGAGAATGTCGTCTACAGAAATATACAGGGTCAGTTAAAATCCTAGGAAGAGAGTTCAATGCGAGACTGTCGTCTACAGAATTATACAGGGTCAGTTAAAAACCTAGGAAGAGAGTCCAGTGCGAGACTGTCGGTCTACAGAATTATACAGGGTCAGTTAAAAACCTAGGAAGAGAGTCCAGGGCGAGACTGTCGGTCTACAGAATTATACAGGGTCAGTTAAAAACCTAGGGAGAGAGTCCAGGGCGAGACTGTCGGTCTACAGAAATATACAGGGTCAGTTAAAAACCTAGGAAGAGAGTCCAGGGCGAGACTGTCGGTCTACAGAATTATACAGGGTCAGTTAAAAACCTAGGAAGAGAGTCCAGGGCGAGACTGTCGGTCTACAGAATTATACAGGGTCAGTTAAAAACCTAGGGAGAGAGTCCAGGGCGAGACTGTCGGTCTACAGAAATATACAGGGTCAGTTAAAAACCTAGGGAGAAAGTCCAGGCGAGACTGTTGGTCTACAGCAATATAGAGAGTCAGGCAGAATTATCGAGGGCGAATACAAGCCGAGACTCTCGGTCTACAGAAATATACAAGGTCAGGCAGAATTATAGGGAGTGAGTCCAAGGCGAGAAAAATCGAGGAATTGAGGAGAAAATGCACGTAGAAGGTAAGTGATATAGCAACGTTTAAGTTTGGGGAGAAGTGATGGCTTAGGGTAGCCGGCTTGTAACTGCTGTTTAATGGAAAAGAGTTCTAATGAACGATAGAGAGAGGAAAGAATGAATACGTTTAACAGTCTGTAGAATGTATAAACTAGTCTGTGTGGAGAAGAATTCAAGTAAGACATTGCAAAGGAATGTGATGATGAACCACATGGCTTGGTGACATTATACCCAGTATAAATCATATATCGTGATTATGTGTTATATACGATTTGTAGATCAATACTTTGAAGGCAGTGATATCATCTCTGCACCATTTCAGCTTTACTGTTTGATAATAGTAGTATTAGAATAAGAACATTTAACCCATGAATAAATGAAATTTCTGTCGAGCAGAGTGTGTAGAAAAAACTGAAAAAAATTACCATCTCTTTCCGCTTTAGTCGCTCTCCGTATCCGGAATTCTGGATCTAATTCTAATACCGCTTGAGAAGCCATGTTTGTTTATCCAAATAAAAAACAGAAATTAAATTAGTCAGCAATACCAGATACCGTGAAAACACATATTCATGTACATTAAGAGTACACGACTGTTCCTTATTACTCCACGCTGTGTTATCTTAACAGTATCGTCACTTAGTAATTAATTAAAGCCTCCACTAATTACATTGGCCACTTATGGTCTAACCGTGTGTATGTTGCAGTTTGTGGTAGACTTTGAATATAGACTTACCACTGTATAGTATACTAGCATGACATTAATCAACAGAAATAAAATTGGCACGGCACTTATTTTGCCTAGCGCCCAGCTTTTTAATTATGTTCGAAGAAACATAAATATGTGTTGTGATAGAGCTTATACTTTCACATTAATAACAACATGACAACGTCACCAAGTCAACACAACACGACAACGTCACCAAGTCAGCACAACACGACAACGTCACCAAGTCAACACAACACGACAACGTCACCAAGTCAACACAACACGACAACGTCACCAAGTCAACACAACACGACAACGTCACCAAGTCAACACAAAACGACAACGTCACCAAGTCAACACAACACGACAACGTCACCAAGTCAGCACAACACGACAACGTCACCAAGTCAACACAACACGACAACGTCACCAAGTCAACACAAAACGACAACGTCACCAAGTCAACACAACACGACAACGTCACCAAGTCAACACAACACGACAACGTCACCAAGTCAACACAACACGACAACGTCACCAAGTCAACACAACACGACAACGTCACCAAGTCAACACAACACGACAACGTCACCAAGTCAACACAAAACGACAACGTCACCAAGTCAATACAACACGACAACATCACCAAGTCAACACAACACGACAACGTCACCAAGTCAACACAACACGACAACGTCACCAAGTCAACACAACACGACAACGTCACCAAGTCAACACAACACGACAACGTCACCAAGTCAACACAAAACGACAACGTCACCAAGTCAACACAACACGACAACGTCACCAAGTCAACACAACACGACAACGTCACCAAGTCACACGACAACGTCACCGACCAACACGACAACGTCACCAAGTCAACACAACACGACAACGTCACCAAGTCAACACAACACGACAACGTCACCAAGTCAACACAACACGACAACGTCACCAAGTCAACACAAAACGACAACGTCACCAAGTCAACACAAAACGACAACGTCACCAAGTCAACACAACACGACAACGTCACCAAGTCAACACAACACGACAACGTCACCAAGTCAACACAACACGACAACGTCACCAAGTCAACACAACACGACAACGTCACCAAGTCAACACAACACGACAACGTCACCAAGTCAACACAAAACGACAACGTCACCAAGTCAACACAACACGACAACGTCACCAAGTCAACACAACACGACAACGTCACCAAGTCAACACAACACGACAACGTCACCAAGTCAACACAACACGACAACGTCACCAAGTCAACACAACACGACAACGTCACCAAGTCAACACAACACGACAACGTCACCAAGTCAACACAACACGACAACGTCACCAAGTCAACACAACACGACAACGTCACCAAGTCAACACAACACGACAACGTCACCAAGTCAACACAACACGACAACGTCACCAAGTCAACACAACACGACAACGTCACCAAGTCAACACAACACGACAACGTCACCAAGTCAACACAACACGACAACGTCACCAAGTCAACACAACACGACAACGTCACCAAGTCAACACAACACGACAACGTCACCAAGTCAACACAAAACGACAACGTCACCAAGTCAACACAACACGACAACGTCACCAAGTCAACACAACACGACCAACACGACAACGTCACCAAGTCAACACAAGACGACAACGTCACCAAGTCAACACAACACGACAACGTCACCAAGTCAACACAAAACGACAACGTCACCAAGTCAACACAACACGACAACGTCACCAAGTCAACACAACATGACAACGTCACCAGGTCAACACAACACGACAACGTCACCAAGTCAACACAACACGACAACGTCACCAAGTCAACACAACACGACAACGTCACCAAGTCAACACAACACGACAACGTCACCAAGTCAACACAACACGACAACGTCACCAAGTCTACACAACACGACAACGTCACCAAGTCAACACAACACGACAACGTCACCAAGTCAACACAACACGACAACGTCACCAAGTCAACACAACACGACAACGTCACCAAATCAACACAACACGACTACGTCACCAAGTCAACACAACACGACAACGTCACCACGTCAGCACAACACGACAACGTCACCAAGTCAACACAACACGACAACGTCAACACGTCAGCCCAACACGACAACGTCACCAAGTCAACACAACACGACAACGTCACCAAGCCAACACAACACGACCAACAGGACAACGTCACCAAGTCAACACAACACGACAACGTCACCAAGTCAACACAAAACGTCGATCAATAAAAGATAAACTTACAACACAAGCCCTAGTTTCACGAATCTTCCTAACACAGGAAAATAGTTCCTCAAAGTTTAGTTTTCCTTAACTTATGTAATGACTTTTCTATGGTAGATAAGACTTGTTTAAATTAATTAAGATTTGTGAAATCGGTCACAGGGATCGAGTTTGGACAATCACTGTTGACGTGCCGCCTTTTATAGCGCATAAAAATGAGAGATTGGACTGACTGAAGACGTCTGCGAATCAGCAGTCAGTGTAAGTTGAAGATGAAAAAGAAGTTTTATGGGCGAAATCATGATCGCATCGATTTCTTTGTGCGGAATATTATTAGATGGGTTTGATAGTCGTTTGTAGTCCTGGGGGTCTCGTTGTTATCATACCTAATTCTCATTTGGAGAACGTGACATTTTCTACGTTAATTACGTCTGTTAGAGAATCTTCATTCGTCGATTCATATAATACATAATGTAATCATTAATGTTCCAATGAACAACTCTATATATTATTTAGTAATTTCATTCATTATACATTTTCATTAACTGACCATTCACGAATTCTCATAGCTGGGTTTTTCTTTTTTTTTTCATGAGGTGTATTGCTCAGTCGATTGTAACACTGACTTCGTTCGGCTTCCTTAGAGTGATTGATACTTTTTTACTAAAATCAAAGAGCTGTATGTGACGTATTTGATTATTCAACGAAAAAAACACAATAAGAATTTATGGTAACAGTGTGATCGATCTTCACGGTGGCCAGTTGTGTAACAGACCGTGTGCGTGATAATCTACAGACAAAGCCGGCCATACAAGTGACCCGGATATGTGTGTATTGTAGGAGTAAATGCCTAGTCTCATATAGTCGTTTGTTGATTAACAATTCTAAAAGGACGTACATTTTGATGTCTGAAATGTAAACACATTTTACTGATATCTATACTGTAACATTTATCATTTATATATGTATTTTTAAGGTTCATTGTAACCTGGCTTGTCATAGTATAAATAGTATCACGATTTAGACAACAAACATACTTTATTAATTCTTTTGAAAAAGTCTTATACATTGGTAATTACGAAATTCACTGAGATATGGGTTAGGTGCACCTTACCTATTTTGAGCATTCGTCCTCTAAATTTCAGCATTTGTAGGCCATATGCTACCCCTGCTATCTAAAACACCGATCTTTTTCACTGCCGCCACACTCTTTTTCTGTCGATTATGTATATATACTAAAAGGATAAAGAAACGCAGGGTGAACTTTAAACCAGAAATTAAGTATGATATCGGGCTTCATTTAAAATGAAATATTGTATACTTACAGATAAATTAAAGCTTAAAAATGTCCAAAGTCTGTATTTTGCATCTGAAAATTGGTTTAGAGGTACTAACGATTAATTTGAATGGACCCATAGGATTTTGAAATTGAACTGAGTCATAAATATCTTGGGTGTCCGCCGTTTGCTGTGGTCACGGACCTTATTCTTCTGGTCATAGAGTTCATGAGAGCGTTAATCCGTCTTATGGGGATGTTGTCCCACTCTTCAATCAGAGTCAACTGCTCTCGAGTAGCAGGGGGTGGCTGGCGCTTTCGAACCTGTCTATCCAACTGGTCCCAAAGATTCTCGATCGGGGACAAATCAGGGCTATATGGCGGCCAATCTAGTGGTTAAATGTTGTTGTTGGCCAGAAAGACTTGACAAATCCTTGCTACGTGGGGCCTAGCATTATGCTGCTGGAGGGTTAGATTATGCTGCTGTAAGAAAGGGATAACATGGGGTCGAAGGATCTCATCTCTATACTTAGCTGCTGTTAAATTGCCATCAATAACAACCAATTGTGATTTTAACCCGTGTGAGATTCCTCCCCACACCATTACTGAAACGCCCCCAAACCTATCCCTCTCTACAACGCAAGCGTCCGTAAAACGTTCGCCACGACGTCGGTAGACACGTTGACGGCCGTCAGATCGATAAAGACAGAATCGAGACTCGTCCGTGAAGAAAACTTGTCTCCACTGCCTCAGTGGAAACCGTCGTGGAGCATGTGCAGCGACCCAGGCCATACGACGCCGACGTCGAGCAGGGGTAAGGTGTGGACCTACGTAGGGGCGACGTGCTCTTACACCAATTTCTCGTAATCGATTCCTTACAGTTTTTGAACTTATAGGACGCCCATGATTTCCACGAACATTAAGTGCACTCTCAACGGCAGTAAGGCGCCGATTACGCACATGAGAGACGACGACATAGCGATCCTGACGTCGTGACGTTACGCGCGGACGTCCTGACCTAGGTCGATCGGCCAATCGCCCAGTTTCCCGAAGACGTCTTACAAGACTTTCTATGGTGGAAACATTAACACCAAAGTGCCTAGCAACCTGATTTTGCTTCAGCATCTGAATGGCCTGACCCGTCTGAACTTCTGTGAGTCGTGCCATTTTTTTAAAACGAATCAAATTCTCAATTAATTTTAGGGAAGCAGTTGGTCTGTATAAAGACTAACGAGGAGTGACTTGACCAACGCTGCATGAGACCAGAACAACACGGTGCACGAAATTCTTGTTTTTTCCTTCCTCCATTTACCAGAGCTGCGCACTGTACCGTGACTAAATTTTCGATACATGACAAGGTGTAATATGACCTAATTACTCAATCCACAAAGTTTCACTTTATTTAGAGAACGCGTTTTCAAAATATCGGAATAAATATTACCCTGCGTTTCTTTATCCTTTCAGTATATATAAGAGTCTAGTTTACATTAAAACACATTTTGATAAAAAACGATTTCGTGTTTTAATTTGAGTTATGACTTCATCTTGCCATTGATCCTTTCTTCATTGTGTACTTTTTTACAACTTTTTTCTATTTTACTATCCATACTAGATTTTATCATTAAGCATGATTAATATTTTTAACAATATATGAAATCATGACATCAGAGTGTGTACAATTTATCATTAAGTCGTGTCCCGTGGCGACATTAATGTAACATCAACGACCAAAGCCATATTTCTTAAATTTAATGAGTAAAAATCTCTCGCATAGTTTTTTTTTACAATCTGATAGAGTTTTGTCGATTTTAGATTTGTAGTATTAAGCTGTTTACCGATAGTTTAAAAAAGTTCACTTACATACATGGGGTTAACTGTATCGCTGCTGATACAATCAAACTGGGAACTTTGTATATATCAGTAGATATAAAAAAAGTTGTAAAAGTCACAGAAACAAACAGCCATAGTTCCCTGTCTTTAAAACACCTCAGACACAGACAAAGGATACTTTCACGAGAGTCAAAGTGTTTTGAAATTCGCTTGGAAAATAAAGACAATTCTATCACCTTAATTGAATTACTGGTAACTTGTACCCAGATATAAAATCTAAATTTTTTTTCCTATCAATTTTTATTTAACTCTACTTGATCTAATGCTAAACTTGTATAGAAAGGTGTAATTCTCTCGGCTGTCCATAAAAGGATTTTTTCTGGTCAGTGATTTGGACCTTGAACTTGAGACAAGACTTTTGTTCTAAAAAGTTATTATGTGCACTTTTTTAACATTAAATATTCGAAAATGTCTACAAATTTGTTTTTTTCTGAATAACTGACTGAAAACGACGGATTAAGAATTTGCGTGCCTTTGACAGTTATTCACATGTCCTTAGTGCCAGCTTTAACACAACCACGTAAACAACATTGGTTTTCTGTCACGGGATTTTGTAATATGATATGAAGCTTTGTGTTGAATTCAATAGCACCACTCCGTCAAACAAATCAACCATATATTTTTTTATCAATGGACCTCTCTAATTGCACAAACAACGTCAACGCTTAATAAATTTTATCTCTTTATGTTAGTAAACAGGTTACCGATTCAATATACAATTAAATGTACACGTCTTGATGTCGAGTTGTTAAAGAACCAGTTTTCTTTTATGATTTATACGCAGTCTTAGCCTTTGTGTATTATACTTGTGTTGTATGTTTTACTTTGAAAATGAAGTTTTTTTTTACAGTAATATGATATTAAAAAAAATAAATGTTATCTTTATTATTTAGCTTGTTATTCCATATACAGCGTGGAACTTATCATTAGCATCAACAGGTCACAATGACAAACAGTTTTCAAACACTGGTCTTATATATGTTTTATTTAATCATCGACATTATTGCACTAAAGCAAAGCTTTAAACAGTGGCAACATGTCCGGGAATGATATTTAAACTTGGGCAAAGAAAAACAACTTTACACGGAGACTTCTGAAAAAGTACCAGGTGTGTTCCGGAAGAGTAAGCGTCTTCTATTTCATTGGCGACAACGTCATGTAAACCTTTGTCAATCCAAGTAAGTATTATCAAGTTATTAAATGAGAACAAGGTATACGGAACCAACAGACAAACTAAAGAGCATCAGACACGTCCAGCTTCATGTCGCACAAAGAAATAGAATAATGATAAGATTAACAATAAGATCACTATTGCGACCATAAAACTTCCCCATAATTTTTATAAATCTGCAACGTTTGGAAAACTTGAGTTACGAGTCTGTCCATCAGTTGACGACTTCTTGCACGGAAATCGTTATAATCGGAACAGACCATTGAATATCGAATTAACCGTGACATGTAAATACAATTATATGGCGGTGCAGGGATACTACTCCCCATAAATGGAAAATTTACGATAGGGAAATTGAAATCATCACGTTCATCATACAGCTTGGTGGAATACTGTCCATGTTGGTTTCGTTGTAGGAAAATAAGGATATAATTTGATAGGCATAAAAACAGGAGATAATTTATTTCAACGATAATAAATACACGTTGTTAAGCGTTTAATGTTCGTGCCCTTCTGTTTCATCAGAAATACAGACTGCAGAAAGGATAACCTACATCGGCATATTGCTATGTCTTGTCGAGATAAGGCCATTTTAAATATTCTAGAATTTTTTCTTATGAAATGACGTTTCCTGGTTGTCGTCAATTTCCTCTCAGTCGTTCAATGTGTGCAGGAAGGGAAGTCTTTTCAATCCACACGCCACAAATACTGACTAACGATTAAATATCCTTATCCAATATATGGAATTTACAATGATCTTCCCGGTGGTTACTGGCAAACATCTATTCCATAGTTTCCCTCCGTTACATTTTACAAAACATGTCAGCAAATTCTACAACGAGAAAAAAGACATCTATTAATATATCAAAATATAAGTCAAATTAGTGTAGTGTGAGTGACTATCAATTGTTAAATAAACATCTTTTGGATTGGGGTTTGTTCCTTCTTACACAAAAACAAGATTTGATTGCACAGTTAAAGTTTTCGTATATGAATGCCGCGTTTTACAAGTAGTTCTAAAAATGCACCGTGTTGTATAAGTTCATGAAGTATCCTTATCCTCAACTACAGCATTGATGACATTTTGAATGAGGTAAATAATTTCCGATACTTTATTTCGCTAACTTACCTCTTCAGACAACTTTGATATATATACTTAGAAATAAAGCTAAATTAGCGAACGATTTGCTATTATAGACATGGACTCTTCATGATTCCGATTTCGATTGGTAAATGATGTCATCCAGAGTTATTTTTGCGCCAATAATCGCGATTGGCTCTCTTCGCGTATAAACGACAAAAACAATTCCCATGTGAAATATTACCGATACACAGTATATAGTTTAGTCATTCATCAAATCACTTTAAATAAATATTCTCCGAAATAAAGTATCAGTTATAGAGAGTGAAATGTTAACAAGGAAATCAATTGGGTTAAATATTTTGTGAAAATGACGAAATGTCCATCTCCGAACTTCCAGGGGTTACAATCACTTACATTGTATCGTATTGAACACCTTTGTCTAGCGAGGATACAAACGTTCAGATAACGAAACATCTGAAAACGTAACGACATATATTCCTCCAATTAAAATAGAAATAACAGGCGTTTCGGAGCAGCAATTGTAGCTCATGTTCATGCATGGAGTTTATAAAGCCATTCACTCTCCATAACTAAGTGGGGGTATTTAAGGAGTTAGGGTGATAATAAATTCCAAAGATACGAGAGTCTTTAGAAGGTCATTCTTGTTAAGTATATTGTAGGATCTATTTTTCCCTCACTTTTTAAACAGCTATGTCATTTTTGTAGCAAATTCGAGAAAAAGAGAAAGTATTTGTCTCCCTTTCGTTTCAGCATAATGGAAATTTTAGATTTGATTCTCACCTTCGTAGCTAATCTCTCCGTCTTTGTTGACATCCGCTTCCCGTATTAGTTCATTAACCTCCTCTTCAATATTGACATCCTCCTCGCCACCTCTGGCTCCTACGAGTATTGCTTTGAGCTCTTCGGCAGTTATAGTGCCGTCATCGTTTCTATCAAACATTTTAAACGCTTTCATAATATGATCCTTCTCATATTCCAGACGGGATATCGCTCTCATTAGAATTCTCTCAAACTCGCGATACCCCACATAACCATCGTCTGAAAACAAGGAATGAGACAAAGACGTGACACAACCGACACAAAATACTGTGACATGGTGACAAAGTTATCAGGATGTCAAACAACTACAGACTTTACACAGTTTTGAGAACACAAATTAGAATAAGAAACCAGCCAATGGTAAATCAGGTATAAAAACAATAAGATAAATATGAGCATTACATGTATACTAAACAAAAAAAGAAAGGTAACACTACTTTATTCTGTGATTAATTAATTAACCCCTTCATAAATCCTTACCAATCATGTACGAATAAAGTAATTGATCAATTCTGATAAAACTGCAGTCATGGTTCATTATAAAACTTTGCGTTCAGTTGATTTTATTTGAATGTAAAGGACGTTGGGGTCAATTTTAAAGGTAACACCATTAGTAACGGGTATGGCCACCGTTTGCGATGTAAACAGCATTGCAGCGTCGTCGCATGGAACTCGTAAACCGGCGGATAATTCGAGGAGAGATGTTGTTCCATTCAGCGATCAAGGCTTGGGCCAGCTCCTGCATGTTTGACGGCTGATTTTGACGTTCTCTCACGCGTCGCCCAAGAACGTCCCAGACATGCTCAATCGGTGACAAATCAGGTGATTTAGATGGCCAATCTAACACCTGTACGTTATTTTGCTGCAAGAAAGTTCTGCTGACGCGACTGGTGTGCGTTGGTGCGTTATCCTGTTGAAAAATGGCGCCAACGCCATGGCGTCTTAAGAATGGCTGAACCACTGGTCTTATCGTCCCGATACCGAATGCCTGGTATGAGTCCCCCCACAAATACCACCCCAAACCATTACAACTTCCGCCGCCAAAGCGGTCCCGTTCTGCGACGCAGCAGTTCGCAAAACGCTCCCCTCGTCGCCTCCACACTCTGCGCCTTCCGTCACCGTGTTGCAGACAAAACCTGGACTCATCTGAAAACAGAACATTGTTCCATTGTCTTAAGTCCCAACGACGGTGAACATGGGTCCAGTTACGCCGATTATTACGGTGACGTCGCAACAAATTGGGTCCAGTGTAGGGACGCCGCGCTTTTAATTGGTAGGCCCTCAACCTGTTGCGGACTGTTTGGGGAGACACACGACGCCCAAACAACGTCCTTGTAGTCTCTACTGCGGTTACGAATCGATTGCGCAAGTGTATCAATCGTATACGACGGTCATCCCTGGCGGTCGTTTTACGGGGTCGGCCGCTTAGGGGACGATCGGATGTTGGCCCAGTTTGGTTTACCAACTAGCAAACTGTCTTAACACTGCAACCAAAATGCCGTGCAACTAGACGGCGAGACTCCCCAGCCTGGATAATGCCTACAGCCCTTTCTCTCTGTACTTGTGACAGCCGGGGCATGATGATAAAGTTGATAGATAGCAAGATTAGGTGATTTCTAAGTCCTAAGGATCTAAGGAACAGTTGTCAGTTTGAATGTTTATGAAATTCAAGATACAAGTTAGTTGCAGAAAACCTCGTGCAGCTCTTTCGCTAATACAGACTTTCACGCTTGAATGATTTTGGTAACCCCATTGGATTTTGTAATGTAAAACATGACCATTTTCTAATATTACACAAACGTCATTTTGTTTTCACTCATTTACAGGTATTCGCCAAGGAAACATGTTAACCTTTCATTTTTTGTTGAGTATATGTTTACATGCATATCACATATTAATATTACATTTTTCTAATGTTATTGATTAAAAAAAAAATTAAAGTCAATCTGTATAATTAAAACATAAATTGTAATGAATTTAACATTAAAATTAACTCTTTTCTTTTTACATTTTTACATCGCCGCACTGACCAATCATAAATTGACGTTACAAAATTATTTTAATGTTAAAGGACGACAACATTAAAAAGATTGATTAATAAAAACTCCTCTTTTATTGAGGAATAAATTAAAACTCGTATACAGTACTGTCATATACTTAGAACGGACCATTTATACTAAATAATCAGTGTTCCTGTTATGACTCAAACAATGGAATGTGTTTAGTAATATAACTTACTATCTATATCCGCTGGTAACATTAGCTCCAACATTTCATCATCAGTGGGGTTTAACCCTATGTACCGGACAGCTCGGCGAATTTCATGTTTTGACATCTTTTGATCACCATTCGAATCGATTTTGGAAAATATTCTCCGTATTTCTAAAACATTAAAACAAAATATCTACAGAAAAAAGTAAACATATCACCATTTTCCTGGTATTGATGAGATAATAAGGATGGACAACATGGTCTAGATACCGAGATATTGATATCATATGTGTTAAAATATCACTAGTATATAATGTTTTTGTTAACTGGAATTTAGATAACCTGATAACATCCTGTCAGGTCTACCTAATCTTAACTACTATCTCATCGAGTAGGACAGTAAGATATATTATCATAACGAAGCATACTTTGACTCTCTCTTAGCTTACGTTTTTGTCATTTAAGTTCATATTTTAAAACAGATCATAAAGACCTTACTAAGTATAGTAATTCCATCCCAGAAAACAAGAGCGTTCCTGACCATATTCATCGTATATAGCCATCAGAGATTGAAGTCAAGGATAACATATATTCTTCTACATCGATCTTTTCTTACAACTAACACAAGCTAAATGTTAAGCGTGATGATTTCATCTTATCCGTTGTTAATTTCCTATTTCTTGATAGCAATATCATTCTTCCCCATTATATGGTGTTTATATGTCAATTCGGTATCAATGGCTTGTTCCAAATATCGTGATTTTCGTTCAAGAAGCTGACAGCTAAAAGATAAACACAAAACACTTGGTTTCGAAAGATTCATGTTGATGAAGAATTTGGGGAAGTGTAATGGTCGTTATAATGATCTCATTGTGTGGTTCCGCTGTTGTATGTCTAGTTCTTACTTGAGAAGGTGATATCAAACCATTGAATTGACCAAGTTTTACATGACGAGTGTCGTCTCTTTTGTTAATTTTTTGCTCCAATGTAATCAAAATGAATGAAGAATGAAGAAGACAGTTTTTGATTTTTTTATACACACAAATGATGGTTCATTTCTATCTTTGTGTTACTGTATGTTTCACATGAAGGACCTTGTATGGAAGTTCTACTGTATATAACCAATGCATTTATAGAAGACCCAGTATCTGTTTGACAGAATATTTACAGATAACGTCCATTATATTAATCAAATCATTAGCCTTCATTTACAAATCACTAACAACGAGGTTTCAATATTTTAAGCACAATTTAACAGAATGAAATTTGAGTATGGGTTTATATATAAAATCGTTACTGCATGGTTAAACAACAGGTAACATTCGATAGTGTCGTTAGTATGTACAGACTGTACTAGCGTCAAACACAAAAGGTTTCGATCAACCGAGGCGATAATCATTATTGTTCTAAATACAATAGGATATATCTTCCCATTTAAACAACATTTAATAACAATTGTTTTTATTTTTGTAATAAATTGATTGGTCTTACAAAACCAAACCAGAATACAGAACCATATGATAGTCATGATATTTTCCTTATATAAATATTTCTTTTTGCCCATGTATATTTACGTAGATTAAGAATCAATATCGATGCATACATTGTTCCTTTCGTACAGAAGCAAGACAGAATGGGCGAAAATGTCATACCATTAAAATTGAAATAAAAGAGAACTGTCTCATTGTCAGTTTTATTTATTGTTGCTTTACGTCCTATCAACAGCTAGGGTGATTTAAGGATGTACCAGTTTTTCATGCTGGAGGAAAGCCTAAATTCCTGGAGAAAAACCACAGACATACGGTCAATACCTGGTGACTGCCCCACATAGGTCTCGAACCCGCGACCCACAAGTGATAAAGACACCTTAATCGTGGTCAGAATACATATTTGTAACAAAATGTTGTAATGTTTAGCGCTATTGACTTTATCTTTAAGTTGTGGATAGGTATGTCGGTGTTACATGTATTATCCTAGGTATTATGTTGACAATGGTATCCAATTATGTCAATGAACTGTTCCTGCTCCATATAAACCAATAACAAGTTGCTTCTAGTGTGGTTTGAAATATAACCGGTAGCGTATTCCGGTAGACCATGATACTAAGATAAATAAATGTACAAGCATTTTGTCCATTAAAATGGAAATGTTGATAAATTGTAGTACTATTGTTTACTGACGAACGAAAAATATATATAAAAAAAATGTAAAAATAGAAACTATCATAAGATTAAAATCAAGAGATTACCATCATTGCTAATGACACATCACTCTATATTTTCTCGTTTGATTGATTTCATGGATTTCGAGTTTCTACATTACGCTTATTCTCACAGCAAATGACAAAATCGTGGAGATGTTTGCAAAGGCAATAAGAAATGAAACCCACCGATTCGCTCCTCTCGTGTAGGTTTCCGGATGTAAAAATCCGGATCTTCGTCCAGCATTTGTGACTGTGTAGCCATTGTTTATACTCCAATGTCGATGACTCGACTCAACACTCTGTCCAATACCGCAGCCACTCGTACGCTAAGACACATACACCCACCCTCACAAACAGTGTTATCAATAATTCGATCCTTTCTGGTTTTGGACTAATGACACAATAATTCTCTACTCCCTTAAGCTCTACTGCCTAGACGTACCACTAAAACAACGGTATCAAGTGTGATAATCCCGATTAATTTTAGACTTACACTGAGTTCATTATGATAACTTTACCCTTTAAATATATATATATCACTGTGTGGGATTCAATACTGGTCAGTTATCTTTGATAAATACATTCATTATTTTCAGTCCCCCACCCCCTCCACTTTTAGTATCTTAATAACTAACGGGAGATAGACTTTGGATTTTGGTAAACCTTTTTTCCACACTTATTAATTGTATCCACTGTTAAATTCTTTAATATTTGTCGACTGACAGCAAGAGTTCCAATTTCAGAATTGATAAATTCGGTGTATATGTATACTAATGATCCCTTAGTGTTCGCGAATACTTAATTTCGCGAGCTTACCTTTTCAGATATATATGCAAATACATTTTCGCGAAGGCTCATCTAAAATGACTTCGATTCAGGAATGATGAGTTATTTGAGACCTAGGATTATCAAGACAACCAATATCGGAAAACCAGCTAAGCATGCATGGCATCAAGAATTATTTTCGTACAAATAATCGCGAACATAAACCTCACACGAAATATGAGTGATTTACAGTAACAGCAGGGACCTATAATACTGTATTTTATGTCCTTGATAACATATTGCACAGTATCTAGTAAAAGGTTCACATAAAGTAGTCAATTATATTAAACAAGGTTCGGTCAACTTGTTTTGACTTACTCATGCAAGTTAACACTCAACGTCGACCTTTTAAAAGAAGCCTGTGCTAAACAGTATGTTTCCGCTATATATAAGGCACGTAAGTATTCAATACGGTGAAAGAGCTACTCTGTAATCAATCAATAAATTAGATCAACTTTAATTAACAAGGTACCTACATAATGGTGATCTATGAGACGATTGGTCTTTGTTAATTAGTAATAGATTATGTGACCTTTAACATTCAAACCTGAAAAAATAAGCCCATCCGCCCCCCTCCCCCCCACAAGAATTTACCTTTAGTGTTATGCATGAAAATTAAAGTTGACAGACAAACGGTCGAACGGACAGCAAACTCTCACAATACATGACAGCAGATATAGTGATTTCCAGACATACCAAAATACGACTGAATGAATATAATACATTTATATAAAATGAAAATGTATCATTAATATCCAAATTAGAATGAAAAGCGGATAAAAAGATTATACTAACTTTCTCAGTACAAATGAAATTAGAAGTAGTAATTGAAAACAAATCAATTAAAATTATGTCAGTTAAAATCTATGAATATCATATGATATGAATGCATATCTGACCTGTTCTCCAATAAAGTACTCCCAGGTCATGAACACAATTGTTTTCCAAACCATTGTATGTCAATATTCATGTTCCTTTGCGTAAAATTGAAAATATTGAGGGACCAGAGTAGAAATTACTATTGAATAAAAAAGTTACGTATAAAATAATTTTCATACTGCCGAATACAGCAAAATACATGTGGCAGGTGTCTTCCGACGATGGATTGCCAGTTGCAGGATAAATAAAGTTTTTATATTCTGGCGTATTTATCAACATGCAATGATATAATTTATTTCGTATTAGTTATCAAAAGCAAGCAACACTTTATTAGAAAGCTTATCTACAAATGACTTGCAGTACTTACTGCATATACAAATCTTGATTATTATTATTTTTATTATGACATTCTTAACGGCCTGTCAACACATAAAAGGTCATTAGGGCCATCAACTGGTAAAACACACAGCGATCCAAAAGGAAATAACATCAAACAAACTAAAAGGTAAAAGACAAACGCTGAAAAACTTAAATGAATATAACATCACAAAGGATTAAAATGGTACATCATAATCTATTATATCTTTCAGGTAACCTAGAATTTTACCAATCTTAACAGTTTAAATAATGGGTTTTATACTTGTAACGTTACGTTAAAAACATTATCGAGTAGACAGAAGATTGTGGTACCTCGCTTACATCTAAAACCGCATTGTAGGAGTGATATTATGTGACTGGTTCCAGATACCTTGTTTGGGGAAAGAAAAAAAATACATCATTTTCCATGACTTTGGGACCGATCTAAAATATAATTAAAAATATAAAGACGTTTTTCTAATGACGACTCTGGTAGATGTTTTAGGAACTGTAAGCGAATATCATCAGGTCCTGTTGCAGAGCCATGTGATTTTTTTCAACGATTCTCGATGTTCTAACATTGAGAAAGGTAGATTGTAAGTTTCATTGTTTTCGGAAGAGAATTTCAATTTAGTTTTTTCTCGCGTGATCTTAAATTGTTGAAATTATTTGGAATGCAATATCAAATTTCGATGTGGTTAATTTTCCATTAGTTTTCAGATGTCCCATTGTTTTGAATGTTGTTTTACCACTGATTCGTTTAATCATATCCCATACCTTATTGGTGGATGTATTGGAATTTAATAATCTGGATTTAAAAGCATCGGGAACACAAACCTGAATTGAAAAGCACCGTGATATATCAAATATGTCAATTTAAACACTCAATATGCAGTTAATAAATTCGCCTCATTTTCTGTGTAAATTTCGCGTTTTTAACGTTCAACAAAAAGCACAAAAATCATTAGATTACCGTATTCAGACTTATTGAGTAACATAAGCAGATTAACAGGTAATGACCCAATCTATTAAACCATCGAAAACGTTCATAAATAAGACATCTCTTGTCATGACCCTTTCTCACCACGCACTTTCATTAGAACATATTGATATCATGACGTCATCACCAAATCAATCTGACTAGTAGAGGTAAGCATATATATATCAGCACATATATTTGAACATTGTAACAAAACTCACGAAGGAAGACAATTTTGACTCGTGCCGTAACTGAGCAATACGCTAGTCAAATACGTGTCTGTACTGAAATGGTACCAGAAATGAACATGTCCCTATTTACAGGTCATTGACATCCGATGTCACCATCTGTAGCCATCTCATTCTTATTTCACATGGGAAACCAGTATCTTTTCCATCAAACGATCCGTCATTGGGGAATTCTCTTTGAACGCCTTTCTTTCAACTAGTAAATGTCTGAAAAAGGAAATATTTCAGAAAAATGAAATCGACTAGAAAATTATAAACAGCTTATATTATTTTTATACGTACCATTCACTTGCACATAAACACTGTTGTTTACCACACAACAGGACCATGTACATTGGTGGTTACCTTTGTTAATGGTATGAAATCAAAAACACATTAGGTTACTCCATTTTATAAAGTTGTTTACCTTGATATTTATTTACAACAGAGCCTTCAGAGACGGCGTTTTCACTAAAATGTGTAGTAAGCGTGATTTGTATTTTCTTAAACGTACTTTTCCATTTCTATATAGTAATGTCCTATTTTCCCTGACTTACAAAACCAGCATGTTTGACTTGGTCAGATTTTCAATGTTCTCAATATCATGATCTCTGTGTTTATGATACCGACAGTTGACAGATAAACATACAACACATAGTTTAAAGAGATGTAGACCATGACCTCATCGGATTTATCTGCTTATGAGGTATAACGTAAGATATGGCCGACACCCATGACGGTTTCATAATAATATTTATGTGACCTAGATGTACGTGACGGGTATCATCGATGAAGCAAAACACCTTTACCCTTCCTGTACACCTGGTCTTATTCCCTTTGCCCTTTTTGAGGAATATCGAGTTATTATATTCTACTCTATAGATCTTGAGTAAAGTCTCAAATATATCTGTTGTTGATACAACCCAAACCTCTTACAGCATGATTGACTGACGGCTTCGTAATTGTAATTGTTATTTATTCAACTGTCACAATTAAATGTACACTAAAATACAATTTTTCAATCAAATTCACAAATTCTATAAAGGAAAAAAGATTTCTTAACTGTGGTAGTGATGATTTTATAAATGTTCATATTAACATTTAAACATTCATCAGAATATCACGTTTGTTTTACCTGCCAAAGTTTCTGTGTTCTTCCCTGCTGGATTTCAACGACGAGTCGATCAAAAGTAAGTTAAAGACGTCTCGCTGTAATGAAATGGATGGCTATTAATTATCTGATATCGCATGTATTCAGCTTCTGCTGAACTCAAAAACACACATTCGAAAAAAGCAAAAAAAGGACGGGGTGGGGGGTGGGGGGGGCAATAAAGGGACAATTATCACAATTAGAAGAAACTTTAGGATACATTATGGTGTTTTAAAGACAAAAGTGACCACTGTCTGCTCGTGTTACATTTTGAGGTTCCGTATTTTTATATCCTGTACAAAAGTAGTCAAGAGACCTTAAATGTTGACTAATGTTTTAGGGACTCATGAAATACCTTGTACACAAACTTTAATGTAGAACGTGATGGTGTAATGTTGTTATGTCAAGTGACATTAAAGGTTGATAACTTTATTGTTATGTCTGCATTTAGGTATATCTTATATACAAGCTTTTTATATCAATATGTCAAAAGTGGTGATGAATGACATTGGACCTTCAACCTGAACCATTGGCCACTAAAATCTAATTAGGTATAGAGCTTGATGTTGTAATGGTTTGTTGTGAATATGAACTAAATTTGTGTAGGAGTTTATGAGATATCTTGTACACAAGAATTGCAAGCATGCATGTTCCTAAAGACACACGCACGAATGCAAACGTTCATTTCCGACATGCTATGGTAAATCGATTGTCTCTTCGACGTGGTACGTATATCACGTGACATTTTCATTACGTGATACATATAGGTACAACACATATACATAGTACCATCAATATTCATACTGTCAGAACTAACCAAAATATTCATGAGATGTTGTAACTTCGATCAAATATATTGCTAATAACATTTCATGAAATAACAAAACATTTACTGAACATGGTAACACTATATCAGAAATAATAAACTAGTGGCGGACATACTTGTGCATTGCTGCCGCCAAAATTGGAGAATTCGTGCCGGAGGGGATAGGTGAGATCTACGACCTTCCCATGATCGCCATCGTCATGTGCTTGTAGAGCCTCACAAAGGGGAAGAACAATTCTCTCAGACACTCCCCTGCTATGACCATGTCCATTCCTGTACAGCAATAACTATTGATAATTAGTAGATCAAGAAAAAGAATAATGCGTGTCACATGTGGGCGTGGTCAGTTTTGTAGTACATCTCAAAGGTAAAGGTTTTTTCTTTCCTTGTGCGATGTTTAATCAGAGGTATTGGTTTCTGAGCCGTTACTTATTTTGATAACGTGGAATTACCTAGATTGATCCAGAAATTACACGGTAGGTGTCGTCGATACAGCAGCAGACGATTATTCAAAACGAACACCAGTCCATTTCCAATGGTCACCGAGTACATTTCGCCTTTTCGTTAACACTTCGTCTTTACTATGGTTTATGTTAGAATATTCTTTATAACATGCTGTTTTTGTAAATAGATATTTTTAGTTACCTAACTGATTCCCGGAATGTATCCATGAATGCTGTCGTGGCGGCGCTATCCTTGGCTCCCAGACACGTCATCAGCAGATGAGGATCAATGTATAAGTTAGTGTGTTTTTTTATTCCATCGTCTATCGTTCTCAACAAATCATTCCATCGTTCTCCCACAGAAAAATCTAAAATTCCAGGAACAGAGCAAAACCATTTTACATCTAATGAAGGTATTACATATTGTCATTTAATGAAATAGTTTCCAATATATTGTCATTTTAACTAACTCAACGATACAATGTTGTCAATTATTAACATAATCAAAATTCGTCATCTAATGACATCATCAAAAGTCGTCATCTAATGACATCATCAAAAGTCGTCATCTAATGACATCATCAAAAGTCGTCATCTAATGACATCATCAAAAGTCACCATCTAATGACATCATCAAAAGTCGTCATCTAATGACATCATCAAAAGTCGCCATCAAATGACATCATCAAATGTTGTCATCTAATGACATCATCAAAAGCCGTCATCTAATGGCATCATCAAAAGTTGTCATCTAATGACATCATCAAAATTCGTCATCTAATGACATCATCAAAAGTCGTCATCTAATGACATCATCAAAAGTCGCCATCAAATGACATCATCAAAAATTGTCATCTAATGACATCATCAAAAGCCGTCATCTAATGGCATCATCAAAAGTTGTCATCTAATGACATCTTCAAAAGTCGCCATCAAATGACATCATCAAAAATTGTCATCTAATGACATCATCAAAAGTTGTCATCTAATGGCATCATCAAAAGTTGTCCTCTAATGACATCATCAAAAGTCGTCATCTAATGACATCATCAAAAGTCGTCATCTAATGACATCATCAAAAATTGTCATCAAATGACATCATCAAAAGTCACCATCTAATGACATCATCAAAAGTCGTCATCTAATGACATCATCAAAAGTCGTCATCAAATGACATCATCAAAAGTCGTCATCTAATGACATCATCAAAAGTCGTCATCTAATGACATCATCAAAAGTTGTCATCAAATGACATCATCAAAGGTCGTCATCTAATGACATCATCAAAAGTAAGTTTTAGAACCATCGTCTCATACTATTGGAGGAAACCTCTGCCAATCCTGAATCAATGTAATACATAATGCTCCAATTGTTTTATATTTGGGATCCAGTGTACTTACATGGGTCACATTTTGTTTTATCAAAACCATATTTACCTTACATCGCGAACATTACCAAATAGTAAATACTCTACATCTGAAATCTCATAAAAGCTACTTACTCTCAAGTTCAAGCCTATATAGCAGAGAGCTACAATCCACCATGTTTCCCGCCGACTTGGAATCTTTATACCGTTTGACAAGCTGAAGCAAAAAAGTAAAAGATCTGAAAATTCCACATATATAGAAAATAATGTAATATATAATATCACTTAGTGACCATACGTGTAGATTGTAGATGTTATCAACAATATCTAGTCATGAGGAAGTACTAGGTGGAATTTGAAACGATACACATCTTATTTCTTCTGTGAATGTACACTTCACATGAAGCGACACAGTTTGCAGTTTGTACTTAAAACTGTGAAACCATCAAAAAATACATATACTTGTTCTATATAAAAAAACAACAACACACAAAAATAAAAATGACAATGAATTACACCATGGTTTCTTTACTGGAGAAACTTCATATCTACGTTAAGGTCATTACAGATAATCAGCAGTAATGTATGATTAAAACACTAGTTTACACACAGTAAAACTAGCTGGGCAAGTTAAGGGAAGCATTCTAGTTCTAAACAAGATGTACTCACTAAAGAGGAATCCTGAACACATACATATATTGAATGACATATCAAAGTTAACAATCGAATCTATGAATGGGGTTGAGGTCAGATCATTTCTTAAAAACAAATAGTTCCAAATCTATGTACATAAAGAATTTCAACTTCTTTAACTACACGACAGTAAAGCTCGTTCAATGTAATATCAATTTCAATCTCACTTTTTCTAAGATATGATTTGATTTCCTAAGTACCGAAGATCGATTAATATTTGATATGAGAACAAATTGATCTTAAAGGGAGACAACTTTGACTTCGGCATTATAATTAATTTTCCTATTTACTGTTAACTATACCTGTAAAGTCGGACGAGACGCTCATAGGTATTAAAGATGACATTTGGAGCATTGTATTAAATCTGTACTGATAATGACACAAGATTATCCATGACATATATTACCAAAATGTCTGGCACAAAACGGAAACAAGGAAAGAACGAAAAAAGTTCACTCACCTCAGTATCGTAAATACCAATCGCTTCGTCGTAATTTCCCTAAAATTAAGTAAATTTCACTAAATCATTGTTCACATTTCAGATAATATCAACCTTCATTTCCACTTTTATTATGTAAAATTCAAAAAGAATATTTGAAATATCACAGTAATAGTTTGAGATCTAGCTGCTGAAAATAGTTATTGAGGAAAGGTTTAATAAACTATTAAGTCTTAATAGTTTTCCCTCTTATTCAATGACATCTATTGTCCTTAATATCAGCTTACTTATTCCATTTCTACTTTTGTTTTTCCGAGTTTCAGCCCCATAGAGAATACAGTATGCTCAAAAATCTAATTTTCCTATATAAACTATGGTAAACTTAACCCCCTCCCAACGGAGAAATGTGAGACTATGGGGCCATCAAAATGACAATTGTGGTAAAGCACCTTAAGATGTTTCCATTCATTCAAAGTATTTGATTCTACCCTGTCTGAGACTTGAGAACATGATTTTTGAAAGCAGAGTCAATCAAAATCGGAACAGGGGTTTTTGACAAGTTGAAAATGTTAAACTGTTTGCGGACGCAAGACGCCGGATGAAGGTGATTGCAAAAGACCATCGGTGACATAATGATGGGTATAACGCTTAAACATTTGAATCAATACTGGTTTAAATTCTGTAATTAAAAAGGTTTCAAAGCAAAATCCAATCCTAAAATGCAATGGTAGGTGTTGTTTACAAAAATATTTGAATTGCTACCAACTTAAAAAAATCTTCCGGAACGACTGGTCTTATTCTCATTGAACGTTTATAGCATTATCTGTGGAAATCTTTCTGTCGTTTTAATTTTTCATTAGCTTCACAGACTAGGAATTTGAATTGAAATTCTTTTGACATGGCAATATTTCCTTGTATATATCATCTATTTTATTGATTACACACGTCAATTCATCATATTATGTTAAACAGAATCCTTGCAATCAATTCTGATTAAAATGATAAAATCTTATGTACCGTTAGTAGACGTATTTAAAAGTTCGTCTTAATTTCGTGATAAAGATATTCTGTACTAAAATACCATTACGCTTATTGGTCCGTCTGTATGTCTTTGATATAACAATGATTACTACACTATCTCCTTTAAAATAGATATAACGCCTAAGTGTAAAACATTCCAGATAAGTACGTATATAATATCTCTCTCATGGTTGGCTTTTTATTTGTTCTTAACGATAACTAGAGATACAGAGATAACACTTCTACTAATAAAAACATTCGTCACATGTATATATATATAAAGACGGATTGTATATAGAAATAAGTTCTATGCTATTTATAGAAAAAAAAAGCCAGTTAATCTGACGCGATATTTCCGTCAGTGTCGACTTTATAAACTAATAAGATATATCCTGCATGTGGCCTTACCTTTTCAACGTGATACAGACTGTTGTGCCAGTACATATGACAGGCAAGATGATCACAAATCTGCCAATGAAAATGTAGCATATTCATTGTGTCATTATGTACATCAATTTTGTTCAATATATATGCCTTCATTTATAAGGATGTATTCTAATTTCTAAATTGTAACTTAAAAAACCACACAAACACAGAAAAAAATTAAGTGACTAGCTTGCTTACTTCAACAATCTTGCTTACTAAAGAATATTTTTTGCTTTCTATATTGTTCTTTATAAAATTTGGCATGCATTTCTTTGTTTGTATGTTTGTTTTAAAACTACATCATAGAAACCAGATTCAACATTTCAATAAAAAAATCAGAATTATAAACAACATAGCTAAACAGTTGATTGACCTGTATCATACACCTGTTTCGCCTGTTTAGGACTCGTCTGTGATTTTAGAAGCCATATAGTTTGGGAGGTGACTGGGAAAAGACAAAACTTGATTTTTCATAAAATAAGACATGATAAATTCTCAATTCACCAGCCCAGTAAGTGATAAAGGGGATTATATCATTTCATAACAGTGATAAAGGTATATAACTCAGAACAGTGATAAAGGGGATATTCAGAACAGTGATAAAGGGGATATAACTCAGAACAGTGATAAAGGTATATAACTCAGAACAGTGATAAGGGATGTAACTCAGAACAGTGACAAAGGTAGATAACTCATAACAGTGATAAAGGTATATAACTCAGAACAGTGATAAAGGTATATAACTCAGAACAGTGATAAAGGTATATAACTCAGAACAGTGATAAAGGTATATAACTCAGAACAGTGATAAAGGGTATATAACTCAGAACAGTGATAAAGGTATATAACTCAGAACAGTGGTAAAGGTATATAACTCAGAACAGTGATAAAGGTATATAACTCAGAACAGTGATAAAGGTATATAACTCAGAACAGTGATAAGGGATATAACTCAGAACAGTGATAAAGGTATATAACTCAGAAAGGCATATAACTCAGAACAGTGATAAAGGGGATATAACTCAGAACAGTGATAAAGGTATATAACTCAGAACAGTGATAAGGGATATAACTCAGAACAGTGATCAAGGGGATATAACTCAGAACAGTGATAAAGGTTTATAACTCAGAACATAAAGGTATATAAAGAACAGTGATAAAGGGATATAACTCAGAACAGTGATAAAGGTTATATAACTCAGAACAGTGATAAAGTGGGATATAACTCAGAACAGTCAGAACAGTGATATATAACTAAAGTGATAAAGGTATATAACTCAGAACAGTTTTAAAGGGATATATAACTCAGAACAGTGATAAAGCGTATGACCTCTGAACAGTGGGTTTATAAATCAGAACAGTGATAAAGGTATATAACTCAGAACAGTGATAAAGGGATATAACTCAGAACAGTGATAAAGGTATATAACTCAGAACAGTGATAAAGGTATATAACACAGTTAATTGATTAACGTGATTTTAATCAGATAAGTGTTAAATGGGATATAACTCAGAACAGTGATAAAAGTATATAACTCAGAACAGTGATAAAGGGGATATAACTCAGAACAGTGATAAAGGTATATAACTCAGAACAGTGATAAAGGTATATAACTCAGAACAGTGATAAAGGGATATAACTCAGAACAGTGATAAAGGGTATATATAACTCAGAACAGTGATAAAGGTATATAACTCAGAACAGTGATAAAGGGATATAACTCAGAACAGTGATAAAACAGGATAAATATAACTCAGAACAGTGATGATAAAGGTTTATAACTCAGAACAGTGATAAAGCTATATAACTCATAACAGTGATAAAGGTATATAACTCAGAACAGTAAAGGGATATAAAGGGTGATAAATATATAACTCAGAACAGTGATAAAGGTATATCAGAAAGACTCAGAACAGTGATAAAGGTAGATAACTCATAACAGTGATAAAGGTATATAACTCAGAACAGTGATAAAGGGGATATAACTCAGAACAGTGATAAAGGGGATATAACTCAGAACAGTGATAAAGGTATATAACTCAGAACAGTGATAAAGGGATGTAACTCAGAACAGTGATAAAGGGGATATAACTCAGAACAGTAAAGGTAGATAACTCATAACAGTGATAAAGGTATATAACTCAGAACAGTGATAAAGGGGATATAACTCAGAACAGTGATAAAGGTATATAACTCAGAACAGTGATAAAGGTATATAACTCAGAACAGTGATGATAAAGGTATATAACTCAGAACAGTGATAAAGGGGAAATAACTCAGAACAGTGATAAAGGGGATATAACGCAGAAAAGTGATAAAGGTATATAACTCAGAACAGTGATAAAAGGTACAGTGATAAAGGTTTATAACTCAGAACAGTGACAAAGGTATATAATAACTCAGAACAGTGATAAAGGTATATAACTCAGAACAGTGATAAAGGTATATAACTCAGAACAGTGATAAAGGGGATATAACTCAGAACAGTGATAAAGGTATATAACTCAGAACAGTGATAAGGGATATAACTCAGAACAGTGATAAAGGTATATAACACAGAACCTAGTTAAATGTATATACATCAGTATATTGATAAATGGGATATAACTCAGAACAGTGATAAAGGGTATATATAACTCAGAACAGTGATAAAGGTATATAACTCAGAACAGTGATAAGTGACAAAGGTAGATAACTCATAACAGGGTATATAACTCAGAACAGTGATAAAGGGGATATAACTCAGAACAGTGTTAAATGTTTATAACTCAGAGCAGTTATAATGGTTTATAACTCAGAACAGTGATAAAGGTATATAACTCATAACAGTGATAAAGTTATATAACTCAGAACAGTGATAAAGGTATATAACTCAGAACAGTGATAAAGGTTTATAACTCAGAACAGTGATAAAGGTATATAACTCAGAACAGTGATAAGGGATGTAACTCAGAACAGTGACAAAGGTAGATAACTCATAACAGTGATAAAGGTATATAACTCAGAACAGTGATAAAGGGGATATAACTCAGAACAGTGATAAAGGGGATATAACTCAGAACAGTGATAAAGGTATATAACTCAGAACAGTGATAAGGGATGTAACTCAGAACAGTGATAAAGGGGATATAACTCAGAACAGTGATAAAGGTTTATAACTCAGAACAGTGATAAAGGTAGATAACTCAGAACAGTGATAAAGGTATATAACTCAGAACAGTGATAAAGGTATATAACTCAGAACAGTGATAAGGGATATAACTCAGAACAGTGATAAAGGGGATATAACTCAGAACAGTGATAAAGGTTTATAACTCAGAACAGTGATAAAGGTAGATAACTCAGAACAGTGATAAAGGTATATAACTCAGAACAGTGATAAAGGGGATATAACTCAGAACAGTGATAAAGGGGATATAACTCAGAACAGTGATAAAGGGGATATAACTCAGAACAGTGATAAAGGTATATAACTTGATATAACTCAGAACAGTGATAAAGGTTTATAACTCAGAACAGTGATAAAGGTATATAACTCAGAACAGTGATAAAGGTTTATAACTCAGAACAGTGATAAAGGTATATAACTCAGAACAGTGATAAAGGTATATAACTCAGAACAGTGATAAAGGGATATAACTCAGAATATTGATCAGTGATAAAGGTATATAACTCAGAACAGTGATAAAGGGGATATAACTCAGAACAGTGATAAAGGTATATAACTCAGAACAGTGATAAGGGATATAACTCAGAACAGTGTAAAGGTATATAAAGGTGATATAACTCAGAACAGTGATAAAGGTATATAACTCAGAACATATAAAGGTATATAACTCAGAACAGTGATAAAGGGATATAACTCAGAACAGTGATAAAGGTATATAACTCAGAACAGTGATAAAGGTATATACTCAGAACAGTGATAAAGGGATATAACTCAGAACAGTGATAAAGGTATATAACTCAGAACAGTGATAAAGGGATATAACTCAGAACAGTGATAAAGGTATATAACTCAGAACAGTGATAAAGGAACAGTGATAAAGGGATATAACTCAGAACAGTGATAAAGGGGATATAACTCAGAACAGTGATAAAGGTATATAACTCAGAACAGTGATAAAGGTATATAACTAACAGTGATAAAGGATATAACTCAGAACAGTGATAACTCAGAACAGTGATAAAGGTATATAACTCAGAACAGTGTGTGATAAAGGGATATAACTCAGAACAGTGATAAAGGTATATAACTCAGAACAGTGATAAAGGGATATAACTCAGAACAGTGATAAAGGATTATATAACAGAACAGTGATAAAGGTATATAACTCAGAACAGTGATAAAGGTATATAACTCAGAACAGTGTATATAAAGGGATATATAACTCAGAACAGTGATAAAGGTATATAACTCAGAACAGTGATAAAGGTATATAACTCAGAACAGTGATAAAGGATATAACTCAGAACAGTGATAAAGGGATATAACTCAGAACAGTGATAAAGGGATAAATATATAACTCAGAACAGTGATGATAAAGAACAGTGATATATAACTCAGAACAGTGATAAAGGTATATAAAGAACAGTGATAAAGGGATATAATCAGAACAGTGACAAAGGTAGATAACTCATAACAGTGATAAAGGATCAGAACAGTGATAAAGGGATATAATCAGAACAGTGATCAGAACAGTGATAAAGGTATATAAAGGTGATAAAGATATAACTCAGAACAGGATATAACTCAGAACAGTGATAAAGGTATATAACTCAGAACAGTGATAAAGGGATAAAGGTATATAACTCAGAACAGTGATAAAGGGGATATAACTCAGAACAGTGATAAAGGGATATAACTCAGAACAGTGATAAAGGTATATAACTCAGAACAGTGATAATGGATGTAACTCAGAACAGTGACAAAGGTAGATAACTCATAACAGTGATAAAGGTATATAACTCAGAACAGTGATAAAGGGGATATAACTCAGAACAGTGATAAAGGGGATATAACTCAGAACAGTGATAAAGGTATATAACTCAGAACAGTGATAAGGGATGTAACTCAGAACAGTGACAAAGGTAGATAACTCATAACAGTGATAAAGGTATATAACTCAGAACAGTGATAAAGGGGATATAACTCAGAACAGTGATAAAGGGGATATAACTCAGAACAGTGATAAAGGTATATAACTCAGAACAGTGATAAGGGATGTAACTCAGAACAGTGATAAAGGGGATATAACTCAGAACAGTGATAAAGGTTTATAACTCAGAGCAGTGATAAAGGTTTATAACTCAGAACAGTGATAAAGGTAGATAACTCATAACAGTGATAAAGGTATATAACTCAGAACAGTGATAAAGGCATATAACTCAGAACAGTGATAAAGTGGGATATAACTCAGAACATTGGTAAAGGGGATATAACTCAGAACAGTGATAAAGGGTATATAACTCAGAACAGTGATAAAGCGTATAGACCTCTGTACAGTGATAAAGGTTTATAACTCAGAACAGTGATAAAGGTATATAACTCAGAACAGTGATAAAGGGATATAACTCAGAATATTGATAAAGGGGATATAACTCAGAACAGTGATAAAGGGGATATAACTCAGAACAGTGATAAAGGAACAGTGATAAAGGTTTATAACTCAGAACAGTGATAAAGGTATATAACTCAGAACAGTGATAAAGGTATATAACTCAGAACAGTGATAAAGGGATATAACTCAGAATATTGATAAAGGGGATATAACTCAGAACAGTGATAAAGGTATATAACTCAGAACAGTGATAAGGGATGTAACTCAGAACAGTGACAAAGGTAGATAACTCATAACAGTGATAAAGGTATATAACTCAGAACAGTGATAAAGGGGATATAACTCAGAACAGTGATAAAGGGGATATAACTCAGAACAGTGATAAAGGTATATAACTCAGAAAAGTGATAAGGGATGTAACTCAGAACAGTGACAAAGGTAGATAACTCATAACAGTGATAAAGGTATATAACTCAGAACAGTGATAAAGGGGATATAACTCAGAACAGTGATAAAGGGGATATAACTCAGAACAGTGATAAAGGTATATAACTCAGAACAGTGATAAGGGATGTAACTCAGAACAGTGACAAAGGTAGATAACTCATAACAGTGATAAAGGTATATAACTCAGAACAGTGATAAAGGGGATATAACTCAGAACAGTGATAAAGGGGATATAACTCAGAACAGTGATAAAGGTATATAACTCAGAACAGTGATAAGGGATGTAACTCAGAACAGTGATAAAGGGGATATAACTCAGAACAGTGATAAAGGTTTATAACTCAGAGCAGTGATAAAGGTTTATAACTCAGAACAGTGATAAAGGTATATAACTCAGAACAGTAATAAAGGCATATAACTCAGAACAGTGATAAAGGGATATAACTCAGAACATTGGTAAAGGGGATATAACTCAGAACAGTGATAAAGGGTATATAACTCAGAACAGTGATAAAGCGTATAGACCTCTGTACAGTGATAAAGGTTTATAACTCAGAACAGTGATAAAGGTATATAACTCAGAACAGTGATAAAGGGATATAACTCAGAATATTGATAAAGGGGATATAACTCAGAACAGTGATAAAGGGGATATAACTCAGAACAGTGATAAAGGTTTATAACTCAGAACAGTGATAAAGGTAGATAACTCAGAACAGTGATAAAGGTTTATAACTCAGAACAGTGATAAAGGTATATAACTCAGAACAGTGATAAAGGGATGTAACTCAGAACAGTGATAAAGGGGATATAACTCAGAACAGTGATAAAGGTTTATAACTCAGAACAGTGGTAAAGGGATATAGAACTCAGAATAGTGATAAAGGGGATATAACTCAGAACAGTGACAAAGGTAGATAACTCATAACAGTGATAAAGGTATATAACTCAGAACAGTGATAAAGGGGATATAACTCAGAACAGTGATAAAGGGGATATAACTCAGAACAGTGATAAAGGTATATAACTCAGAACAGTGATAAGGGATGTAACTCAGAACAGTGACAAAGGTAGATAACTCATAACAGTGATAAAGGTATATAACTCAGAACAGTGATAAAGGGGATATAACTCAGAACAGTGATAAAGGGGATATAACTCAGAACAGTGATAAAGGTATATAACTCAGAACAGTGATAAGGGATGTAACTCAGAACAGTGATAAAGGGGATATAACTCAGAACAGTGATAAAGGTTTATAACTCAGAGCAGTGATAAAGGTTTATAACTCAGAACAGTGATAAAGGTATATAACTCAGAACAGTAATAAAGGCATATAACTCAGAACAGTGATAAAGGGATATAACTCAGAACATTGGTAAAGGGGATATAACTCAGAACAGTGATAAAGGGTATATAACTCAGAACAGTGATAAAGCGTATAGACCTCTGTACAGTGATAAAGGTTTATAACTCAGAACAGTCAGACAGTGATAAAGGTATATAACTCAGAACAGTGATAAAGGGATATAACTCAGAATATTGATAAAGGGGATATAACTCAGAACAGTGATAAAGGGGATATAACTCAGAACAGTGATAAAGGGGATATAACTCAGAACAGTGATAAAGGTATATAACTCAGAACAGTGGTAAAGGTATATAACTCAGAACAGTGATAAAGGTATATAACTCAGAACAGTGATAAAGGGGATATAACTCAGAACAGTGATAAAGGGGATATAACTCAGAACAGTGACAAAGGTAGATAACTCATAACAGTGATAAAGGTATATAACTCAGAACAGTGATAAAGGTTAGATAACTCAGAACAGTGATAAAGGTATATAACTCAGAACAGTGATAAAGGGTATATAACTCAGAAAAGTGATAAAGGGGATATAACTCAGAACAGTGACAAAGGTAGATAACTCATAACAGTGATAAAGGTATATAACTCAGAACAGTGATAAAGGTTAGATAACTCAGAACAGTGATAAAGGTATATAACTCAGAACAGTGATAAAGGGCATATAACAATGATGTTCTTACATTCCAGTCATTTTCTGATCCCTCCACAAGTTTCAATCCTTCTTCAACTCGACCCTGCATCTCATACACATGCGATACCGCGTGTCGAGCAAATATATCATGTCTGTTCATTTCTAACGCCTGAAACAGAGGAGGACAGAAATTATCATAAATTCACCACCGTTCCAGAATGAATATCAGGTCTTGCGATCACCAAACATTTTACATTAAAACTTACCCGTAAGGCATCTCTTTCTGCCCGCTGGAAGAGGAATGTTTCCTGTGACACAAATGCATACTCCCCAAGAAAATACCTGTAAATTAAAGTATGGATACCGTGAGTCGTGAAATTCGCATCATTATTTGTTATAGATAATTTTTGTCAATCATGAAATGTGTAAGATATCCTTTTTATAATAATAAGCACGGCAGAGAACCGAACTCAACATTACACCAGGGAATCCCAGTCAACATTACACCAGGAATCCCAGTCAACATCACACCAGGGAATCCCAGTCAACATTACATCAGAGAAACCCAGTCAACATCACACCAGGGAATCCAGTCAACATCACACCAGGGAATCCCAGTCAACATCACACCAGGGAATCCCAGTCAACATCACACCAGGGAATCCCAGTCAACATCACACCAGGGAATCCAGTCAACATTACACCAGGGAATCCCAGTCAACATCACACCAGAGAATCCAGTCAACATTACACCAGGGAATCCCAGTCAACATCACACCAGGGAATCCCAGTCAACATCACACCAGGGAATCCCAGTCAACATTACGACAGGGAATCCCAGTCAACATTACGATAGGGAATCCCAGTCAACATCACACCAGGGAATCCCAGTCAACATTACGACAGGAAATCCCAGTCAACATTACGATAGGGAATCCCAGTCAACATCACACCAGAGAATCCAGTCAACATTACACCAGGGAATCCCAGTCAACATTACATTAGGGAATCCCAGTCAACATTACACCAGGAAATCCCACATCAAAGTCTACAACTGACAACAAAACATAACGTAACAATTTACTACAAATGCTTGATATCTTTTTGTAGTTATTTGATATTCAAGGTCAAGTACAACTTTCTAAAATTTCCATCTGCAAATCTTACCCATAAAGAGGCGTGCTGGGACACCATTCACTCACTATTCTACTGAGTATATCTCTGCACTGTGCGAACGCCCCAAGGAAAAAACAACCGAAGAAAACATGGCGAATAGCAAGGGCGTCAAAGTGATTCAAATGTAAAATGGAATCCCACACTGCAACAGCTCCGGGAAGGTCTCTGAATGAAAAAAGACGTATCTCTTTACAACCTATTTAATCATCAATGTGTAGATAATCTTACACATTCAAAAAATATGCAAAATCGTTTTCTTTGTCACATAAATAACTGTTCTTAACAATGACTGACGTATGACAACATACATACATATATATATGTATGTACAAAGAAAAAATCAGGTGGATGTTACAGCAAGGTTAATTGAATTATTTCGTCTGCTTAGATTTCTCACATTAGTTCATAAAAGACAAGTGATCATGGTAACACGATTAGAAAACATAAAACATAGAGACAAAATACAGGAATTTTACTGGTCACAAAGATGATAGCGGATCATTTTTCGTCTTTTCTGAATCGAAACAAACGATAACCATATCCGAGTAGCCAGCTTGATACCTTTCTACAGGTAACTGAGCTGATAGCATGCAGGTGTTTCAGATTTAAGTAAAAGGTCACTGGAACATCGGTTATTAATTACAAAATAAATAAATACACACTCATGGACAGTGTACAAAGCATGAAGACGGTTTTCTAGAGAATCAATGAATGGTTTGCCTCATACTGTATTCCGATAATATATGATTACCCTGATAAAAGTTATTGTATGTTGTTTGTTAATAGATATTATAAATGTGCAAATCTTAATAGCAGGATTTCATTTTTAATTGAACTTTAAGCAGGTTTCACTGTACTGTTATTTAAAATGTTAATATAATAAACTGCATTAGGCTGAAAGATAACGGATATGTAAGGTTTGCAAAATCTTGATTCAAAGTCAATCTGGACGAAACGAGGGCAACATATTAATAAAGGAAAGATATACACGGTTACCAATGAAAACATTATAAGGAGAATAAGACCAGGGCCCGTATTTACGAAACCGTTCTCATGCTCAAACTCAAGGTCTTGTACTCAACATTCAGGTTTTGTGCTCACCTATTTTATTCTCGTGCTCAAGTTGTATTCACGAAAAATTCTGTGCTCAACTCTTGAGCACGTTCTCAAGTTTGCTTGAGCATGGTCCTGCCCATCATGGCGGCATATAAGTAATGTCATCCCATGTTTGTTTCTTTTAGCACTTAGTTTAATGGCCCCAGTACCAGTCATTGATCCAAACAGTACGTCCTCGCTGGCATGTACTGCTTGGATCAAGGAGACTTCTTCCGCTGTACTCCACTGTACTTTCTTCTTCTCGGTGGTCATTATTATGTCGTCTGCTCGAATACAGGTGCGCGTACGCCAAAAAAACGCGCGGTATACAAAATAATCTCTAAGCATTAGAGAGTTCTCTTAGTTACCGTACTTAGCAGAGCACGTTCTCAGAAAGTTTGATGAATACGAATTTTGAGTACGTACTCACTGGAGCAAAGACTTGAGCATGAGCACAAAAGTTGAGTTTAAGCATGAGAACGGTTTCGTGAATACGGGCCCTGCAGGTGTTCCAGAAGACTAAGCTTCTTCTGCTTCATTGATGACACCCTTCTTGTAAATACCTGTCAATCCAAGTAATGTCACGTGCGCAAATGAGAACAAGGTATACGTCAACTAAACGACAAGACATATACGAATGTGTAGGTCAGCAGAAATAACTGGTAATATATCAACAGGTTAAATTAAGTGTAGATGTCTGAAAAATGTTAAAAGCTCCAAAAATAAGAGATATATAGGAAGGCCATCGGAACAATGATATGTTTAAATAGTTAAAAGTTTAAACAGATTTAAAAAGAAAAAAAAAAGCAAAAACAAGAAAAAAAATATAAACTAGGTTATGGTACCAACGATGGATCATTCCAAGAGTCTTTTTACACTCACGCGTCTAACAGTTTCCGGATTGCTTCCAGGTGTTTCGATTCAATGTCTGTAACGTTTCTATTGGACATGAGCTGTTCCAGTTTTGTAACCTCTTCTCTGATTGGATCATCGGAAGCAATAAACACAGTTCCTACCATTTTGATGCCGAGGGATAGTATATGTCCCATAACTGAAAGTCAAGGTGAATACATGTATAAGTTATGTGCTTTCATTTAATCATGAAATAGGGAATGTCCTCTCTTGTCGTTACATCAGAAGATATAGGGTAAGATTAGATAACGTCAATATATCGATGTATCATATTGTCTTCATCTTATCTACTGAAACCTTAAACAACCGTAAGACTTTGAATCCGAAAAAAAATTTTTTATCAAACAATGCTGTGTCTCTTTCAAAAGTACCATGTTTTACAAAACTCTTGGTCCGCGTCAAACATTTTACCAATCAATGCTTTACTACAGTGTAAGATTTCACCAAACTCTTGGTCTGCGTCAAACATTTTACCAACCAATGCTGTACAGCAGTGTAAGATTTCACCAAACTCTTGGTTCGCGTCAAACATTTTACCAACCACTGCTTTACTACAGTGTAAGATTTCACCAAACTCTTGATCCGCGTCGAACATTTTACCAACCAATGCTGTACAACAGTGCAAGATTTTACCAAATTCTGGGTCCGCTTTCAGCATCTTTTCAATGGTCCCCGAAAGTCCACCGAAATTGTGATCCTCGTAGAATCCAACCAACTGGAGTTAAGAAAAGGTCAACTTGATACATGCAATCAAACGACGACCAATTCATTCTATCAACCAACATCTTCCTTAGTAAGGAGGTTTAAGTGTGTAAATATTGTACATCGCCTATTTCTTTAAAAGTCTTAACGTAAGTGCATTTTTACTCGTCAAAAAGTTCTGGTAAAGCGAAACAACCGCGTGACAGTTCCGATAAACAACCACGTGATAGTTTCAATACACAATCGTGTGACAGTTCCAATGAACAACCACGTGACAGTTCCAATAAACAACCGCGTGACAGTTCCAATAAACAACCGCGTGACAGTTCCAATAAACAACCACGTGACAGTTCCAATAAACAACCACGTGACAGTTCCAATAAACAACCGCGTGACAGTTCCAATAAACAACCACGTGACAGTTCCAATAAACAACCACGTGACAGTTCCAATAAACAACCACGTGACAGTTCTAATAAACAATCACGTGACAGTTTCAATAAGCAATCGCGTTACAGTTCCAATAAACAACCACGTGACAGTTTCAATAAACAACCACGTGACAATTTCAATAAGCAATCGCGTGACAGTTTCAATAAAATATGTATACTGCACCTATTTAATATATAATTACAGTAGATATTCACAATTAGGTGCACGTATATAACAACACTACAATAATTTATTTTTACAATTCTTTTATCTCTATCCAGATATCAAAATCACAAATGAATATATTGATAAGTCATTGTCTATACATTTTACTGTTACACGTCTTCTTTAGTCTACAAATTTATATTCCAGATATATCACGACATACATTATTACTTTGCAGTGATGTAAATGACGTGACCGAATTTAATTTCGAAACTTTTTCTCCGTTTGACCTCACGAACGAACGATTTTATTTATTATTCTAAACACGCGCTCACCCTGTATACTTACCTGTGATATCGCCGCGTCATAAAGCTTACACGCTTCATCACTACTAGTCGACAGTGGATAGCCAAAATCTGTCCAGTCCTATGAATTAGAAAAAAAAAACATAACCAACCTATGCCATTCCATTTCATACAGCCTTGCCATAAAGTATTTTGAAGGCATAAAAAAGTCACGTCTTGATGACGTCATTTGATTGTTTTGGTAATGAAAAACGTACCGTCGAAATAAGCCTGTTTTAGAGTGATATTGATCTAAGAGCTTTCCCTCATTTTTCGTAAATACGGCTTATATGATAAATAGAATCTTACACTAAAACCACAAAACAAGGACTGGTCATTTTAGTGACCGGATGGAGTACAACGCTATCAAGTCCAGTTTATAGCATTTCATTGTGATTACATTATAAAATCGCGTTGTCATCCGTGGACATGCCTTGGCTGATGTGATGACGTGAAATCCACAGTTCTAATGTTCCTATAACTGTATGAAAATTCTAAAAAAAATCAACATTAATATAATTTGTCCTACATCCTGTTTATTGACATAGATACATGTTGATATGACAATTTTTTTCATGCAAGACAAATCTGTTAAAACTACCAAATATTGCTTGTATCGGTTCTGTATCACGTGGAGTACTCGTCGTGGTGCCTCTTTTATGTCTTAAATAGAGGGTCGTTAAACGCTATGTCGCCCAATTTCTCAGTACGTGCAGATATTTTTGAGTGCCTGGCGCCGGATTTCCTTAAGGAGCAGAACTTTTTTCAATAGATAACAATGCCGATTAAAAAGTACGACCAAAAGGTAAATATGGCAAAATGAAAGAGTTATCTACCCTGTTTCAATTTGACTGGAAGACTACAAAGGCACCAATAGGCTGAGGATTATGTTCCAGTTTAAATAAATTTTGATTATTTCTTGTGTGAGATATATTTATTCACTAACACATAAAAACTATATAGTTTCATAAATCAGAATGACTAGGGTTTTATAAAACCCGATATCAAAATCGAGGCCAACAATGATAAGCCAGAATAAGGACGCTCGTCGGTGAGACGATAACCGGACACGGGAGGAGTCGTGGAGACGAAAACATGTTAACCAAGTAAATAATCGATAAGATAAACGTGTTTCTATCGTCTGTTTTCTTCAATGGGTATATCCTGGTTAAAAACTAGAGCGAGATGTTATTTATTTAAATTCGTGTTTTCAATTATACTCAATTAATAAAAATATCGTATTGACCATATAAAAGAGTGTAACACAATGGACAGAGCAGTAAAATCAACAATAACATTTTGGGTATGAATTAACCATCTTGTAACAAAAGGGGATTTGAGAGTCCTTCGCTCGGTATACCACGCCTAATGATTGGCAGGGTGGTGTGCAGGATGTGGGTACAGAATTTGCCATAAAGGGCCTACTTTTTTATTGACAGGGTTTCGTGTTTGTGTGGGTGCGATGGTGTAAGTCGGAGAGGCTAGAGAAAGAGATGTATGTGGTGAAGTGGGATACGGAAAGAGAGGAAGAGAGTGGTGTCGTGAGAGGTTGCGTTGGATGTGGTGGAGTAGGGTAGCGTGGGGTGAGGTAGGGAGGGAGGGAAGGAGGGAGGGATATAAATCGGGGGTAGATTCGGGTGAATAGAGAGATCGATGGGTGTAGAGAGCGAGGCAGAGAGAGACAGACAGGCAGATAGACAGAGACAGAGTGTGATGGTGGTGGTTGGTGGTGGTGTCGTGACGGTAGTTGGTGGTTATAAAGCCTACCAAATGTGAAAGATATTGGACAAAGACATAGGGATGAGATGTCCAGACAAGATAAGATTAAACTAATCAAACTACCGATCACGGACACACAATTCCGTGTCATGGATCACCAGACCATATCTATATATTGTTATTTATAGCAATCTGATTCTGATTTCGCTCTCGATTCGTCTGTTGAACACAGGGAAAGATGGACGACAACAGAACGGAATAAGGAAGTGTTGAGTACATACCACACCCCTCCCTTTCTCTCTCTTTCCCTTTCACATCAGTAATACTATCTCATGATGAGATGACGTTTCATTAAATATCAATGTGGATAATATATCTATATACACAACCACCATATAGGATGAATTAACTCTAAACATCAATCCTAACTACACCCCACTACGACTGACTGGCTCAATTGACAGGAGAACATGTGACCAATTGCACCGGCTATATTTTCACTTAAAAGGGAAATAATCACACTGTTGGCACCGCTTCGTCTAAATGCCAACTCATTAAAATTACAATCCTAATAGAGTCTTTTAAGAACGACTAAATAGATTATTTAGTCCGGCCCGGTCTCCGCGCAGGGCATGTGGCAAATCGAGTACACCTCTTCCTCCATCACAGGAAACGCACAAATATTGACAACGCAGAGTGTTGTGTATACGTTCGTGATTGTTAATGTAATGAATAAATACCTTACATCCTCTAAGGTTCGTTCTGATGTGTGACATACTGTGGGATTTACGTTCCTTCCTGGTAAGTTCTTGCAAGATAAAAACACCTTTGTTCAGATCACGCAAGTCACAAGCTCCTGTGCCGATAACGAGAGTGGTGTCCCAAATGTATATATAACTTGACAGCGGTACGTCACGCCACTTGACCTACGAGGGGAGTCCCACGTATATATATATATATATATATAACTTGACAGAGGTACTTCACGCCACTGGACCTACGAGGGGAGTCCCAAGTTTATACATAACTTGACAGAGGTACGTCACGATACTGGACCTACGAGGGGAGTCCAAAGTTTATATATAACTTGACAGAGGTACGTCACGCTACTGGACCTACGAGTGGAGTCCCAAGTTTATATATAACTTGACAGAGGTACGTCACGCTACTGGACCTACGAGTGGAGTCCGAAGTTTATATATAACTTGACAGAGGTACGTCACGCTACTGGACCTACGAGGGGAGTCCGAAGTTTATATATAACTTGACAGAGGTACGTCACGCTACTGGAGCGACGAGGTCGGTCCCAAATGTAACTGTAGTTAGTCAGTCCCTCTATACCAGGCTTAACACTATGAACATTAACAGACGTTTATATCGGATATTTAATTACAATTAGGCCTGATCTCGAATAGAATTGAATTATATCCTTGGTCAAGGAGTCCGGAGTCGACTTCTAAAAACATAGTGAAAGGTATGATATCCCACCCCATTACCCCCTACCCCACACCCACCCCTCCCCCAACCCCCGTTTCTACTTTCGTTTTCATATCTTTTCTCGCCTGCTGAAAGGCCGTTAGAGAACGGTAAACAAGTTAGATTATCAGCAATATTAAAGTTGAACTTGATATGTATGCAGGCTATGTCCAGTTGAGGTCTTAATTGAAAACCCAACACCAGTAATTGTCTATTCTCTCTGCTGTAAAAGTAGTCATTCAATGAGATAGTCCTACTATTAATAGTAGCAATTGGTTTATATGCACCAAGTGACCTTTGAACCTTGATTCATATTTTTATTAATTTTGTATAAGAACAAACATGAACGTCATATTTACATATGAGGCATTTTATTTGTTTATTTTTATTTATTCATTTCAATTCAGCATACCAAAGGTCAAAAACAGAATAGATACATTGTAACAAAGGTGAGTTAAAATGATATATATATGTGTGTGTGTGTGTGTGTGTGTGTGTGTGTGTGTGTGTGTGTGTGTGTGTGTGTGTGTGTGTGTGTCTTATTAAGAGTCTCAATACGTTTACACACAGAGAAATATATATATACACTCGTAAAATGGTAATTAATATCACAATAATACTAGTGTAGTAAACATTGCTGAACGTAACTTTTTATATTTATATATATTCAACATCGCATTTTAATCGTCCGACTCAAATATGTCGACTCCATACACAGCATGTGACCCAGTAATTGGAGGGAAAATAGTGTCCATTGAAACAGCTGGGTTTCTTATCAGCACAAAAAATTTGTAAAAATATGTCTACATGATTATCTAAATCAAGCAGAATTAAGAATTATGGGCGTAGACGTACTTAACTGTGTAACATATTTATCAAGGAGAGCTCTGTTTTAAAATGAAAAATAAACAACAAAAATCTTTATTAATAAGGCAGAAATGGTACGTGTGCGTGTTGCATCAACTCGGTGAAATCCATTTTCTTAATGCATATAGCTCAAAGTATTGTAACAATTGTAACGATATGTTAATAATGGTGTACTATTTATACCCAAATTAGCCGACATATTCTTAAATGTTTGATGGTGCAAGTAAGTATGAGCGTCTGTCTTCTTGTCAACAAGTAAATGTAAACATGTACCCCTGGAACTATCCTCGATTACTCCACGATGGTTCCAGGGTTACAGATCTATAGGACAAAAGTGATCGTAACCCCTATAGTATCGAGGATGGCCCCAGCGATACAAAGAGTGAAAGTGATCGTAACCCCTGTAGTATCGAGGATGGTTCCAGAGGTACGGAGGGCAAAGGTGATCGTAACCCCTGGCGTATCGAGGATGGTTCCAGAGGTACGGAGGGCAAAGGTGATCGTAACCCCTGGAGTATCGAGGATGGTTCCAGAGGTACGGAGGACAAAAGTGACCGTAACCCCTGGAGTATTGAGGATGGTTCCAGAAGTACGGAGGACAAAAGTGATCGTAACCCCTGGAGTATCGAGGATGGTTCCAGAGGTACAGAGGACAAATGTTGCTGAAACCATCATGCTTATCATACAACTGGTAGAAAACTGTCCATTTTGGTTTTGTTGAGGCAAAGATCGAGATAAGCGAGTGATGTTGAAGAGCCTGCTGTGTCCTCGATTTCCAATTCTGCTGGGTATTTACGATGGGTGTGATCACAAGATAATTCATGGTATAAAGACAAAACCTTATCAAAGTATCAAAAAGCGAAATATGTACTTTGATTGTAAATTTTGACCACCATTTTGTGTGTATATGACACCTTTAAGAATAAGCTTGGTCTCTCATATACAACGTGATTTTATTCAGCACATATCACTTAATTCTAAAAGATGTGTTACTATATTCGTCTAAAAGATGTCGTTTTCCCTTTAATAAACTGGTTTTGATCCCAAAATAAGATGACCCAGTCTATCATAATAACATACCGTTTGATTGTGTTACAATATTGTGTATATTGTAATCGTCCATATTTGAACTCTTCACGCTTGAGGTATTACCGAAGATATCACTGCGTCAATTACGGCTTCTTTATACCGTTAACAAAGCAATTATTTCGCATTCGCCAATTCATTATGGCGGGATTTTTAAAAATGATATTGCGCTAAAATTTGATTTCCCCCAAATAACTTTTATTGTATGCTTGAATTTGGAGTGACAGTAAAATGGAATTTTAAATGTATGTTAGTAAATACTCGGCTTTCACTAGAGTGATAAGACAAAGCGTGACTGCCTAACACAGACAGATACATTTAAATAGAAAGTAGGAGAAAGGATATTACATTCTCACAATCGAGGTCGGCACAGACGGAGAGACAACGATGATATTCATGTTGACATAGAACTAATTGTAAAAAGAAAAGAAAAAACAAAGAAAAATCGGTAAACACTTAAAGAACAACATCGTAAAAGCATATCGGTGAAAAAACAAAACAAAAACAAAACAAAAACATATACTTCTCGTACATGAACATAACGTTATCGACGCATTCGGAACGTGTAACATTGGAAACACGTGTAAACGAGGACATCATTTGTCCACGAGCATCGCACTCGCAGTAAACAAACAAAAACATGTAAACATCCATTTTGAATAAAATCTTTGGTAGCGAGTTCATTGATTACCCCACTTCGTCACTTGAACCCTGTGTAATACTTGTGAGGTGAGGAATCGACCGACTTTTTTGGTTGTACAATAATCATTTGTGCGCTGAGGTAGAAAACAGCGTGACAAGATGGTAAAACGATCATAAGTTGAAAAATGTTACTGAAGATGGTAACAATGTAATGTAGTGGATTCTGCTGCGATTTAACACTTGGTCATAGATGTACGAGATTTTGTTCATATCATGAATTACAATTCTAAGTTCTGTGTGATCGTTCACACAAAGCAAGATGTAGCGTGTTTAGTTAATGACTGACTGTTGTTTCGTGGCAAATTCCAAATACTTTGTGCTGTGCTTTCAAAATTTTGAGATATATAATGTACTGCATTATATATATTACAAAATGTAAATAATTGAATATTGATGTTTGCCCAAGGGTCCTATACATGAAAGTCTCGATATCCTGAACAACTACACTAAAATAAAACAAAATCGTACAGATTTTAAATATTTTTCTGTCGGTGTGGCAACCATGCTCAAAAACTGACAGGAAGCACACTATTGAACAGGTGATTATATAAGGGAGAAAATATAAGTACGTCCAAGTAAGCTGGAGTTGTCTCCCTTCGCATGCACATAAAATGTAAAAGATATACTACCATAAATATCAAACAAATTCGGTTATTCCCCTAAGATAATTTTTTGATACATGACGTTATCTTCCAGAGAATCGGTTTACACTTACTTCGACACTCCATAATGAAAAATGTATAATATATTTATAGAATATACGTGCCGCATTAGTTTCGGACCTCTTAAGAATACTTTTTCGCTAGCTACGCTATGTCGATGAACTGCCATCAAACAAATACATAAAAAAAACTTGAAATGTTTTCATACTCTAAGATTTATTAAAAAAAAACAGACCGGTGAAAGACCAGCATTCTCCCCCCTCCCCTCCCCCGCAAAAAATCAACAGATCCGATCTCAAATTTGCTCACTTGAAATGATCGACATGTGTATCGGCCATGTATCTGCACTTCTGTTTCTGATGATATCACTATATCACAGAGACGCTTGCGTTAACTTATTGGCACCCAGAAGTACATATGTACAAAATAAAATCATTATTTGAATCGGAATGATATTTTGATAAAAAATAAAATTCAGTATACATTATGGTGCGAACGTGGTGGATATCTCTGTTGATGTGTGAACGTTTTCTAAAGGATTAGTTTTTATTGTTTGATCATTTTTTTTTAATGAGCCATGTTTCTTGGTAAACTTCTTTTTGGTAATACAAACTAAATGAAGTTGATTTTTTAGCTCTCGGTCTACAACTCGCTAGTTAAAAATAATCAGAAATGAGTTGTCAATAGTGATAATTTATAAATCCTCATTTTTTCAATAGAAGACGTGCAAGTTTGGACTTCTGTAGCCAAAAAACTTCTAAAAACATGACCTGTTATTGATGGTCGAATTTTATTCACTAGACAGACGACAACGAAACATTGGCATCTGAGAGTGAATTTGATAGGTAATTTCATCATATCTAGGAGGATGTTTGACATGATAAATGTGTATCAAGAAAAACTTCACAAATCTGTCAATGAAATATATACTCGTATTTTATAGTGAATGGTTAAAATCACATTTTTAAAATTCTGTTTTGAAGCTTGACATGTTTCAGCAACCAAATTTATCCGGATGCAAGGTCAGGCAGGTCAATAGTCCATGTGCTAACGGTCGACGTAATGG